CAAACTTGAGACTAAGTTTTTCACCAACCATCGACTATTTTACAATTTGACAAAGAACGTTTGTTTGTGACTTTGTCAAAAGCATATGATGAAGTCAATTGTTAAAAACACACGCAAACATCTCACCACTTGAACAAGGATCGCCTGACATCTGGTACTGCCTGTCATTAATCAAGGTATGAGTGCATTTGGAAATCACTCGATCATTTCCGATCAGACAACATTTCGTTCGTTGAATATTGAGCAGTCTAGCGAAGTGATTCGTCATCGCATCGAAACTCCTTGAAGAGAATACTTCTCAAAACTGATAGATTAAATCTTGAATAATGCGATAAAGGCCGCCAAGGCCATCAAACTTGATGCTAATATTGGCGCGCAAACGCGTCAGAGAGGCTCCACGAGTCATTCATTTCAAAAAAATTCTTCGATGACCATGGTCGCCGACATCAGCTTCTTCGAGGCCAACGAGGCCTTCCACGCGGACAAGATGCGCAAGACCAATGCCGAACGCGACATGTCCGATGCCGGCCCTATGCACGACGAGTACCCCAACGACTGGGCCATTTTGGCTGACAAGGGGTACCAAGGGTTCCACCGTCGCATGCGTGCCATCACCCCGGCGAAACGGCCCCCTGGCGGCTTGCTCACTATGAGCGACATGGAGTACAACGAGAACATTGCTACCGACCGCGTGATCGTTGAGAACTACTTCGGTCGTTTGAAGACGCTGTGGGCGATCGTAAACGAGTCCTACACGTGGAAGCGAGAGAACTACGATTTCTACCTTCCAACTTGTGTTGCGTTGACTAATTGTCACATTCGTTTTTCTCCCTTGCGGGTCGACGACAGCCATGAACGCAACCGGTATTTGAACGCCCTCATGTCTTCGAGTGAAAAGAAGATAGCCAAGCGTGCCGTTGCAGTTAAAAAACATCGCGAGAAGCGCAAGTTGCGTTTGGGCACGTTTTTACCGAGTGGTGAAAATGCCTACTTCGATTCGGACACTGAATTTTACCCATGTGGTGACGGTAGTGGAATTTTTGAATAGAAAACGTTGGATCAACAACTTTTTACCAAGTCTTTCACACTTACCAAAGTGCTTTACGATATCACTTCACACAATGGAAACCACTTGGAGCGATAGGAAATGACTGCGTCAGTTACGAAATAGCCAATCACAATGTTTTATACGACACAATTTCGGAAGTCACTTCGTCAATTCCGAATGTGCTGTGCACTGTGTGAGTGACCCAATAATTGGTTGAGTGGTCTATTGGTTAACTTAATACTACTAGTAACGTAGAAAACCAATTTAAGGTGCTCGAACCATTTAATGGTGCACTTGAATCAGCCAATCAAATGTAGTCAAAATACTGGGAGATAACCTCCTTAATCTAATTAATACACGAAGTGAATTTTGGCGCCTGTCATGCACGACCGCGACCGCGATCGCGATATACACGCGTTGAGCTTGACAGAGCTGTTCAAGATGTGCTTGCTGGGCGAAACGGGAAGCCAGTGGCAGCGTTCTCTAAGATATCCTACAACCTCATGAAGTATGTGCACGCGACAAAGGCCGGCACCACCACGATACCAAAGCGCCGCGGGCCACGCCCTACCATGCCGACAAGCTGTGAAGAAGACCTGGTGTCTATTACAGTAGTTTTTGATATTCTTGCATCGCATTACTCATCAGGAATTATTGAATTGTGTAATTTACTCCAAGTTGTATTACTTTTTTTGCCATCGAATGCGACGCATCTATTTCAGCAGTGGATGTGGACAGCGATTCGTAAAGCCATTTTTGAGGAGATTGTGAATGACGGTAAAGTTTCAAATACTTTCATTGTCCACGTATGTATATATTTCTCACGAGGCCTATTACCGGTACTACTGTAGTCACCTGGTTGTGGATTCCTAAAATGTCGGACTCAAAAATGGTCACTGACAGTTACTCACAACTGTATGATTGCATTACCTGTCTGGATTTAATATTTAACTGCTGAAATTACATAACCTAACCACACAAAAAATATGCAAACGGGTATACAAACTTTAAGATAAGTGTGTGCACCAATAATTGGTTCTCACATTTTGAGTACATTTGCTTCGAAAATGGTATTTATGTATGTCAAATAGACCGTGAAACACAATTATTTGAATGTCCAATGAATCAACTCGCTTTGGCCTCATCCAGCACTTTTCGGAATGTGAATCTGATGCATCCATGCTGAGCTTCGTTCCTTCCACCGCAGCGTCTCGGAAAAAGTGTTCTTAAATTGGTTTTCTACGTTAACCAATAAATTGATTTGTTTTGAGTCTCAAGTGCGAACGAATCGAAAATATTTTGCCAACTCGTTCCTACCCCATTACTGTAGGCTCTTAGCACCAAGAACGTCATATTTTAATGTGTTGATCTTGTACTAAATGTACTGGAAGGGCAAGCAACGATCACGAAATGTTCAACTAACCGCAGAGGGGAGCACGACGTGGGAGAGAGAGGCCAAGAACTGGTCGAGGGAAATCGTCGCGTTGCCGTCGTGAAGTGTCTCTCGTTCGAGGGTGGTGCGAAGGCGCGCGACCAGCTGGGCGTTGAGGGTCTTGTGGGCACTGGCGATTTCCATAGCCGAGACCAGGACCGAACACTTGACTTCGCCGGCGCTGGCGCCATCGACGGACTGGAACAGGTCTTCGCCTTCAGATACGACTTCACCGTACAAGAGACACACGTCGATGGCGTGCCTGAACCTGGCGTACGACACACTGGAGATGGTGCTGGGAGCCAAGTATGTGACCAACTTTGCCTGGGGAGCGCAAGGAATGTCCTGGCAGAGCAAGTGCAGCAACTGTTGGAACGCATGCACGTCCACCCCGACTGGAGTCGCGTCGGTCATGGTGGTGGAAGGCTTCTTCAACGCATGATACGCCAAGACCAGCGTGTCCTCGAACGATGAATTCGAGATCGTTCCGCACGACTGGATGTAGAACGCACTCACTTCAATCGGCCCCAAGTCGCCGCACATCATTTGAAAGCTCCACATTGCATGTCAACATACGTGGAACTATGTGCATCTAGTCGACGTACTATTTGGCAAGGAACGTTAGCGGTTGCTCGGGGCGGTACTCGAGCACCAAGTTGACCGCGTCTTGCATGTAGCTGGTGGCTTTGGTCCGATCTACAAGGCTCTGTGAATGATGTACAGGACATTATCTCATGTAGCAGCTTCTCACTCAGGAACTCTTCAGGTGACAGCTTTTGGTAGTCCCTCGTCGTCACGTCTTTTGACGCCATCCCGATCTTCTTATCATAGGTCAACCAACCTTGCCGTTAGAGGAATAAATTATAACTGGTGTGTTAGGTACTGTTATAACAAACACAATTGCTAACAGTGTTTGTTATACATCCCACACTCTAGTGTACTTACTACTAAGAGTCTTTGTAACACATGAAACTTGTACGTAGCAAGTACACTCCCATACAGCACTCAAGCTAAAAAGTCGTGACATTGTTATAATCGTAATGCCACTATAACTTTTGTGTGTGTGTTTGAATTATTCGGATGTATTTTCCGGATACCATTTCTTTTACCCCCACCACACAAGCCTCGTTCCGTAGTTGGATATGGCAGAAGAGGCAGCGCGCGGCCGGCAATATGCCTACACGAACAACTCGAGTTTGGTCCTGCAGGCGGACCGAGATGACCGCCGCCGTCGAAAGGACGAACCAACCGGAGAAGTGGAATCTCTGGCGGGAAAGATCACATACCGTATGGGCGACCTCGCCCAGCGCGCGGACGCGCCCAAGTTGAAGTCGAGTTCCAAGAAGCGCAAGCAAGGAGACTCTGGCGAAGGAGAGGGCGGCGGCAATGTGTCGGTGAAGAAGCTCTTCATCGGGGGACACAAGAACATCTTGAAGCGCACCGAAGAATCGTTCAGTTACATTCCGTCGACCGACGTGAGTCGCGCGGCATACGAAGAGTTGCTCCAAGTGATGAAAAAGTACTTGGGCGATCAACCGTCCGAGATCATGGCGGATGCGGCGGAAGAGATCCTGCAGATCGTCAAGAACGACGACTACCGCGACGACGAAAAGTACCGCGAAACGACCAAGTTCCTCCAGGGTATGCCGTCCCACGAGTTCAGCCACGTGGTGGAGATGGCGAAACGCATGACAGATTTCCGCTCGAGTGTTCCAGACACCATTGAAGAAGGCCCCGAAGACGGCGGCGACGGCATGGACAAAGAGATGGGTGTCGCTGTCGTGTTTGAAGCCGACGACGAAGAAGAGGGCTCCGACAACGACGAAATTCACGACGAGAGCGACGACGACGACGACGTACGTTTAGGAACACCATCATCTGTCGTTGGCACTTGATGATCCCGTAAATGTCACATGTAGGGAGAAGAGCCGGTGCGCGAAGGCATGCGCGTGAACGACGGAACGATGGACGACGACGACGGCGTCGACGGCGGCCTCAACGTCCACGACATCGACGCATTTTGGTTGCAGCGACAACTAAGTAAATGGTACAAAGACGCCGAGGTGACGGACCGCCTATCGGAAGAAGTGCTGACGGTGCTGGGCGAACCGTCGGAGCTCGGCCATTGCGAGAACAAGCTCGTGCTGCTGCTCGACTACGACAAGTTCGAGTTCATCAAAGTCCTGTTGGTCAATCGCGCCAAGGTCGTGTATTGCACACGGCTCAAGCAAGCCCAGTCGGATGCAGAACGACTTGCGATCGAGGTATTGTCGTTTTACCCAAATATTTTTGGACTTTTGTGCTGATTCTTTGCCAAATCGATCGATATCGATTCTTTGTACATGAATTTTGTGTGTAAAGTGTTGTCCTGTGGTGATTGGTATCACACTAATAAAAGTCACACACACTAATTAAACGATGGTGATGGTTTCCGGCAATCTGATTGGCTCAATTCTTCTGCCGATATTCTTGTGTCCATTTAATTTGGTTGTGTCGATTTATCATTCTCCATATCGCTCCAGTTTAGAATATAAACACAAGCAATACGATTGCAGTGATTGCAGGCGTCATGTATTTGCTGAGGCTGTCCTGCTTGGGACGAGACTCACTTCTGAGGGTTCTTTGGTGTATATCTCCTTCTCTCACGTGAAATGTCCAAGGTGTGTGGTGACTGATATGCCTGGCGGAACGAAATCTACTACTCATATATTATGTGTTTTGTTTGTGTTTACAACGAATGATATTGTCCCTTTCCGCTAAAATGTGAAGTTTTGGGTAAATCCATCGATTGATGGTGTTTTTTGTACTGAATTTTGTATGGAAACATCGTTCCGTTGTCTCACTAATATCAGTCACACACGAATAATTCAATGTTAAATTGGTCGTAGAGTAGATTTGATTGGTTACTTATTCGTTTGTTCTGGGTTTTGATTGGTCGATCGATTGTGTGTGGATTTTCGGGCGGCTTATTATTGAGCAGCATTCCAATGTCGAATCGAATGGTCAATATTGAGTCGTCGTGGGGTTAAGATTGCATGATCGATTCGTGGAGATTCGTTTTGTACATAGCTTTCGGTTATTGTGCCTTCGAGTGAAATTTCGTGTGTGGTTTCTCGTTGGAATTTAAATCGATTTGATTGGCTACTTCAGATGAGCTCAAAATTATATAGCCAATCAAAACCTTCTAAATGAAATTCAACACCAATCAGATCGATTGTGGATCGGTTTGGTCGGCGCGATTCGATTGCACCCCTTCCCCAAATTTGTATCAAAACGACAATATTGGATGCTTTTACATTGCGCTAGAGTTGCATCTCGCAGTATTTGTGATTCAGCAAGAATATTTCGTTGGATGGTCCATGGCGTGATGAATATATATATATATATATATATTTGTAACGGTACGAGAGATCATTACAAGCCTGTGTTGTTCTTGTAGACGGAAATGCAAGACGACCCGGTTGGTCGCACAATTCTACAAACGCTGTCGCAGACCACGACGGCCGAAGGCTGGATGCAAGCGCGCATTGGAGCGTTGGAAACGGGCGCGAGGTCGGAAGCCAAGCAGCTCAAGCGCATGCAGCAGCAAGACGATGTCGCAGACGCAGACGCGTCATCGTCCGAAGTGTCGACCGCTCGGCCACTGCACAACGTAAACATTGAATCGCTCGTGTTTGCCGAAGGCAGTCACTTTATGAGCAACAAAGAGTGTGCGCTGCCCGAAGGCACGTGGCGCGCACAAAAGAAGGGGTACGATATTGTGGATTCGCTTGGTTTTGTTTAATGTTGAATCTGATTTGCTGAATATACTTGTCCTTTCTGTATGAGCCAATCAAATCCACTCAAAATTGGATTAGCCAATCGCGTCGATGATTCATGATTCGGCGGGGTCTGGAGATTTGTACCGAATATACCACAATATTATTGGCCATGGACTTCCCAAATACATTTGTGTGCTGACTCGCCACATGTATCAGTGATGGATTTAAATTTGTAAAAAGGTGTCGTGTGTGGTGATGGATATCATCGCACTACTTTGAAGCCATACACATACTAATTCGATGTGGATGGTGATTTCTGCAATATATTTGTCGGATGGGCTACAATATAAATCCATGGACCCAATTCCTTCATCTGTACTACATTTTTGGAAGTGTCGTCGATGCATGCATTCAGTCTTCATATCTCTCTAGTTTAAAGAATAAACCCACCACAAGACCCAATTTGTTTCCTGCAATGTGTGTGATCAAAATGTGTCGTGCTGTTTTGATAGATATGAAGAGTACCACGTCCCTGCGGTCAAGGCCAAACTGGCGGCCGCCGAAGAAAAGAAGCGCAAGAAGATCAGTTCGTTGCCGTCGTGGACACACGCTGCGTTTTCGAAAATGGAGTCGCTCAACCGCGTGCAGACCAAGATGTACCCCGCGGCGTTTGAATCGGGCGAGAACTTGCTGCTGTGTGCGCCGACGGGGGCCGGCAAGACCAACGTGGCGATGCTCACGATTTTGCACGAAATGGCCAAAGCGCAGCTCGAGGACGGGTCTATCGACCTCGAAAGCTTCAAAATCGTGTACGTGGCACCGATGAAGGCCCTGGTGCAGGAAGTCGTGAGCAACCTCACGCAGCGACTCACGGCAGCGTACGGCCTCCAAGTCCGCGAGTTGAGCGGGGATCAAAATCTGAGCCGCGACGAGCTGTTCAAGACCCAAATCATCGTTACGACCCCCGAAAAGTGGGACATTATCACGCGCAAATCAGGCGACGACCGCACGTACACCCAACTGGTTCGGTTGATGATCATTGACGAAATCCACTTGCTGCACGACACGCGTGGCCCAGTGTTGGAAGCGCTGGTGGCGAGGTACGTTGTTTGATCTATCACTTGGATTATTAGTTTTTGAAGGCCCCAGAAACGGCCACAATTTATTTTCCGTGGAGTGCTTGAATCAATCTTGAAGACACGCACAGTTGGCACTTGGGATTGGTTGTGCATATATGTAATTTACTTGTCCTTTCTGAACTAGCCGACAATCAAAACCCCTCTTCTAAAAGGTTGGAGTTTTAGTAGCCAAAAATCGCGTCGATTTGTGCTTACAACGAGTCGGCGGCGAGAGATTCGAGTTTTGATATGGTCTGGACATTTTTGAATCGACTCCACACATAATATATATATATAAGCGGCGCAGCTGTGAGAAGCTCGCCCTGCCGATAGAATTATAGCCGTCGTTGAAATTCGTTTTGTTGCTGTGTTCATCAATATATGTTGAAGGCTATGCTTGGTAATGACCACAACGTTTATGGTGTGTGTAAATATTGTGCATTTCACCCAATTCACCCATATTTGGACTTGTGAGTGATTTCGCCAAATAGCATTCGCTTGTACAAACTATAATATGCAAACATTAGTATATTTGTGGTTTTGCCCAATAATGCGGAACATTCAAAGTTTGGATTGGCAGAAATGCAACAGAAAAACGTAGTTGTTTGATTGGCTTAGGCGGTTCTTGAATCGATTCTTTGAAGACATTCGATTCTTCTGCTAAGGGCTCCAGTTTCGAAAATCGATTTGACAATATTGATTGTGGATTCGGAATATGTGCTTATTAATTTTTCGGCCGATTTTGACATGGATATATATATGTGTGTAGAACGATCCGACAAGTGGAAAGCACCCAGCAGATGGTGCGTCTCGTGGGGTTGTCGGCGACGCTGCCCAACTACGAAGACGTGGCGGCGTTTTTGCGTGTGAATCCGGAGAAGGGGTTGTTTTACTTTGATTCGAGCTACCGTCCCGTGCCGTTGCAACAGCAGTACATTGGTATCATGGAGAAAAAAGCAATGAAGCGCCACCAAATGATGAACGAGATCTGCTACGAAAAGGTGTTGGAACAAGCCAAGCACGACAACCAAGTGCTGATCTTTGTGCACTCGCGAAAAGAAACCGCCGCGACCGCCAAAGCCATTCGGGACTTGTGCGTCGAAAACGACACGTTGAGCGACTTGTTGAAGCCCAACTCGGCGTCGTCCGAGGTACTACCTACTAGCTACTCGTGTTGTGGACATGGATGCATTCCGATATATATATATACATATTGTCCTTTTACCCAAAATTTGGACTTTTGTGCTGATTTGCCAAAAATCCATCAAATATCGATTTATTGTTCTGAATTTTGGATGTAAAAACAAAAGGCCGGCGGAAATGCCCGTCACACTATTTGAAGTCACACACTAATTAACTGATGATTGGTTCAGCTGATGATTTCCTGGAATCTGATTGGCTAAATTCTTCTTTGTGTCGACCCATTCGGCATATCTCTTCCAGTTTTGAATAAACACAACAATATGCATGTGTTTTCATGTGGTGCTGTGGGAATTGGTTTGTTTAAAGTTGGTTGGATAAACCGCCCTACATCATTGCAGGACCTGCGAAATATGATAATTATGAAGTCCAAGTGGTTTCTCTGCGATGCATTGCAACATACATTGAGCCTGCTCGCCAATCATAATGCAACGTTCATCTTCTTTTTAGCCAATCCTAGTGTTTTGCTCGATTTGTTGGCAGACACGAGAATGTGAGAGGTTGTTTTACCTTTTACGAGATCTTTCGTTGTATTATAATCTGAAGCAACATGTCGTTTCGTTTATAAAACCAAAACTCACTTTCTCCTTAAAACATATCGATTGACATGCAGGTGTAGATTTTGCAAACCGAAGCTACGACAAACGTTCAGAACGATGCGTTGAAGGAGATCCTCCCGTTTGGGTTTGGGGTCCACCACGCCGGCATGAAGCGCGAAGACCGGTCGCTCGTGGAAGCTTTGTTTGCCGACGGCCACGTCCGTGTGCTGTGCTGTACGTCCACGTTAGCTTGGGGGGTCAACTTGCCTGCGCACACGGTGATCATTAAGGGCACGCAAATGTACTCTGCGGAAAAGTCCGACTGGGTCGAGCTGAGTGCCCTTGACATTTTGCAAATGCTGGGTCGTGCTGGGCGTATCCAGTACGATACGCAGGGCGAAGGCATCATCCTCACCCAGCACGCGCAGCTCAAGTACTACCTCAGCCTCATGAACCAGCAACTGCCCGTGGAAAGCCAGATGATGTCGCGTCTAGCCGACCAAATGAATGCCGAGATTGTGCTCGGGACGGTGCAAAACTTGGCCCAAGCTGCCACGTGGCTGGGCTACTCGTACCTGTATGTGCGTATGCTCCGTGCGCCGGCGCTGTACGGCGTGTCGGTGGAAGAAGCGCAGAACGACCCGACGCTGTTTCAGCGGCGAATCGACTTGTGCCACGCCGCCGCTACGATCTTGGCCAAGCACAACTTGATCAAGTACGAGCGCAAGACGGGTCATTTTCAAGTCACGTCGCTCGGCAAGGTATGACAAGTACCTAATCGATTGGGGCCGACGTGCCACGGTGGTATATAGACTAGATTGTATTCAATGACTTTATCATGTTCATCGTACGAATTGGTCGACATGTTCCGATTCCATGTGGCCTTTTTCTTGCTTGTGTCGTCGATACATGGTCCTATTTTGAATGAAACCAACACTATTCATTACGACCACGTATTTTTCATCTTGTCCATTTATCCATACTTTTGTGCTGAATCGCCAAACCTATCGATATCGATTCTTGTGCTGAATTTTGTATATAAAGATGTGTCCTGTGGTGATGAGTATCACACGAATTGAATTCACACACTAATTTGATTTTGTTGATGAAGGTTTCCTGCAATCTGATTGGCTACATCCTTCTGCCGATATTTTTGTGTACATTGATTTGGTTGTGTCGATTCATGATTCTCCATGTCGCTGCAGTTTGGAATAAACACAAGCAATACCTGGAGACGTATTGTCTGCACTACTGACCATGTACTGGACCTTATAGTTTTACAATAACAAGTCATTTAGTAATTACTTTTGCATTATCTTTAGCTGGTTTTATTTCTCATTGTTCTTTATTTATTTTTTTAAGCTTAATATTTTTAACTTTTATTATTTTAATTTCTATATTTTTTTAAAATTTATTTAAAAGATTTAAACTACGTTTAGGTGGCGTCGCATTACTACATTGCGCACGACTCGATGAGCACGTACAACGAGTACTTGAAGCCGCACATGTCGGACATTGAGTTGTTTCGGCTGTTTTCGCTGTCGCAAGAGTTCAAGTACGTAATGGTGCGGTCGGAAGAGCGCTTGGAGCTGGAAAAACTGCTCGAGCGCGTGCCAATTCCAGTCAAAGAAGCGCTCAACGTGAACGTCCGCGCCAGCAACAGCGGCAGCGCCAAGGTCAACGTATTACTCCAGGCGTACATCAGTCGTTTGAGCCTCAACGGATTTGCGCTGCTAGCCGACATGGTGCACATCCACCAATCGGCCGCGCGTATCTGGCGCGCGCTGTTTGAGATTTGCTTGCATCGAGGGTGGGCTGCGTTGGCGGAAAAGGTGCTGACGATCTGTAAGATGGTGGACCACCGCATGTGGCTAAGCCACACGCCGCTGCGCCAGTTTCCGGCACTGTCGGACGCCACGTGTCGCAAACTAGAAAAGAAGGACATTCCGTTTGAACGGTACTTTGACCTGTCGATGGCCGACTTGGGTCAGTTGATTGGCGTGCCGAAAATGGGCAAGGAACTGTACACGTTGCTGCATCAGTTTCCCAAAGTGGATGTGTCGGCCGCCGTGCAGCCGATCACGCGCAGCTTGCTCAAGGTGGACCTGAGCTTCACGCCGGACTTTCAAATGCAAAGCCCTAGCGAAGGCTTTTGGGTGCTCGTGACCGACGTGGACGGCGACGCGCTCATCCATCACGAGTATTTGATGCTCCAGAAGCGATATGCCAAGGAAGAAACGTACTTGAGCTTTACGATCCCGCTGTTTGAACCGCTCGCGCCACTCTACTACCTCCGCGTGCTCTCGGACAAGTGGCTACACTGCGAAACCACGCTCCCAATCTCGTTTCAGGACCTGATTCTGCCCACCAAGAACGCCCCACCCACCGAGTTGCTCGATCTGCAGCCGCTGTCGGTCAAGGCGGTCCTGGCTAAAGCGGTCGTCCTCGCCGGTCTCAAAGACACGTCCATGGTGGCCAAGCTCGTGGACGGATCGTTGGCGCGTGGACCCCGTGGCTGGCGTTTCCAAACGTTCAACCCGATCCAAACCCAGGCGTTGCCCAAGTTGATGGAGAACCCCTCAACGTCCAACGTGCTCGTGTGTGCCGCCCCCGGCAGTGGCAAGGGCGTGCTGGCTGACGTGGCGCTCTTGACGTTGTGTCTGCAGCATTTTGACGCACTCGAAGACGTGTTTTGCGTGTATGTGGCTCCGAAACCGTCGCTCATCGCGGCGCAACATGCGAATTGGGCGGCGAAATTTGGCCCCGACAGCGTGTTTGGGCTGGACGTTGTGCGGCTCACGGGCGACGCCACGGCGGACGTCAAGGCGATTCAAACGGCGCAAGTGGTAGTGGCCACGCCGGAACAGTGGGATGTGCTTAGTCGCCGGTGGAAGAAGCGTGCACGCATTCAACACGTGCAGTTGTTTGTGTTGGACCAGTTGCAGTTTGTCGGCGGCGGCGAATACGGTACAGTCAGTGGTTCTATATCAAGGGATAGAGGATGGGGATTGTAACGATTATTATTATGATATGTCGTAGGACCGACGATTGAGATCATTGCGTCTCGCATGCGATTCATTTCAAGCCAAGTCAAGTCGCCGATTCGCATTTTAGGCCTGAGCAATTCGTTGGCAAATGCCAAGGTATGGGGTTTTCTTTCTTTGATAAATTGAGCTTTTCAGGTCAAATTTGCCTATTTGGGGGATTGATGAAATCGCCATGAAATCGAGCAAACGAGTATGATTGGCTACAAAGAATGAAAGTTGCAATTTGATTGGCTAAAAAGATTGATTGATGCACTGCAGTCATAAAGATCCCTCTTCAACTTTGTTTTATATGAAATTTCAAAGGTCCGGCGATTGTTCAGCGGTTTATTCAACCAACCACCAGAGGAGGAAATTTTGAATACTGATAGGCGATTTCACTTGTGAAATCGATTTGCTTTTGACCAATCCAACCAACAGTTTCGTTTTTGAATGTTATGTGATGGGTTAAAATGTTCGCAGTTTTATTGTGTTTTCGAGTGAAATGTCGTGTTGTGGCGTGGTTTCTCGTTGGAATTCAAATCGATTTGATTCGCTACCTCACATGAGCTCAAAATTATTAGCCAATCAAAACCTTCTCAATGAAATTCAAGCTTCTCAATGAAATTGAACCAATCCGATCGATTGTGGATCGATTTGGTTGGCGCGATTCGATTGCACCCGCTTCCCAAATTTGTATCAAATCGACAATACGCATGTCCCCCTTTTAGTTTTCATCATAGTATCTGTGGATGGGTTGTAGTTGACATGGTGGTGATGGCATTTTCATTGTTGGTAATAATAGGATGTCGGCGACTGGCTCGGGGCAGACGTGTGCTTGAACTTTCACCCGAACAACCGGCCACTGCCACTGGAAATCCGAGTGCAAGGCTTCGACATCAACCACTTTGCGTCGCGCATGCTCGCGATGGCCAAGCCAGTGTACAACACGGTGTGCCACCAAGCGCCCGACAAGCAGCCCGTGATTGTCTTTTGTCCGTCAAGCAAGCAAACGCAACTGTCGGCCATCGATCTCATCACGTTTGCGCTGGCGGAAAACACCCCCCAAAAGTTTGTCTTGAACGAATCGCTGCAAGTGGCGCTACCCCACGACGACGACGAGGCGCTGGCCCACACGCTGTCGGCGGGCGTCGGGTACGTGACTGAATCGATGCGCCGGGCGAACCGCGAGTACGTGCTGGACCTGTTTACGTCCAACAAGATCCAAATCCTGCTGCTGCCCCATACGTTGGCGTGGGAGTTACAAGTCAAAGCGTACTTGGTTGTGATCATGGGAACGCAGTCGTACGATGGCAAAGAGCACAGGTATATATATATATATATATATTGTCGATTGACCCAAACTTTGGACTGTTGTGTGTGCTGATTCGCGGAATCATGTATACCAATCGATGCTTTGTACAGAGTTTTGTATGTACAATGAATGGTATCTTGTGGTGATTGTAATTTCACACGATTAAAAGTCTCATACGCTGATTTTTTTATGGTGATGATGCTGGTTGCTGCAATCGATTGATTGACTCGGTTCTTTCTACCGATTCTTGTGTACATGTATTTCGTCGTGTCGATGATTTTTCATTGCTATGTCGCTCCCGTTTAGAAGAAACAAAACAATATGTCCCTGACTGTGTGATTTGCATTATATATATATATATATATATACTAATCCAATACATGACAGATATGTGGATTATCCGTTGGCCGACATCCACCACATGACGTCGTTTGCAAACCGACCGTTGGTGGACCACAACTCCAAAGTATCGGTACTGTGCCATTCGTCTAAAAAGCGGTGCGTAATCGTTATCGATCATAATCATCTCTATCTATATATATACTATCTGCTGTGTAACTATATATCTACATATAATAACATATACGCCTCGTTTCGTGGTGACCAGGTTTTATACGAAAACGTTGTACGACCCTCTGCCGGTGGAATCTCAATTGGAGTACTTTTTGAGCGACCACATCAACGCGGAGATTGTGACGAAAACGATCGAGTCCAAGCAGGACGCCGTCGACTACCTCACGTGGACGCTCATGTATCGGCGGCTGCTCAAGAACCCCAACTACTACCAAATGCACGGCAGTACCAACGTCCACTTGAGCGACCACTTGAGCGACCTTGTGGAGCGCACCGTAACCAGTTTGAGCGACTCGCGATGCATTGCCGTGACAGACGACTTGGAGCTGAGTCCGATGAATTTGGGCATGATTGCTGCGTTCTACTACATCCGGTACACCACGATCGAGTTGTTTGCGTGCAGTGTCACTGCGACGTCCAAATTAAAGGTACGCGAATCCACAATCGAGGGAGACCTTGCTTTTGTCTTCTTGACATGGCATATAAATATTGTCCTTTTACCCAAAATTTGGACCTTTGTGCTGATTCGCCAAATCCATCGATCGATTAAGAGCGTCCTATATCACACTAATTCGATGTTGGATTGATCGAAGGGTTGACTTGATTGGCCACATGATTCATGTTCTTGGATTTGATTGGTCGATCTTTGATTCCCTTCCGATTTGGTGATTCTGCTCATTCGATTGAGCACCAACCAAACACTCCAATTACGAATCGACTTGACAATATATATATATATATATATATATATATATATCGATGGATTGTGATGGATATATATATGTGTGTGTTTTTTAGGCATTGCTCGACATTTTGGCCGCGTCGTCTGAATTTGACACGCTGTCGGTTCGTTTTGGCGAAGACCGCGTGCTGGAGAAGCTGGCCAAGCACTTGCTGTGGCCCGTGGCGCCTCCATACACGGCAATCCACGTCAAGGTGCATGTGCTGCTGCAGATCCACTTTAGTCGGCAGCACGACCGCCTATCGCCATACTTGAAGCAAGACTTGAACGCGATTCTGCAGACCTGCGGCCGGCTCCTGCATGCGCTGGTGGACGTGATCTCGTCCAATGGGTGGCTGAAACCAGCGTTGGCGACCATGGACTTGAGCCAGATGGTCACGCAAGGCGTGGGTCTGAACGCGTCGCCGCTGCTCCAAATTCCGCACTTTACCCCAAGCGTAGTCGACTCGATCAAAGCCCACAACTCGACTTGTGACAACGACCAAGACGTGATTGACACGCCGCTGGACCTGCTCAGCGTCGACGACAGCGTCCGCACGAAACTGCTGACGTTTTCTCCTTCCAAGATGGCGGACATTGCGGCGTTTTGCAATTCGTACCCGGATGTGTCGATTGAAATTCAAGTGGACAACCCGGACGACATTGCCGCGGGCGACGTCGTGTCTGTGCAGGTAACGACGATAGATCTATGGTCGATTTGATACAAATTTGGGGAGGGGGTGCAATCGAATCGCGCCGACTAAACCGATCCACAATCGATCTGATTGGTTGAATTTCATTCAGACGGTTTTGATTGGCTATATAATTTTGAGCTCATCTGAAGTAGCCAATCAAATCGATTTAAATTCCAACGAGAAACTTTGACTCGAAAGCACAATATATATGTCAACTTTTTTTATGCCAAATGTTTGCGGATTCGCCAAGTCGATGTATCGTTCGATTGTTTTTGATACTGACTTTTGTATGTAAGAAGATAGTCTTGTGGTGATTGTAGTAACAATCAATTGCATTATGATCAAAGACACACACTGAGTCTAGTGTTTTGAGTTGGGTGTTGTAGTCGGGATGATTCACTGGCTCTATACGTCTACCGATTTTTGTGGAATTCATTATTTCAGTTGTGTCGATTCATTGTCCATGTTTCGCTGTAGTTTCGAAGAAACGATATATATATATATATTTCCTAGCAGATATCGAAATGTTTATGTTGTTTTCATGATGGAGTTGTGGGTTTTGACCACATCTACATACTTACGTATCTACCTACCTGTAGATCAAAATCGACCGCGAAGGCGGCGACGACGACGATGAAGCCAAGGACGACTGGGGTGTAGTGATTTCGAAGCACAACCCCGTGGAAAAGGTCGAAAATTGGTGGGTTGTGATTGGAGACCCGGCGACCAACACGCTCTTGAGTATCAAGCGCATTCCGGTGCAAAAGCAGGCGTCGCTCTCGCTCGACTTTGCCGCGCCTAGTGGCGCCGCGGGCACGTACAACTACACGGTGTACCTGATTTGCGACTCGTACATGGGCGCCGACTTGGAAAACGAACTGACGATCCACGTGCACGAAGGCCGAGACACGGACGATGACAAGGACGAATAACCATAATGTATATCTCTCTGCCTGTATATTGCCAGTGATATTTACCATTGTGACACGAATAACCATAATGTATATCTCTCTGCCTGTATATTGCCAGTGATATTTACCATTGTGCCACACTGGTACCGCTTTTCAATGTGATTGAGCAAACCGAGGAAGTAAACAGTCGGTGAGCTTTGGTGCTCATTGCATGTGGGTTGTAAAAGTCCGACGGACCAAGTTATATACTATTAATGCTATTATATTAATATCAAGTTATTCTGGTACGTAGTAATAGATACTTTTAGCAAGTACTTCGAAGTATTAGATTAACCTGTAGATCATGCGCAGGTGTAAAATATGCTAACATATGCTCGTTGATGGCAATATATACAAGTCGAACCATCTATCGTTCGACTAGTATTGAAAGGATGCTGCTGCTGTTAGTTATTCTGGATATCGATCATACTGTGTCGCCGAAAGGGTGGCCACTTGCTCCCGCAAGACGGAGATTTCTATTCCCTGCTCATGGCATTCGCTTTGCAACTCTTGTAGGCGCAGCGACTTGCTACAAAGTACACCAGTAAACTCCTAAATACTAGGACTACGTAGTGTATGACTAGGAGTATAGATGCACGAACGTACCAGTGAAACTTGATCGTGTCCAGCTCGTGCTTTAAGCATTCAGCCACGTCTTGAGCATGTTTCTTCTACCACAATCCAATTATGCATTGACTGTTTCGGTTGGCTTGGTTGTATGTGAAGTATGATCAGTACCTGGACGAGCAGCGTGCGCAAAATGTGGTGCTTCACATCTCTCCTCTTGGTGTGATCCCAAAACGCCACCACCACATCTTCAAACTAGTAGAGCAGCCAACCCTTACTCGACGTACGTTGTCACACATTGAGGCGAACGATCATAGAGATCGACCCTCTTCGTACGTCGTTTTCCCGCTGCTTGAGTTTGCGTTGCAATTGATGGTTCATACCCTTGACTTGGTGAATCACGTCGCTCTAGATTGTCCAGAAGGACCATCGTCAGAGTTTTGTAGCCGTTTTCAGGAGACGCTTGTACCTGTCGACGTAGTTCAGCCTTCAAAGCCATCGTTTCGGCTTTTAACGTGTCGATCACGTGGTCTTTCTCCATAGTATTTCCACACGATTCCATGAACACAATCAACCAAAATCACACAATAATGTGCAGGGGGTTGTTCGTCTCGGTCTTTAACAAGACTGCCGCCGCCACTAAATGCGTTTATAATTAGATAAAGTTTGTACTGACGAAACCGTCCCAACCAGGCTTCCGAAATAATATAATATATTTATTGCGACTATCTAAAATGACGACACCTCTGGCAATAGATTGCACTATTTAATAGATAATACATTATTATTTCCAAATGCAATATATCAATAATTGTCAATTGCATTGTACGTACTTGGGACTCCCAACTACAATAATCGACAACGCATGCAAATCTCCGGTGGTTCTGTACCTGTCGTCCCCCCTCCATGTATGATCAACTGGATCCTCATCCACTTTGCTTGTAAACAACAGTAGTAGTAGTAGTAGTCATTTTATTCAACGTTCAAAAGTCTATTATTATGTCAATCTCAACTCTCGAAATCCGTGCCTGTAGAGGTAGGCCCATGTCACACTACACGTACGAGATGTACTTGCTTTGGCGGCCGTGGACGTACTCCAACACGCGGTGGACTCCGGCCAAGGACGACAGCACGCCCGACCAGATCGTAAACACAAACTCCAAGTGGGGCGGTACTAGCAGCGCATAGTTGAACACGAGCCCAAAGAGGCCGGGGGAGAGCCCGTCGGTTGTGGACACGAGCGCCGCCGCGGCCGCCGCGATGGACGCGATAAGGCACGCATGGAGCAGCTGCATTCGAAGTGCAAACCAGTGCGCCAACACTTGGTGCGCGTAGCTAGCTCGATGGTGCGCGTCGACGTGGGTCTGGTGCAGACGGTGGAACCGCCGGACTTGCTTGAGTCCGAACGCCCGAATCACGACCGCCCCCGCGACCGATTGATGGACGAACGCCACATGCGGTGCCCGCGTGGCGTTGGCCAGGCTTTCCACCTCTTGCGCCGGTCGGGCAAAATGCGAGCCAAAGTACATGTACAGCCCCCCCCATAAGATCAGCGCGATGCCCGACCATCGTAGACACACGATACACGCCCCGAGGCAGAAGACTGAAATGAACACGTTGGCCACGAACCCGCCCAAAGAAAATGGCAGCCGCGTGTCCACCGTGGCCATGTCGGCGTTGTACACGCCGAGGATTCGACTGACTCGGTCTGGCGACAGGTCGGCGAGCGGGGCATTCACTACTGTGTTGGTCATGCCGTTGAACAGCACGTTGGACGCGCGCATGCCTACATAGATATTCATATATACATATATTGTCAACTCGATAGCCGTCGGCAGAATCGAAGTAGCCAATCAAATTAGTGAGTCCAAAAGAAAACAATCGATAGATTTGGCGAATCAGCCCAATGGTCAACAATTCCGGGGTAATTGGACAACCAATCATACCTGCACAAGAGGTCAAGAGCGTCCGCACGACTACCATGACCGTGCCAACCCCCGCCAAGACAACGTACACGTTCATGTTCCAGTTGGAATACGCCATGACCATGGCCTCTGTCACAACGATCGTGTCATCGTGGAGGAGGACTTTGGTCACGTTCGACACATTCCGGTGCGTCGACAGCACGATGGTGCCGTTGGTAAACATCGAGTTGTTGCTCCACAGATGGAGCGAAGACGTCGTACACCAGTGACTGAGCCAGAGGTCGCTGCCCAGCTGCAGCACCTGCCACATACACTGTACGAGCACAACCACCACCACGAGACACACACCCGCCGCACGGAGGTACCCTCGGATCGCATCCTTGACAAACGTGTGCTCGGTGGAGTCGTCGGGGAACGCTGGCCCTTGAAACTGCAACACAAAGAGTATGTGACAATGGAAAACGACCAATCTGCGACACTGGGATGATGTCAGTACCTCGTCCATGACGAACCGCGGCGGTTCTTCTTGAAGCATGCCGTACGGAGACCGAAGCGACGGCGAAACGAGTGACTCGTACGAGGAAAGGGAGAGGTGACCAAGCCTCGTTGGCACTTCTGGTTCCATCACATGCGCTTCTTCTTCCCAAAATCGCTTGCGACCTACCCATGTATAATATATAGATATATCCATGTGTTTAGCATAGTAGGTGTATATATTATATATATAGTGGAAGACTTTATAAATATACTACGTCGTAGAAGTCTATATATATATATAGATGTGATGTCGATATGAAAACGTATATGTACACATGAAAGTCAATTTATATTTAGATAGTAGACATGTGAAGAGAATTAAATCTCAATATGTCGTCTATAAAACATATACTACGTAATATACTGCACATGAAAGTCCTATATATATATATATACATAGATGTGAAGACGATATATATATGTATATATATAAAAATTATAGATCGATAGGTGTAAAGACAAATAGATACCAAAAAAATCAAATATATCGTATTTAAAACATATATGCATGAAAGTCCATATATATATATATCTATATAGACACCAAGACAATATATATAGTCTATGTATAGATAGACAATAGATGTGAAGACGGACAAATAGATCTCAATATATATCGACTGTATGTGTACATCATCGTTCGACGTACTCGGCAAGGCAGCAATCAAGTTGTTTGCAGCTAATTTAGCCTTGGTCTTGTTGATCACGAGGTCGTTTTGTCCCACGTCAAAGCGCTTGTCAATGTAATTGGACTGGATGATATTGGTATCTTCCGACACCAGCACGACTGTTTTGAGGCGAAGCAGGCCGAGAATGCACGATTGAAACAGACTGTCGGGGATGGGCATGTCCAAAACGTAAATGTCCGCGTCATTGTAGGCGGCGCGCGCGAGGCAGACGCGACTTTTGTCAGCTTTCGACAGCGGATTCGACATGACTAGAGTGCGATCGCCGTACGGAAACCCATCTTCCAACACGCGCAGCCCACAAGCTTCCATGACAAGATTGTACTTTGATCGTTCATAGGGCTTGCCTACATAAAACACATACCAATTATAGCATCACACAGCCGCCCCCTTTGTCATACGTATGCAAAACACACTCAACTGCTGCGAGTAGGATAGTAATAGTATTACTAGTAGTAATACTAGATTAAGGAGAAGTGATGGGGGGGTTGGTTTGTACCAAAGAGAATGTTGTCTCGAATAGACAGCACAGGCTGCAGCCAAGGGTCCTCGGAGCAGTACGCGACGCGCCCGCCCACAAACACGCTTCCCTCGTACTTTTCCAACTCGCCCAAGATGACATTGCACAGCGACGTCTTGCCGCTCTTGTCGTCGCCATGCAGAATCACGAGCTCCCCACGTTTCACTTGGAGGTTCAATCCTCGAAACATAGGCTTGTCTGCATCCCACCCAAACGACCCTGGATAAATAAATAGGTGCTTTGTGTCATATTTTCATATATATATATTTATATACACGACAAGAGCAATGGACTTTCGAATCAATGTGGGGTCGACTTTATGAGGAGGGGTACACAAAAATTAATATCTAACATGAGACAACATTTGGTTTGCGATAATGCACCAGTGTATGTATGTATATATACAGTACTGTATATTGTGAAATCGCTATAAACTTCCGAAATTCTAATCAATATTGAATCACGCTGGAGTTCTGATTGGTTGAATATACTTGTCCTTTCTTTAAGAGCCAATCAAATACACTCAACAGTGGATTAGCCAATTGCGTCGATTCGTGATTCTATTCGTATCGAATCCACAATATATATATTGTTCATACTTGTACGATCCAAGCAAGCATGTCCATCAAGTAGGTACGTTATACCATTGCACACAAGATAAGGGGGGTATATATATGCCATGTACAGGGTAGTTCCAATATATCGTACCGTCTTCGATGGCAATATCCACGTTATGGGTTGCATATGCTTCATACTGATTGGCCGACAATTGGTTGGGCGAGAGCACGATATTCGGGTCTTTTTCCGTCAAGTTCATAAACTCCCGCAGCCGACGGAGCCCCACGAGGGCCTATAAATTCACTCCATCAACAACCACCACCACTATAATCATTCATCTTATCAAAATATATATTATCCAAATCGATTTTCGAAACTGGAGCCCTCAGCAGAAGCATCGAATGCCTTTATAGAAAATGGATTAAAAGAACTGCCTAAACCAATCCAATCACGTCGTGTCGAATTTCTGCCAATCCAAACATTTGATTCCCACATATATATTGTCAAATCGATTCGAAACTGGAGCCCACAGCAGAATTGAAAGTTTTACGAGAATCGATTAACGAACAGCCTGAACCAATCAAATCACGCCATGTCGATTTTCTGCCAATCCAAACGTTTGTCCCCTCTGCATCCATATATATATACATACTAATCGTTGTATAGTATAGTGTGTACAAGATTAAATAGGATCAAATAGATTCGAAAGCTATATGTCGAAATGACTCTCAAGTCCAAATTTGGGTGAAATGCACAATACTTCTACTAATATTTGTATCGTATGGTTTGTACAAGTAAGTTTACATAGAATCAAATGCATTCAAATGCTATTTGGCGAAATGACTCACACAAGTCCAAATTTGGGTGAAATACACAATATATATATATATACACACGAGATCATTTCCTCCTTCAGCTCATGTGTCTCGTACCTGCATGAAATGCGCGGTAATTTGGGGCAGGCCAATGAGGGGTGCTCGTAGCGATCGAAACAGCGCGAGGGACGTAAACACTTTGGTGGCGGTAATGGGCTGGCGCAGCACGAGCGTGTAAAACGCCAGCGACGCCGCGGTCACGAGGATCGGCGCCGAGTACAAGATAGCCGTGACGACCGCCGATAAGCTGAATGCGCCGCACAGCGCCCCGATCTCCTGGGATCGAATCGTGTGAATCTCGGGCAGCAGCTCTTGGCGGTCCGCGACGTTGTCGAGTTTGCGATCCGCGATGACGCCCAACGCAGCCTTGAGCGCTTTCATGCGCTTGGCTTTAAGCTGCATGAGCGTCCGCCACAAGTTGCGTTGGAGGTGCGCAAGTCCGCTGTTCAACACGAGCGTAACAACGATGACGGCCGCGCCCACAAAAGCCGCCGTGTCCAACAGCATGAACAACAGGTACAGCACCAGTCCCAACTGCATTGGAATGATCCACAGCTGATGGATGTAGTAGGAAAAGCTCACGATCCACATCATGTCGCTCGAAAACAAGCTCGAGATGTCGGCTTTGGCATCGCGGCGAGACTTGGCATCGAGGGTCAATGCCTTTTGAAACACGAGTTGCTGTAACGACGACGTGAACCGGTGCGCGATCACTTCGCTCTGGAACGTCGTGTGGGAGCTCACGATCGCTTGAACGACCTTCACGCCCAAGAGTGACCCAATGTACACCATAGCGCGGTCCATGTCGAACGGTTGAGGCGATTCCACGAGCTCCAGTACCTGTTGCAACACGACCGGGCCGTACAATGCGCCGGCCACAATCAGCACCTGCAGCACGCCAAGGAAGAGGAACCGCCACCCAAAGATCGACAGGTACGACGTGACGATGGACCGTGTCTGTCGAAAGCTCGGGTCAAACTTGGCGGCCACTTGCTTGGCTGTGCTAGCAGGAGGCAACGCCCACAGGTCCTCACTCGTGAGCCCATCCGGTGTGTTGGCTTTGGCCAAGAGCGGGTTGGCCCAGAAGCAAAAGATGTTCGAGAACACTCCTGCATGCACCGATGGGTTGGTCGCCTTCTCGTCGGGTGATCCACTCACGGTCTGGTACCTGCCCATGCTTGTCATGGGTCCAAAGGGCAAATGCCGTCAGTATCCGGATAGGGATATCACACTCATACAAAGGCCAAGTTCGATAGACAATCCGGATAAAGGAATGGTCATCACCAGATTCGAACGGGCACCTACACTACTGTAATTGGACCAAATTTACAGCTAACAGTTCTAACCTTATAATAACGTTAAACTTATTAGTACTTCGAAGTACTCCGGAGTAATATTAATAGTAACGTTAGTAGTATTGTACTAGTACTTCGTATCTCGTTGGAGATACAGACGTCAAGATACAATACCTCGAAGTACTGTACGTACAGTAGTACAGTAGTAGTACTTCGAAGTAGTTACCGGTATTGTGAACGCGATACATTGGCGCTGGGAGTTACTCCCGTTTCAATATCGCAGGTCTAATTTTACATTATTATCGTCGTGGTTTGGGTGTTGTTGGTTCTCGAGTGGAAATAGCATGGAATGCTGCGATGCAGACGACGCCCGCCAAGAAGTTGACGACACGGCAACTCGCATGCACAAGCTCGTGATCCGGACCCTTCCCAAGGGGTGCAACCCCATGCCAGTGTCGTCGACGGACCGCCCGCCGTCGCGCAGTGGCCCCATGGCACCACCAACGTATGAAGACGACAACCCATTTGACGACATCACCGACGAAAAGCTGGTACGTTGCCTGCGCTCTCTCAAACACGACGATACGGTGATCAACCTACATATGTATCTTGTAGCGCCAAATCAGTGGCAAACAGGATCTGAATCGAGTTACGTACCTGCAGCTGACTGTGGACACGCACAAGCAGTCGGTGGAAGCGCTAGGCGAACTCTTGCCGTCGCTGTCACAACTCCGATTGCATCAAAGCGTGCTGCACAGCTTCCGTGACTTGGGCACATCCCTGCATGGCCTTCAGATTCTGTGGCTCATGAGTAGCGGGGTGAAGGACCTCGACGGGATTGGGGCGCTCACGGGGTTGCGGGAATTGTACCTCCAGTTTAACGACATTGTGGACGTGAGTCCGTTGAGCCTCCACGACGAATTGCACATCCTCGGTACAAATGGCCCAGTTGGTTGGGTTGGTTGTGTGCTTGTTGAGCAGTTGATTGATTGGAACTTTGCTTTGTGTGTGTGGGAGTAGATTTGCAAGGCAACCGAGTGCAAGATATTGTCCAGATCGAGCAACTGGGTACGTTTTTTCTTTCATGTGACAGAGTTAAAATGTCAACCTGACGACGATGACCCATGTACGGTATATAGGCATGTGCGTGCAGTTAACGGTGCTCAACTTGGCAGCCAACCCCGTCGCTGCCATTCCTAACTACCGTCCGATTGCGTGCAGTTACATTCCTCAGTTGCAAACACTCGACACTGCACCAGTCGCCCCCTGCGACAGGGTGGAGGTACGACCCATCTTGCAATGATATATGTCGACTTATTCCGTGCCCATATTGTAAACACCACACGAAGGTGACGCCAGCGATGATTGACCACGCCCTGAGCTACTACTACACCTCCCACCCACCCGTCGGTTCCCAGCGCTGTGACAAGGTTGGATGTGTTTCCCTAGTTTCATCGTGTTTGAGTGCAAAACCATAAGATATCTGACATACTCGTAGGCGACGGACGATACTGTCACACCCCTTTGCGACTCTACATCCCCCAGTGTCACGTCCTCGTTCGAACAGCTCTTGGTATTATGGCAGCCCCATACTATTCTTCATCGTCGTCGGCTGATATTCAGAGGGCTCATACTGGGTGTGCCAGGACACGGCAGCAGCAAAGGGGACGAAAGACCATCACTCGAGCGCCTTAACCCATGGAACAGACGTCGTGTTTGCCGGGAATGTCACGAGCGCACTTCGACGGCGTAGCCACGAGCACTCTTTCCACGTCGATGGCGACGACAGTATTCTTCGTCCGGTGACGCCGGCGTCGGCTTTTCCCCCGCGTCCGTCCACGCCCGTCCGTCGTGAATCCATTACGGATACGCTAGATCGCGCATCCGAGCTCGACCTAAGCAGCTGTCGTCGACTCAGCTCCAAGTCCCGAGACTCCATCCTCCACGAGCTTAAAGCGTGGAAAATGGAGAATACTGTGGCCACCATGACAAACAATCACCACCATAGTGGCAACGACGACATAGCTCCAAAGTCCGAAGCACCACACACGACAACATTGCGACCCTCCACGACTTCGTCGTCCCACGTCCGCGCCACGGCTGTCAAGGAAGCGTTTGGGGACGGAAATAAACAACACGACTGCCTTTCAAAACAAACCCGGAAAAAGCACAGGACCACGACACGCGGTGTGAGTGGAAGACACCAAGCCACAAATCCAGTGGATATTCTCGTGTTGGATGACATGCCAGAGGAAGAGTCGCCTACTCAACGGTAGATATATATATATATATATGTTGAGGAAAGATATTTGGGGCGCTAGTGAACGTATATATATATATATATATATATCCAAGTCTACATATATATATAAAAGGGTAATATAGGTCCTTTTTCCCCAAATTTTAGACTTGCGGGCTGATTCGCCAAATCTATCTATCGATCGAGTCTTTGTACTGAATTTTGTATGTAAAACTACGTTCTCCTGTGGTGATGATTGTAATCACACGAATTTAAGGCATACACTGATATTATATGTTCTATCAATTCCTCTGTTCATTTGGTTGTGTCGATTCATTTTCCATGTCACTCCAGTTTAGAATATATACGACATTATATACATTCAACAATATATATATTCTTCTTGACGGGGATTGTGTTGTTGGGATAGGCAATGGAATGTGGACTTGGAATACTTGTCTCCACGCATTGGCATCGTTGCCAAGGTCACACCGAGGCAGTTCATGCAATCCCACGACGCCGACGACAGCTCCAGCGATAGCGATGACACTAGCGTCCGGTAAATAGAGTGTACATCCATAATTTATATATATATTATATGAACGCCTCATACCAATCACATACTATCTTTGAATATCTTGATTTGGATACCATATTTTCCAATATATATCTTGTTTTCAATACAATATCTATCTATACCATAATATTATTCTTACACGGAACCACTTCGACCTACAATACCTATATGGGTTTTTCATTTGGTAGCCCCAAGAAACCAACGTCGGGGCTGTTCAACGTGGGCGACAGCTTGAACGCGATCGAAGAGTGGACGGAGCGCATCACGCGGTCCGAGAAGGAGGAAGGGGCCCCGCTTGCGGTGGCGCCGGTGCAGGAGAGGTGCCGCACGTCCAAACAGCACCACCATCAGACCCCCCACCAGCAGCAGAATCTGTCCACGTCATCTCACAAACCATCGCATTCATCCAGCAAAGGAGGACGGGGAAGTGTCGAAGAAGCATCCAATTCGACTTCTCGAGGTCCAAACGTAGCCAGAACTGGCGGTCCTGCCGTGTTGATGATAAAACGTGAGGAACTACCAGTCGACTTCTCCAGTTCAAGGTCCAACCACGTCGCAGAGACGAATACATACCGCGGATTGGCTGACGACGACCTCGTCCTGGTGTTGCAAGGCAAGGACAAGCGATATGCGAGCCAGTTGAAGACCAAGGACAGCTTTCGGTCGTTCTTCCAAGGCATTGCCGCTCAGCATTTAGAAACGTTGCTGCGTCGGGCATATGGAGACAATACCGACAAGGCCCACCGACGGATGCAGTTGATGGAAGGATGGATGGCTGTCGCGTAATATAATTCATCATCGTACCCACCCATACTTTGTTTGATGCGAATCATCACAAGGTGCTTGCTGCTTTCTTCAGTTCGTGGCCTACCGAATTTTGTGTGTGGTGCTGTAAAAAAAATTAAATTATATATATATACATATATATTTTATAAAAATCAAAATGTTTTTTTTCTACTCCAATTTCCCAATTTTGGTGGGCTGAACAATGAACTGTCCAACAATCGCTGGACCGGGGGAATATGATTTATATGTACTGTTAATCTTTGTGAATATTCATTCGTTTAGCCAATCATACTTCAACCTTCATTTTTTTATCCATTTTAAACTGCTTTGCTCGATATTTTGGTGATGTCAACAATCCCCCCAATTGGCAAAATTGGCGCCATATTGCCTTCACAACAAAGCGTCGATAATGTCGTCCGTGCTTGTCTTAGCTGTGTCGTCTGCGACTTGATGCACCGATGCTTTGGCTTGCTCGACTTTTTCATCGAGGCATTCGACCAAGTTGTCCATACCATGCTCAAACCCCAAGTCGTCGCCAAACACCAACAGCCGGGTTTGAAACAGACTTGTCAATTTGTCTACAAGTAAGTATATAGCAAGTGCGTGGGGTTGTGTTCCCTTTTCCAACAACATATATACACACAACGATATACTCGAGATCAACAAGTCACATATATATAGATTTATAAGGGTGCGTTTGGTTGTCAAGGTCAAGGGCCGAAATCGTCGATATGGTAGAAATTTCGAACACCAATCGGCAAAAAACAGTGAAAATTTCTCCTCACTCTGGATCTAATATTTGGAGATTTCAAGATATTGCCAAATATGTCGTTTTTTGCCAAAATAAATAAGAGATTCAAAGGACTTTTTCCCGGTAATTGGGCCATAACTGCGAAACGCCGAGTTTCGAGTTTTGAAATCAGACACAGTCAAAACAACTAGGTAAAACAACCAAAGTCTTCCAATTCCTTTGAACCTAATGATTGGGCAGAACGTGGCCCTAACTAACTGTAAATAAATGAAGGCAGGTTCTACTTGATCTATGTATACATGATTTCAACCCACGCAAAATGCCCAGTCTTGAATTCACGTACCCATTCCATCGACGTTGGCATGCAAGCAAATGGGCACGATGCGCTTCCCCTTGTCTTCTGCAAACGCCAGTTGGTCGCTCACAAGGGACGTGAGAATACTCTCAGCTGACAACACCACCACAAACAGCTGACACTGTAAGATTGCGTCCTTGGCGGCCACCACGCGCTCCTTCAAGTCTGACACCTACAGTGTACATACAAGTAATCATCGCCGTATATATATATATATACACTTATATATATGCATTTATATATATATATATATGCATTTATATATATATGCATTTATATATATATATATATGCATTTATATATATATGCATTTATATATATATATACGTCCATTTCGTGTCAACTATCGATTTATTTACTCCACATAGATAAATATATATATATCTTACGTTGTTATTCGAGTCGACGAGCACCGACACGCGTTTCTCCCTCAAGTGCACTTTCAACTACAAGCACAACCACCACCATCATCATTACCACCACATCAAGATCCAATGGCGTGTGATATATTGCACTTATATATCATATAGTTTCTCTCGTCCATATATATATATATTACCTTATGGACAAATTCAGGATGGCAGTCGCCATGGGACACAAATATCGAGTGCGTTTTCGGGTGTTCCACGCCTGTTGCCGCTATCCCCAGAGTCGGTAGAAAGCGCGACGATTGGCCAACGCTAGTGTTCTTGGACAGCCCCAGCGGATGTCTTCGTCTGGACGATTAGTTAATAGATCAACCCCATCGATGTTTAATCAAAATATGGTCCAAGACTTGCCGCTTTCCCAGTCGATGCAGCTCAACCTCGTCTCGCAGCCCGTCGAGGAGAGACCGCATCGCTTGAGTAAACACATCTTGGTTCATTTCAATCGCATACAGTTGGACACGATGACTGGTGGGGTCTGTCGTTGGAGTCGATTTGTGCACGACAACGCTGCGCTGGAACGGAATGATCTGACGGGTGTACAAGTACACTTGCAATTCCTCGGACAGCGGCCCGCAGTCGCAATTCACAGCGACGACTAAGTATTGTTTATGGCAAAATAATAATATGTATAGATGGAATATATATATATTGACTAGGATTCGTACCTGGCACACTGTGCTGCTTGGCTAAGGCGAGTTCCGACATGCACAAGTTGTTGCGGCCGTATCCATCGGATAACACGCACAACACGACACTGACACGTTTTAGCAATTGCTTGTTGGGCACTACAAAAAATAACAAATAAAATACCAACAAATATATGACCTACGGCGTGATTTGTGGAATTAAACCATATCGAAAAATCGCTCAATTTGAATAAATATGGCCCAGTGTATCATACTTGAACGACTATTCTCCAATACATCACCATTCCAAGTCATTACATGATACTAGTACAACATGGGCAAAGCAAAACTCCACCAACTATTTTTCTACAATCACTTCATGTGCATAAATCTATATACTTTTTTTTTTTTTTTTTGGTACACATGTGAGACCCTGGAATCGAATCACGAACCGACGCAATCCAAATTTGAGTGGATTTGGTTGGCTCTTACAGAAAAAAACACGTATTTTCAGCCAATCAGAACGTCCAAACGTCCAAATATGATGCAATATTTCAACACCATGCAAAGTTTGGTAGAGTGCAACGAATTCAAAGTATATATATATATATATACACGAACGATTCTAGACCTCCAGTACATACACAGTGTGCCACACATACGGCATATACCTGTTTCGAGCACGGGCCGCAAGTTGACGGAAATAAAATTGGTTTCGACCGAGTCGCACACAGCCTTGGCAAACGCGTAGTAGGGCGGGTCATACGATACGTACACGTCGACGCTGCCGCTGGCTTTTTTGATCGAGTACTGCAGCTCAGCCGAGATGCAGCAGTCGATGGCGCGGCGGCCGTCGCGGTTGGTTTGGTAGATGTCGGCGCCGCACGCAATGAGCGCCAGCGCGGCTTCCTTGTGGCCTTGCTTCAACGCCAAATGCAGTGGAGTGTCTCCGCAGTACGCCCCGTTGATGTTCAAACTCCCACATGACACCAGCGACCGGATCGCCGGCTCACGGAGGGTGCCGCTGTGCGACCCGACGTCCAACGGTGTCATGTTGCTGTCGTCCAAACAAATCGGGTTCGCATGATTCGACAGGAGAGCGTTGATCGCGCCCACTTGATTGTGCCTACACAGTTGTCCTGCTATGTTAACACTGTTCAAAGCGTTTGCAATGATATATGTTCTGTATATATAAAGTACTCAAACGATGGTGGACAAATATATATATATATATAATGACCATATACCTCTAAAATTACATCGTTGTACGAGTACTTTAGTACATGTATATGAAAACCTTAATGGCTATACAGCAAGGAAGCGAGGGTTGACATACACACACATATATATATATAGGTATTGACAAATTCGATTGGGGGACTGCATTGAATGAGCAGCAGCACCACATCGGCGGAGACTCGATCGACCAATCGAAGCACTTTAAGAATTTTCATTGGCCAATCATTTTCGAAGGAACCCTTCAGCTCCCTATACTTGGACTTTGCATATCATATTCGATTGTATATCAATCGTATTCAATTTTATGCCGAGTCACATCTATCGACGTAAAGATCGCTCTTCACACAAACACACATGACAACATAACTACAGTCACACGAGGCTGAACTCTAAGAGTAGACTGTACCGAGCTGCCCAGTGCAGAGGCGTTCGGCCCATCCGGTCGGTGAAGTCGACCGTCGCTCGATGCAGCAGCAGCGCCTCCACCACCCGCGTGCGGCCCATGACTGCTGCCCAGTGGAGCGGCGTGCGCTGGTTCAGTCCGACGTAGTACTCGCCCAGCATATCCGGATCCACCCCATTCTTCATGTAATGCTGGACCGTGGCCACGTCCCCCGCCGCCGCCAGCGCATGCAGCGGTGTGAGCGCGTAGTCGCATCCGTGGTCTTCGAGGAGACGCGCCAGCCCCACGCGGTCCTACCCATCACACATTCTTCCTGTGACAAAGATACAGTAGTAGCATGTGACAGTGTTGTGGGGCTTTACGAGGAACAAATTGTGCTGCAACACGGTCGTGGTCATGGCCGTGCCGAAGCTCGGGACCATCAAATGGTTGGCGCCGTACTCTAGCAGCACGTTCATCGTGTCCCTTGAATCTGCATAAAACAGGGGCGGGACCGCTAGCTCCTACGCTCATAATGTGACGACCAGAGCAGAGCATCCCTTACATATATAATATATGTATGTATATATCAAAAAGGTGCATTTCCATCGTGGATATATATAATATATAGTACACGCCATTTGAAAGTTATAAATCAACAGTGAGAATTTCAGTCTACGAGTCGGGAATTTAGGGATTGTATATTTGTATCACAACTCTACTTCATATATATAATATATATATATGCCACATCGGTCAAAAACAACCTATTATCAATCGAAACGTCAATATTGTCCATTTCGCTGAAATTTGGACTTGGCAACTGATACCAGAATCGATGAGAGTACGATTTTAAGCTTATCAATGTATAGTATACAACGTTGAAGAGGATGAACAACATTTAGGCCGCCAAAAAACTACACTAATTGATGGTTGAAATTTCTCGTTCGTGCACTTTGATGAGCTGGCTAGCTAGGTAGACAGACATGCTCACATACATTTGTCACAATTCATTCGATTCGACTCACAAGTCCAACTTTAGGCTAGTAGCTTGAATAGGAGTACTACAACAGTACATCATATATCGTTCTACCTTGGAAAAGATATCTGTGGTCGCGACGATGTCCAAGTTGGCTTGATATTGCCGCAGCGCATGGATGCACTCGACGTGGCCGTGGGAGACTGCCACGTGTAGCGGGGACACGAGCGCGTACTTGCCGCGGTTATGACGGCGCCACAGCCACTGGTACACCGACCCAATGCCCATGTCCACGCCGCCCATTTTATCGAGAAAATTCTACACTTTTGCGTAGTTAGTCTGTAGTTCCACCCTCCAAACTCGAAACGAACAAAATATATCATCCCAATTCAATGTATCAAAATCTCGCCGCGAAATCTCATTGGTATTCCCGACGCCGTCGAACATACTGCGTAAAACACACTAATGTAGCCAATCAGCGATACAAAATATTCCAGATTGACGATATGGGAGCGATTCGAGATCGGGTTCGGTCAACGATTGATTCGATTTTAATATATATAGTGGATTCGGTACACATTTCCAGACCCTGTCGAATATGATCTCGCCGCGGAATCGAATAGCACGAATCGACGCGATTGGCTCATGTGGCAAAGGTCAAGTATATTCAACCAATCAGAACTCCAGAGTGATTCAACATTGAGTAGACACCACGCGAATTTTGCAAGTTTATAGCGAAATTGACAATAGATACATACAGGATTAAGCCCAGCCTGAAGCAGCACCCGTGTGATCTCGGCATCGCCTTGTTGGCACGCCATGTGCATTGGGTTCTTGGTTCGGGACGCAAACATTCCCAACACCATGGACGGCGTCGCGTATAACTTCCAAAAGAACATCTCCCGCTCTCGCTAAACCAAGCACACTTGGCATAAGAATATATATATATATCATCTTCCTGGAGAGAATATAATTGCACCTCTGTCGTGAGCCCTTCCAGCGCATTCGCCAGCAACGCTTGCACTTGGATGACCTGGCCTACATGCAGCATAAGATAAGATCCATGGACTGTGATATACAACTCCTGGGGAAGAAATATTGGGCCAACGTGATCACGCAACACTTGCAGCTTCAAACATCAAAACGAAGTCGGAATAGATAGTTTTTGTCGTGTTGTTCATTCAAAACTGGAACCACGTGCCAAATGTATCGACACAATCAAATGTGCAGAAGGATCGGTAGAAAAATTGAGCCAATCAGGTTGCAGGTAACCATCGGTTCAACCAATCAACAAGTAATCAGTGTGTGACTAAATTAGTGTGATAGAGATATCACCCTTGGATACTTTGTCAACAGTGGTCGAGGGCATCGAGGACGCTTTTTATTTTATTAAAAATATATATATAGAATGAGAGTAGTCCGAAGTTGACCACTCCATCACAAATAAAGGTGCATCCTATCAAAATGCATTTGAATTCCCCAAATTTACTTGTAGAGGTTATTATTTGTAGGGGTATTCACAGTGTTATTTTACTAAGCATTTCTCGAAGGTTATTATTATGTAGGGATAGCTATCACCTACACTGGATTCACAAAATTAAAATACACAGGCATACAATTTTTCATAGCTTTTTATATTGTGGGTCCAAATAATTGGCAAAAAGCGTCCTCGATGCCCTCGACCACAGTAAATACAAAATTCGGTACAAAGAATCGATCAGTTGGATTTGGCAAATCAGCATAAAGTCCAGATTTTGGCTGAAAACACAATATTCACATATTTTGGACATGTCGACGTGAAGAAAGCATCGCGTCTGCACCTCGTTTGACGGACGCGTACAAATTTGCTCGAAATTCACTGGTGGTTTTGGCCTTTTTGCCCAACAACCCTGAAATCCACCGCCGAAATTTCCAGCTCCCGACGTGTTCGAGTTCGTTGGGGGCGCCCAGTTGTTGCTTTTGGTGTGTTCGAAACCGATCAAAGACGACCTACACGGCATACATTTATAAGTATTTATGTATTCATAAGTTATAGACTATTGGAGCAACGTAAATAGTAGTTTTTCAAGGAATTTTATTGACGAATATATACATGTCCAAAGGTACACAACTCATATAGCCTCAGTAACTACGTAGTACTATATGCATAGGGCGACCAAACACATGTCTTACATTCAAATTCCCGGAATGCTACAACCATATAGACATAGATAACTACAGGTGTTATTTATATATAAATATTATATCAAAGCAACCAAACACAGAGAGTATCCAAAGATGAGAATAAATATGTGTATATAGTCAAGTCGATTTGAATTTGGAGTGCGGTGCTGAATCAATCGAATGAGCTGAACCAAATCAACCGACAATCCACCAACCTATCAAAACACAGATAGCTTTCAAGTGGCCAATCAAATTCCAGCAACCATCGAATGCGTGTGTGACTTCAAATAGTGTGCATGGCATCACAAAGGTTACATTCAAAATTCAGTCCAACAAATCGATCGATGATGGATTTGGTGAATCATCTGCTCAAATGTATGCAAATTTTGTGTTGAAACCTCAATATATATATTGTCAAGTCGATTCGAAATTGGAGTGTTTGGGTTCTCAATCGAATGAGCAGAATCACCAAATCGGCAGAGAATCGATATACGACCAATCAAAACACAAAACATGAATCAACTAGCCAATCAAATTCACTCTTCGACCAATTCAACACCGAATTAGTGTGTGACTGAAATTAGTGTGATACTGGACGATGTTTACATACAAAAGTCAGGACAATCGATCGATAGATTTGGCGAATCAGCACAAAAGTCTAAATTTTGGGTAAAAAATGACAATATATATATATATACCCATTGATACGCTACGAGCAGCACCAGCACCGCATTGACGGCCCATGCAAGACGCCCCCACGTCGAGTAGAACCCGTCGAACTCCATCTTCAACCGAATGCCATAAAAGATAAAGGACACGAGCCCCACAACTCCGCCGATGTACTGGATCAGGAACATCGTCTCACACCAGTACAGGAACTTGAGGCGCAGCACAGTCGTGGAGGATGGAGTGACGGGTTGATACAGCATCGAGAACTGCCATCCCATGGCGGGAAAGGCCAGCCCAACGTTGAGCACGGCCATGGAGCCGAGGATGGGAAGCACGGTCGTGCACGCAGAATGCTGGGTGACGTCGTTGTATTTGAACACGGACTGCACCGCGTTCTCGAACTGTGACCCCACGACTGCAACGAGCCCAACTACGAACGACGTCATGGAGATCCAGATCAACGAGCCTGCGTAGTACGAGTTTGCCATGCTGAGCTTTGGTGATGGTATGTGTTTCGCCACCACCATCTCGCGACAAGGGGACCCCGTACGTGCGATACCGCTGTCGTCGCTGCTCGTGTTGTTGTTACCGCTGCGATCGGCCGACACTTTCTCGGCGGTCTTCCTAACGCGTTGCTGCATCGGAGCGTGGACTGCTTGCGTCAATTGTTCCATGTCAGGGGAATTGTTGGTTGTACCATCAACACTCGATGGTGGCCCCTCTAGGTTTGGCGGAGGTGACGCCGCCGGCGGGATCGCTTGCGCCATGGTGGTTGGTCGTGTTGTTGGGTTGCAATTCTCACTCCTCGCCAACATAGTTCGAACTTCGTAAAAGTGCGCATACAAAGATCAAGTTTGGCTGCAAAGGAGCATCGAAGTTCGAAGTAAATGTCCATCCCAAAGTACCCAATCAAAACAGTTGCACACGAATCAGTGAAAATACATTGTTTTATCCCACGTTATTCATAACGTTAACGTGCTTTTCACTCGTTTTGGCTATTCACACCATGGCACACCATAAACCTGGGTGTTCCAAGTACTATTATACCAGTAATGGTAGATATTTTAGCAAATGAAAAAGTGGTTCCAAGCACAATTTCCAACGTTTTTACCTCTTTTTCTACGATTTTTAACGCAACTCACTATCCCAAAATTAGAAAAAGAGGCCCTTGACGGCTTTTTCTAAATAATGAAAAACAAGAGGTAAATCGATTTTGATGGGCTCATGTTATTTCTGAAAACTACTTGGAATTCCCCCTTACATCGACCCCATTGTCGGGTGGCATGTACTACTCGATGGAATTAACAGCCAAGGTTGTTGTCTTGGTCACTTCAGCATCACATGTATTACGTAGCAGTAATTGTTTTTGCTCAGAGTTTTTTGGCATTTATAAAACCCCAGTGAATGAGTTAAAAGAGCACGTATGTATTCAACCTTGTAACACAGTTACAGCAGATGTACCATTCTTTTAGCCACTTAAAACCGACGCCAAAACAAGTGCAAAGCACATAAGGGCCTGGTCGGCAAACAATTTCATCCCAGCTTTTGCTGTTCCGGATAATCAACATTCGGATTTTTCGTGGTCAGTGAACAATCGTCCCTGCCTGAGATGTCTTCGATCAATGTCCTCGTTGTTGCCGTAGCCACGATAATGGCTGCTATGTGTTTGGCTGTGGCTACATCAGTGGGGAGACTTATGGCCGACAAATACAACATCCTGACCATCACGACCGTTGACATTGATCGCATGCTGGACGACCCACGCTACCAGCAGTGGTTCCTTTACAATCTTCGATGTTGCCAGACCACGTTTGCCCGTCTTGTCAGCAGAAGGTGCCGCATAATACATCCAAAGTCCCTCGGCACAGCTTTGTGAAACGGATCGCAGTGCCCTACTTTCTGGGCTCACAGGGTGGCTAACTCTGCTGTCTATATAATTCGTAAGGTGAAACAGTAGGTGTTAGTAGGGTCGCAAGGATTTCGAATTCCATAAATCGATCTGAAATAAGTCAACGGATTAACTGTAATATGATTTGAACCGATTCGGTGAGCGTCATGTCTGAGAGCGCATCGTAACAGCATTACTAGTGTAAAAGTGCAGACATCCTACTAATATTGCATCTTGGCATAAACCAAATAATCACATGGACCAATTTTGTCAACTCCTGGTACTGTAGATATGTCATACAGTAATTGACTCGTTAATCTTCTAAAGCGACTTCCTGGATTTCCTATTCCACGTGGACTACCAGTAGACCATGACGAGAACCTTGTTACGCATGTTTACACCACAGTTAGTTAAAACTATTGCCCAAAGCCTAATGTCTGGACAACTGCACATCGCGGGCAAAAGACTTGATTTGGTCAAACCTTCAATGATATGCCCCGATAATATGATTCTTACTGACCGTAGTTCTACCCATAACTTCCTCATTTTGACTAGGAACCTAGGGTGTTGGCCCCAGTCGACCGAAACCATGAAGTAACGTTAGTACTGTGTCGGTAGTGAGGCTGCTGGTCGTTCCTAACGAGAAATTCACATCGACCATTTGTCATTCGATGTCGACTTCATTGGGTAGAGTTTGCAAAACGAAGGAAAAATGATAGTGAGTATACTCGAGAGTGCGATGACGACATGAGCATGAAGCTGATGCTGGTACGAGTTGTTTGGGTCGCTGGGATCTTGGCATTTTTGAAGTCGATCAAGATGATCGTCTTGACCTATTATGTTTACAAGGAACTGCCTGTTAGCGCGGATTTTTTACTTCCCAAAAAGGATAAAAATGATTGACTTACTGTTAATACTTCTACCATACTATTAATAGTACTAGAAATGCGTTTATTATAATAATGCTCGGCGGTTCAACACCCCGATCCACCGGCAATCACAAGGCAATTGGTCGACTGGAACACACCCAGGATACCCACGACGACCGACCACAGCATGGCGGCGGTACATCCAAACAACACGAGGCCGCCGATGACGGGGGACTTGCCGCCTGTGACTTTGAGTTCATGGACATGAGCTTTTTGCGACGGCATCAAGACAACCCAGACGCACGCAAATATGGTCGTGGAGTAGTAAATCAGGTACGTATACGCGACCTGGGTGCGCGCGTCGGCCGAGTCCGCCTCGATGTACAGGTTATCGACTTTGAATTGGCCAAAAATGACATTGGCCACCACCGGGCCAAATACGAGCGGGAGGTTGCTTACAGTCGTGAGTAGTCCGTACGTGATGCCTTCGTTGCCGACTTCGGCGAGCTCGACAATGACAAACGTCGTGACAATGAACTGCATCGCATACGGGAGTTGCTCCGCCACGGGCACGCCCAGGTAGAACCACTGGTTGCGCACGACGTCATAGATGGTCATGTACTGGACGGTGGCGTCAATCGCGTTCATGCTGAGCGTCGTGAGGACAATGACCCAGCGCCAGTTCCAATCGAGGCCCCATTTGCCCATCGCCGCCAGCACGACCGCAAAGATCAAGTTGCTTGCGATCGTCGTGAGCTGGGTGCCGAGGTTTTCGACCTTGGCCCAGTGGTACTTGACATATGGTGCCGCCGTAGACGAAATACCTGACGCAAACAAGTTGAAGAAAAAGTTGAACAGCATCACTTGCCACGTGGCACGCCGCTGGACGAGGTCCCAGAACTGCCGCAGATACCCCGCAAACGACACGCCGGTTTGCCGACTGTCTTGGACAAACACACACGAGATGGGCACCATCAAGACACATACGACCGCTAGCATGAGAAACAGCGCGTGCATCCCCATATCCCATGAAAACGTCCCGCCGTAGCTCGGTGAGTTGAGGCACACGCCAATCACAATCTGAGACACGATCGAGGACACGGTGCGTGTGGTGTAGATGAGCGACTGCATGCGACCTCTGGACGCGAAGGGTTCGCGCTGGGCGACTTCGACCACCAGCGCGTCGGCGGGCACGTCGGCGATGATAAAGCTAACGGTCGCGGCGGCAAACAGGATCGCCACGTACGCGCCGTGGTCGCCCAAGCTGGAGCTAGCCAAGGCAGAGTTATTTGTGGCGAGCAATGTCGTGTAGGACGGCCCGTGGTCCTTGATCCCGAGCACCACCATGCACGCACAACACAACGTCCACCCGACTATCATCCACGACTTTCGGCGGTAGCCACAGATCGGCACACAGTCGGACAACATGCCGACAAACACTTTCAACGTCCACCCAAACGAGACCAACGCCGTCGCCGAGTTGTATTCGGCACCCGTGAGGTGAAAGTACGCTGTGAACAGAGGATACGCCAAGTTGGGCAGCGCGCCGTAGAGCAATCCCACGGCCACGTACTGCGATAACAGGGCCAACACCTCTGGACTCGTGTAGTTGGGCGGGCCGCCGGGCCGAATCGCGCCTCCTTCGAAGTACCCGTGACCGTCGTAGTAGTTGTACTGGTTGTCGTCGAGTGGGTGCTGTTTCGGTGTCTTGAGCGGGTCGTAGTCGTCGTCGTAGGATGCATGGTTCTGGCTGGTGTGGCCATGGTTGTTGTAGTCGTCTCGACCGTTGACGAAGCGCATGCGAGACACGAAGTATATGGAAATGGCATCCACATGTGGCCATTACAATCACTTTGCCATGACCCAGCTATTGGTCATAGGACCAGATGCTAAACCCATAGCAGATAATAGTACCACACCAAGTAGCATCAAGCAATGCTGCTGAGCTTACTCCACGACCAAATAGTCACGATAACGTTTTACTTGAACCAACTATCGACATCTACACGCTACAAACAAGGTGGCGTGTCATCCGTCCTATTAATAGCAAATCATCACAATTGCTCTTGGAAGTGCAAACTGGTTGTTCAAGAAAGCTGTGACGCAGGAATCTATCTTGTTGTATCAGGTCATAAAATGGGTCCTTTTATGAAACGTTGATATATAATTCAGTATCCAGAATACAGTAATTGTCAAACATAAAAATAACTTCCAGGTAGTCAAAATCCTGTGTCGCAAGGTGTTGTGGACATGGTTCAAGCGCTCTATCGAAAAAAAAAACGCGTTGGCGCCAGTAAAACACTTTTTTCCTCTTGTACTTCGCTCCTTCTTCGCCGTGTTTCGACTATGTCCCTTGTCTACGGATGTCCAAGGAATTCAAGTGTACTCTTCAATAGTACATTCAATCTGTCAGTTCAGAGTTGATAAATGTGTTCAAGCTCTACTGTAAGCACATCTCCAACGGTAAATTCGTTATTGTGCTTTCAAGCTAAATTTGGTATCTTCGGTAGATTTGACGGACGACGTGAAATCTACCTGAAATCGTCGAGATATCGTTTTACTTGAACTAAATATGCTCACTGTGAATCCTGTCCGATACAATGTTAAATAAACTCTTTGTGAATGGAAAAGCATCCAAAACTCCTACAATTTGATTGGTCGTCGGTTTTCAGCCGATAATTTCATTGGCTACTTCGGTCCGTCGATGACTGCGTCAATTTTGCATCGTCGATTCGATTGGCAGCCCCAGTCCATTTTGAAATCGATTTACCAATAAGGGTAAAACATACTACCGTAGTACTACATTATACCTTACGTTGTACTAGTACTGAACGACGAGTCTCGAATATCTTCATTCCTCGTAAATTTTGAGCTTGCGGGGTACTAGTACAGTAATACAGTAGATATATTGCGACCTACTCAATGTTGAATTAATGAGTTACTTTATGTACTTTTTTGTATGAGTTCATATGAACTGATTTGCGCTTATCAACTTACTGTTACCGGTAGTGTATTTTGATCGTTCCACGCATATATACCGTATGTCTTGGGGACCATGGTGTCTTAATAATGATAATCCAAACTCAATTAACCATGGAGCAGCAGAAATGGATGAATGACTGGGTCTTGTATTCGGAAAGATGATATTCGAAAATTTCAGGATAGGATATTTTTGGATAATATCATCGAAAATAGATAACCTTATCCAACGACATTCAAAAATAGAATATTTGCGACAATTTATTGTTACAATATATTATACCGATATCAGAAGTCTAGTCATAATAAGAACAACCAATACTGTGAATTTGCAATAAAATTCCAAAATTCGAGTGGTTTGTCTATGCAATACGGAATCATACTGGAGTTGTGATTGGTTGAATATACTTGTGCTTTCTGTAAGAGCCAATCAAATCCGTACAAAATTGCATTATCTAATCCAGCGTCGATTCGTGATTCGATTCGGTGGTGGGATTCGATTCGACGATCTGGAAACTTTTACCAAATCCACAATATAAAGATCACATTGTTGCATATAGCTTGAATCAACAACTGTAGAGATAAACAACTTCGGACTTGCCCAATTCGTCACACTTTAAGAACATGCACGTGCATGCAGGTAAGATCGCATGACAGAGAGAGCTGTGAACCAGTAATGCACAACTAGTACTTTGTAGTACACTGTATGAGTAGTATTGCTCTTACAGCTCGAGAAACGAGTCGCCGAAGTTCGTCCATTTTCGATAGATGCGCACCTCGGCATGTCGTCTGTGTACGGTGCGCGTCTTCTGTGAAGCCCGGATATTGTATCACAAAACATGCACATGCGCAATAAAAATAACCCAACGCTATCCGCAAAAGTAATGAAGTATCCGGATATCCACTGATATGAATATGAACAACTACCGCAGGAACAGCGAGCGAGATAAGCGTGCCAATACATCAGTCAACGCATTTCTCCTACAAGTTGGAAGGATATGAAGAAACTTCAGATATGGCTTTCTCCAACCATAATGCCTCGATTTGGCCCTTACATACCTAACTGTAAGGATTCATCATCTTCCATTCAAGACGAATCGAAAGAAAGGATGAGCTAAATCCGACCAGTATTTGAAAAATAAAGATTCATTTTGCCCAAACGCACGGTAACTTCACGTTATGATTCCAAATTGAGTTTCCGGATAACGTTAGTGCAAGAAATGCACACGTCAGTATTGTGGATTCGATACGAATTTCCAAACCCCGTCGAATCGAATCTCGCCGCCGAATTCGCTACTCCGGAGTATAAACTTCCAAAATTCACCTGGTTTGTCAAATCAATATAAGCTTAGAATCACGCCGTAGTTCTGATTGGTTGAATATGCTTGCTCTTTCTGTAAGAGCCAATCAAATTGACTCAAATGTGGATTAGCCAATAACGTTAGTGTCGATTCGTATTCACAATATTAATAAATGATTCATTTATTGAAGAGGACGATACCTGTCGTATGTGTGTTGCTTCACAAGGGCCAATCAAATGTTACGTTCAAATACATTGACCAATCAGAGCTCGACTGGACTGGGATGGTATTCGGCAACCATTTGATAGCGACACGATGGAACTGTTGTCGGCGGAACTGTCTGCGGAAACCCTCGCTGCCCTGCAAGCGCATCTGGCCACCGCCAAGTTGAACGAAGACAGCGAAGTGTCGGAAGACTTTCGCTTGTCCCAATTGTGAGTGATGTCTAGGCAACAACACGGAGGAGTTGACCACGTCGTAGCTGGTACGACACGCGTACGGGCGACGCGTTGGCGCTGGAAGCTCTGGAAAAGAGCAATGGAGGCCCCATTGCGTTTGTGAGCACTCCCGCAGCGTTCAAGGCCCTCAAGGCCATGCATCCCGAGCGCAGCGACGTGTACTTGTTTGAATACGATCCCCGATTCGAAGAAAAGTACCCGTCCGAGTTTGTGTTTTACGACTACAACACGCCGTTGGCCATCAATTCCAAGTTTGAGCATTTCTTTGACTACGTGCTGGTGGACCCACCTTATTTGGTACGACGACTCGTATATAACCATGGCATGTGACAGAGTTGTAGAACACAAACTGCATGTCAAAATTCGCCCAAACCATGCGCTTTTTGTCCAAGCATGTGACCACGCAAGGCCAAATTCAAACGCCCAATGCGTTTATTACAGGTAACTAGTTACACACTCATGGAGTTCCTCGTTTTGGACATCATTGGGTACGAATAATGATGCTGATGGAATGTGTCGTACTAGCGCAAATGCTACGAAAAGACATTTTCCACGACTTGGGGTTCACTCCGTGTGGTTTTGTGCCCACGTTTGACTCCAAGTTGTCGAACCGATTCCTCACGTACACCAACTACACGTCGACGCGCTTTGGACCTTGCGAAGAAGACTTTAGCGACAGCGACGATTAAGCCGGACGAACAAATATATGAACCGAGTCCTAATTAATAGTAATACCCGACTTGTTCCTCGTTGATGGCCATAGTACTATTATGAAAGTATGAGCGAAACTCGCACTTGCTCCACCAACTCCGTGCTTATATCCCTGCCATACCAACAACACTGTCCATTCAAGTAAATGCCAGCGTAGTTGCATTCCGTACCGTGATGTACTGTACAGTACATACACTACAACAAAACTAGCCATGTTTCAAACATGATGTCGAAACGTACATACTACTATGAATAGTCTGCACATACCATGGTTTATATCGACTAGCCAATCAATTTGGTTTTACGTTCAGAACCAACCAATCATCATTCAGTGTTATATATATTCAAAAATCATTGCGATTCGAGCTGCAGAAATCCAATTTCTAATTGTAAACGACGTTTCGATGTTATCCAGATAACCCATTATCCGGATATCCAATCGAAAAGCACCTTCACGCATAGGATTGGAGCGGAACATTGATGGCACCACCATCGTCATGGCAGCCGACACAGCGCGGCGCTAAGCGACTGCCACCGGTGCAGGTGTATGCATCGTCCTCCGACTCCGAGGAATATGGCGACTGCATGAGCCACACTGGGAAGAAGGAAACGAAACGGCAGAGGTCGACCTGGAGCGACGACGACTTCGACAAGAACGACGACGAATTGTACCTTCACATTCAAAACGGCCAGGGAATTGACGACGCAGTACCATCCCGCCCACGTCGAAAGAAACAAAAGCCATCAGACCAGCCCCAACGCGGCCTTCGCAACAGCCACCTGTGGCGATCAGAGTTTCCGCCGTGGCTGAGGAAAGTGGACTCGAACGCCATGGTGTGTCCCAACGAAGAGCTCGAGCACATGGCAACGTACTTGAGCGTGAAGCCACAGGAGGTGCAGGCGCGACGGGCTATCGTGCGAGACATCTCGGCCACGATCCAAGCCGCGTTTCACCAGTCGCATGACCTCCAGTTCCACTTGTTTGGGTCGTTGGCGACCGCGACGTCTTCCCTGGCCACCTTTCGAAGCGACATTGATCTGACCATTCAGGTTGTTGTTCCGCCATCCTCGGCCAACATGGTGGAATACACGAGCGCCACCTACGACGACGACGAAGGAGGGGGGTACCCCGACAGCATTGGGGCCGACCAGTCGTATTTCGACGACCACGACGCCGATATCGACATTAGCGGCATGCAATTCAACTTTATCACGTCTTCCTCCTCTAGCCATGCGCCTAACTCAACGCCTCCGTCAGCAAATGCGCCAGCCACGAACCAACGTGCGTCCTCCATCGCGACTGCTGCTGCTCTCAACAACAAACCCGCCGCCACGTCCATGTCCAAGGCCGAGCGAAGTCAGTGCGTCCGCTTCCTGCATAAAGCCGCGCGGTCGCTACGACAGGCGCACCCGTCGTTTCAAGTGGAAGTGCGTCGGCTGGCCAAAGTGCCTATCATCAACGTTGTCGACGTACGTTGAAAATATGGTATTTGAATGGCGTGTTTTGTGATTTCATATATATATCTACGTTATATAAAGTTAACGTTATTGCAGCTGCGCATGCTTTTATTGTGATTGTCCAGCATCATATTTGCAAATAATCTTAATATATATTAGGTGTTGGTGTTACTACATTAGTACGATGACCCCCAATGCATGGTGCTGCAGATACAAGGACTGACACGTGGTTTCTATAATTTGCTCCTTTTGTTCCAAACTATTACTAGTACTACTAGTTGTGCTAGTAGTAGTCCTTGCATACACGAGACAGTGGGTTCTTGTTATTGTCGTTTTCGCTGAAATTTGGACTTGGCAGCTGCTGATTCGAGAATCGATTGGAGTCCGATTTTAAGCTTATTCAATCTATGGAATACACATTTCATGATGACCAGGTTGGCTGGGCCAAACTGTTGGCCAAACAATCCTAATCGATGATTGGATGAATATTCTCATTCGTGCGCTTTGATTGGCTAGGACTTTGTCCAATACATTTGCGGAAGTCCTAAGTATGTTTTTAAATATATTTTCTTGTAGCCAACGTCAAAGATTGAAGTGGACGTGAGTTTGGGAATGGAAAACCCGACGCCAGGCGACCGAATCGTCGCGTGGTATGCTGCCAATCATCCCGCTTTTAATATCCTTGTGGTACGTGGCCACTCCTGGACAACTCCCTTTTAATATATATATATTAAAAGAGAGTCATATAAATGTCATCCAGTGTGGCGGCTTGTTTGATAATAAGCAAAAATACGCGACCGGTCGACAGCTATATATCTCTTGTCGTCTGGATTTTGTGTCTCTAAGAAATGTATGTAGTATTCAAAATGTATGTATGATAGGTGCTACTCAAGGAGTTCCTGTATCAAAACGCCATCAACAAGCCATACGAAGGCGGGATTGGCAGCTTTCGACTGTACTGCATGGTCACGCACGTCCTGGCCACGACGCCGCGCAAGGAACGAGGCGCCCCCGCCGCTCTTCTCTTGCGCTTCTTCCAACACTTTGGATGCTCGCAGAAATTCAACAATCGCACCGTGCTCAAGCTCGACCTTCCCCACCACGACCCGCCGCTTCGGGTACGTTTGTGTCCAAAAACAATATCTCCATTTTATGTATTTTGGATTTGGTACGAATTTCCGGACCCTGTTCCATCGAATCACGCCAACCAAACCGATCACAAATCGCTCCCGTTGGTCTGTCTAAAAATGCTTGTCGCTGATTGGGGCTACATTATTTTTCCTTTTTACTTCGACATGGGGAAAGCCAATAAAATTTCGGTGTGAGATTTGTGATCAGTTTTGCAAATCGCGCGTAAAATTGGGAAATTTGTAGCAAATTCGTATTATTATTGGACCTTGTCTATTTTGTTGGATTGGCCGTCAAGTTGGTGTATTGTGTGTCTTTCTGCATGGGGGGAGGGGTTCCATGGCTTTGGAAATGACCAAATAGAAGCCTGGAATTGAAACAGTTGAAACGAACGACGACGACAGGGTCGTTGTTTCGTGACAAGGTTAAACTCAAAACTGCGTTTTTCCCCTACAATACTTATATATATATCCTTACGAATCCGAAAAAAATAAATACATATATTTTTCAACCCAAAGATATTTTTTAAACCTTCGTACTAGTATACCCTTTTTCTAATGTGATACAAATAATATATAAAAGAAAATGAAAGCGCCTTTTCTGATTTGACATGTGGATGTTGTATGTACGGTATAGTGCGAAGTGGAGTTTCAATCGATCTTTCGTATCCGAGATTGCAACGTGTTGTTTGGGGAAGCGTCCAAGCGCCTCCAAGATGGAATGAACGCCCGCCCGCCGCTTTCAGTGGCAATGCAAAAGCAGCCAAAGCAGCAGAATGAGGTGGATAAAGCTGCCACGTCCAGCAAGGGGGGGGTTCTGGCTAGCTTATTCTGGACGCGCGACTTACGACAAGAACGAGAGCGGCGACTGGCACTGGCGGCTCAAACAACGTCCAAGGGCATTCCAGGGTTGAATGGGGGGATTCAGCTGACGGAAATGGAGGAGGGTGCGACTGTGGTGGTCAACGAAAATGCGAAAAAGATCAAACCAAGGCATCGTCCTCCACCGTTGATTTTGGACAAACGACATGGAAAGAAACGGATCACAACGTCGACGAAAAAGCTCAAGCAAGCCAGGCGGGTGCGCATGGCGTTGGGGCAGTAGGAGTAGAAACCTCGAATGGAAATAATAGTTTGTGGATTACAACAGGATGATGGAAATATTGTCCTTTTTTTCAAAAGTATAATACGACTTATGGTGCTGATTCGCCTCAAATCCCTCGATGATCGGTCCTTGGGACTGAATTTTGTATATAAAAGGTTGTTCTGTGGTGATTGGAATCACACTAATTTAAAGTAACACACTATGTACTCGGACTACACTTACAATTAGCTGATTTCCTGCCATTTGATTAACTAAATACTTTTGCCGATTCTGCTGCACACGTATTTGTGTCGATGCATGTATTCTCCATGTCCCTCCAGTTTAGAATAAACACAAGCAATATGGACACATTCGTAGTGCGATGTTAGAATTACCGTGTTTCGTCGTAATAATACTGCGTAGTAGATACGATGCATGTGATGTTCTGACACTTGATAGTGTATTCCACGAAAAAAGGGAAATTCGACGACTAGAGTTGTTAATTCTGTAGACGCTGTAGCTTGAGTTTCTTGTCCTGCGCTTTGAGTTTCTTTAGCAGCGTCGTCAGTTGACTCTTGCTTTCTTGGTCTTTTAGTGAGCTCACGAGCTACATACAGTACACAATAACGACACAAAGGTATCACAACTTCCAAATGTCCATCCATTCGCGTCGACCTAGATAAGAGAGATCTTGGAATATATAATACCTCTATCGCCAGCAATGAGTTGCCCTTGAGCATCACTTGCATGAATAAGACGCCCACAACAGCCCACACAAACGCGATTTGATTGGTCGAAAGCTCAAACGCAGTCTTGACCCCGTCGTACGTTGACAGCACCTACATTCATCCGGATGATGAAACTCAACTCTGCACTTGTTCTAGCCTCTGCTTTGTAGCTACTTGTTCCAGCCAGCACTGTCTAGTCTGCCACTTTGTAGCTATCACTTTGGAGCCACCACTTTTGTAGCCACTACTTCTAGCTACCACTTTGAAACCACTACTTGTAGCACCACTTCTACTCTCTAGTTTCTATCCACTACGTCCTAGACTAGAACAGCATACCTGAGCCAAGGGACCATATCCAGTATATTCATTCACAAACGGACCGCACGCCAAGTTTCCGCTGCATACACAGGCGGGGTACCCCGTTTTACACTCGGACAAGTCGTCCGTGGACCCCACCTGAGACATAAAGTACGTGCTCTATAATACACCCAGCTTTCGTTAACTCTGTCACATGGTAGATAGTTATATGTCGGCCATCTTATATATGTATATATCCATATTTTCAAGCATGTTACCATGGTGTGGTTAGTCGTGGTGATGGTGCACACGGTCGAGTTGTTAATCAAGCTGCCAGGTATGCACAAGGAGCTGGAGATGTTGGCTTCTTGCAGAGAGCACAGCTTGGGCAGCGTCGTATTGGTGACAAACCAGTACATGCACCCGAGAAAGATGAGCACAGTGGACCAATACAATTTGATGAAAAACGTGCCCGCGTCCTTGGCACTCCACGGTGTCACAGGTTTCTTTTGAAACGTCTACATCACACACAATACACAAGTCAGTCTATACCATTTACAAATGTATTCCTTGGATCATCGGTGTTCTACATCCACATGAAGGACACCAGCCACTATCCTCGTTTCCTCGTCGTGGGTCGTATCGATGATCGACTTGGTTACACGTACGTGGAGGTAAAATTTATCGAATTTGAAGCTCAGCACGAGCATCACAAGCGACGTGACGGCTGTGACGGGGGCCAGCGGAATTGAAAACTGGTACAACGTGCACGAGTACATGAGCGCAACCATCTTTGGGGCTAAAACAAACTCGGCCCTCGTGTCGGACACTGATTGGCTCGTCGATAACATATTGGCGTTTTTCCGCTTAAGGCGGTACTTGTGGATCTTGGCGAGTCCGATTTTCACACTTGCCGTGGCGATGCCCGACACTTTGGACACGACAAAGTCGGTCCAGACGAGGATGATCAGGCCAGACGCGACCTGCTCCGCCCGACACGCGTATGTGTCGCCCTTGAACTTGATCATGACGCTACTCCGAATCTCAAACGGCAGCGGCAGCCAATCGAACGGCGCCACGTCCGTCGTGAGCATGTACGGGTCCAGGAGCATCCCGTACGACCACAGCTGGATCAAAATATTGAGCACCTTGGCCAGAAACAACCGCGTGACCATGGCTTTGATCTCAAACCCTTGGTCGTCCCACCTTTCAAACTTTGTCAACGTGGAAATAATCGGCGGCAGTGCCCCGTTGATCACGGCGGCCCCGAGCGGCACGATACTATGGCACCACACACATAACAAAATTTCGTATCGTTATCATGTACAGATAGATAGATCGAAGCATCAATCACATCGGGCCAAGGCGGAGGCGACCAAGGTCATGATCATGTCCTTGGTCGGTAGGTGCTGTTTAGTATTGAAAATATATATATATATGCTAGTTATATATCTCGGTCCATATAGAAAATAATAATAATATACATTTTAAACGAATCCTTTAAAATGGATTGTAGCGAAATATACCTATCTAGCCAGCTTCTCTACTACCTACCTCGTGGCGTAAGCAGTCAACGCTGGCACTTTCTGTTTGATGGTGAGCTGCAACTTGGATGAAAACACCGTCAAAAGGACAATGAGGCCCCAACACGTGCTCTGTGTAATCATGTACACCAACGCTGCAATGGCCCGCCGCGCGTATAGCCGATACCGGTCTTCCCTGAAACAATATGTGGGAAATATATATTAATATAATCAACACACCAACGCAAACATATGTACACTAACTACTATATATATACAAATTATATACTAGTATAAATATATTGATGCCATTCAGTTTTCAAACACAAACCTGCTTCGCGTTTGAATCTTTTCTTGCTTGACGTTGTCGTACAGAGCAACTTCGAGCGCTTCGCCAATACCTTTGCGCCAATCCGCTGCATCCTAATAATTTATATATGGAAATTGGTTGTATGAATTATATACATATATATATATATATACCTGTGGCGACGACGTTTCAAAATCCCATGCATTCAACAGCAGCTTGCTAAATTTGTACTAAACACCCAATATTGATACTGTATTTACACCGGTCCGTGTCTCACATCTCAAGATCGCATAATATATGAAGTATATGGAAGCAAATATGTCAACCGGTACTTCAGATAGAGATAGTAGTTATGTAACAAATCTTGACATACTTGATGCCGTTCATCGGCTGCATGCACTAGTTTGGCCACTCGATCTTCACGCAACCACTTGTGCGACGAAATACACAAGAAACAGGCACACACGGCCGTCAAGTACACCTACAAGTGACCAACATACACTCTCGCGTAGGTACAAACCCAACAAACGGTGAACCATCGTACGCTGTAGTGCAATGCCTCGTGGGGGGTGTAGCTAGGATACAAGAGAAACGTCGGCGTCGTGCCCGTAAAAGCCGCCCAATCCGTGTAGTTCTACATCCCCACATAATTTGGTCATCACATGGGGACGACATTCGTTTAACATGTCAATAACCTTCCATACAATTCGTTTTATTTATTGTTGATTTCACACAAGTGAATACACGACAAACATGTCATCACGTTTGCTCGCCGTTGCCCGAACCTTATGCAAAGTTTGTAAGAGTACCTGGTTGGCCAGTTCCACGACGTGAATCGCAACGTTGTACAGCGTGGGCACGAGTAACAACAAGTAGTTGAGCATCACCCACCGGCAAAACCCAAAGTACGCCGACACACTCGACCCGAACCGAGCGTCGATTTGCTTGATGTCGTGCACGAGCGGATTGAAGCGCCGGACAAGCAAAAGCAGACGCTGGCGGCGCGACTTGCGCACGTCGCCGAGGTCGTCGCCGGCGCCTTCGTCTTCAAAATCGGCGGCGCCGTGGATCATTTGCCGCAGGGCTTCCTTGTTTCGTTGGCGTTCGAGCTCATCGCGACCGGCGTTGTGGACGACCGTGTTTTGGAATTTGTTGGGGGTGCGCTGAAACTGGGATGACATGGCCATCGCTTCCTTCTCCCACGCGTCTTCCTGCTCGGCAAACGCCGCCGCTTGGTCTTTTAGCCGGGTTTCCAACTGCTTGATGCAGTCCTGGTATGCCGTCTAATGATCATGGGAAAAGATTGGTCAAGTGTTGGTTTGGTTGGTGTACCCGGCGAGCTTGCCACTTGGCCATGCGAGACTTCATCTCTTGCAACTGCGTCGCATACCGCTCGATTTTTTTCTCCAAGTTCATTTGCTGGTACTCGGGGCTTTCGCTCAAGAATCCATCCACGACGTCGTCGTCGTCCTCTTCGTTTACTCCTTCTTGGTCGATTCGATTTGTTCGCCCAGAAGTACGAGAAGGATCTCCGCTGCCTCCGTCCAGATTCAGGGCCAGCCTTTTCGACAACGTAGCTTCAATGTCATTCCAGTCTTGACGGGGAGAAAACGCTGTCACATGACTACTCGATCATCCGTGCAATGAATGCCACCACGAGGAATGCTTATAATACGTGTCTACATACGTTGTGATAAACCCATCAACGTCTTCATCGTCCAGGTCAACGAAACCAGGTTTGGGAGGTCGACCAATCACGCGAGTGCTGGAATCAAATGGATCGTCGTCAGCGGTTGGTAGCACTTTGGCTTTCTGGTGGCCCTATGAACCGTGTCGCAAATCAATATCGAGCACTCCATCAAGTGCCGCATACCCGCATGCACACGCCCTCAAAGTCCCGTAGATGCAACTTGCAATCGGTTACGGCGGTTTCGACACACCAAACAAAGCACCAAGGTACTGTTCTGTACATACGTAGTTGTTGAAGTTGTTACCGATGAGAATTCAATGTGTGCAAGTGGCTGATGTTACTATTATAATCCCTAGCGTTCGATGTCCTTTGGGGGATAATCTCTAGTTGTGACTTATACCTTGTGCTCAATAACGGTTAGTGTCAATTTTCTTCGTTTTGACTAGCGGTTTCAAAATACCGTTTCGCATGTTCAGTATCCGAATTTTTCCGCATAACAAACTACACTGCACACTTTCGTCGACCACTTGACCATGCTGATTGCACTAGGCCGGCGGTCCCTGCGATGCGTCAGCTGGCGTCGGGTGTTCACGACAGAATGCGACGTTGCGACCAAGCGGAGCATCCTCGAGCGCGTGTCCCAAGCGTCGGCGTCTGAGCTGGACTCTCTCGCGGCCACTGCCGACGCAAGGACCATGTTGCATCTGCAGTCGCTCCTCCCACCCGTCACTGCCGTCGTGCCCGACCCAACGTCGCTGCAATTGACGCAGCTCATGGCTCGGAGTATGGTTCCGTTTCTCGGGTTTGGTTTCGTGGACAACTTTATCCTCATCCTTGCCGGGGACTACATCGACATCACCCTTGGCGTGTCCCTCGGCATCTCGTCCATGGCCGCCGCGGGTATTGGCAATGCCATCAGGTACACTACCACCAGTCTCCAACACCGTAATATTCATCTGATCCCACCTTATGTAGCGACGTCGCCGGGATCGGTTTGGGCGGGGTCATCGAAGGCTTTGCCACGCGCTTGGGACTGCCAGACCCACACCTCTCGAGGGCGCAGATGGCGCTTCGCATCACCAGAGTTGCGCATTACACTGGCAGTAGCGTGGGCATATTCATCGGCTGCATCCTTGGCATGTGTCCGTTGTTGTTTTTGGAAACCAAGGAAGACCGCCTGTTAAAACCCACCGCAGACGCAGTTAACTAAGGGTAGAGACTATTCATAACTAGTACCAGTGGTACGACGTAGTACATACAGAAGACTAGTACATAGTCTGTCCAAGAGGGTAGCCACGATTGAAATCCCAATATTGTCCATTTACCCAAAATTTGGACTTTTGTGCTGATTCGCCAAATCTATTGGTCGATTGTTGGTGCAAAATTGTGTGGTAAGCTAATGTCAAAATGGTCCAGTGCCACACTAATTTAATCACACACTAATTCGATGTTGAATTGGTCGATGAGTGGATTTGATTGGCTACTTGATTCTTGATATGGGTTTTGATTGGTCGTATATCGATTGTCTGCGGATTTGGTGCTGCTCATTCGATTGAGCACCCCACTCCTATTTCGAATCGACTTGACTCTACTAGTTCTACAGTAGTATGGAACAACCAACCCCCGCCCGTTTCGTTGCTTGGATACAGTAGTATATTGTTAGGCCGCTGACACCAATGCCAATGTTGCGACAGCGTTGTTACTACTACTACTAGTAGTACTACTACTATTAGGCGCGACGGTTTTCCCACCAGATCCTGGACTGGCGGCGGCAGCGGCGGCGGCACTAGTACTGCTAGTACTACTACTGCCAGCAGGAGTACGTGGAAGCGCTACGACACGGTCCAACACATCGAGCCACTCGGTCCGTATGTCCATCGTGTCTGCGTAAAACAGCAGCGAATGGCTGTCCATAACCACTTCAAATGAGTTTGGCTTGTCCGCCACCACCCGCACAAATGACCCCGGGGTCAACACGTACTTGACAGGGGTATCCTTTGGCGATTTTTGAACCAGAATATGGTGCGCTACACAGTAGATACAAGATCAAATTCACACAATATAGAGAGTACGGATACTATCTCGTCCCAAAATATATAGATACATAGATAATCTACCAACTAAAAAAACGCAGTAGATACAATACTCCAATTATATATATATATGGCACAATATAGAAAATGCAGATACTATCTAGTCCCAAAAATAGATAGAGATATTCGATATTCTACCAACCAAAAAAACGCAGTAGATACAATATTCAAATTAAATATATATATATATGGCTGATACTATCAAGCCACAATAAACATATCAATAGATTTCGACTTTTCCAACCGACTCTCAAAATCCCAACTTGACAATTGTCATACAATGCCCAACTCCCCAACAATTCGACTACTCTAATATATATATAATTAAAAAAACAGACCATGGTCCCCACACGACATAATAAAAAAAATTAAAAATTCCCGCTATATATGAATACAAACGATGTCGCACGTACGAGACAGAGTAATGAACCGCCGCAGCCAAATGGGATTCACAAAGTGTTTTTGTCGAATCAGCCGCATGAGCAAGTGCCCAGAGTGCAGGACGGCGGCCACCACCTTGTCTTTTTTGTAAAGTCTGGCCTTGAGTCGGGAAGGGATCGGAGGATGGTGGATGTCGTCATGATGATGCTGGAGATGCACGTCGTCCAATATCGATGGTGGTTCCGACACCATCTGCTCGAGGTCGTTGTCGTCCGAGTCGTCGCTGTCGCCAGTGTCCAATGCACACACTTCGCCCGATGATTTCTTCTTGACCAACCCAAACATTGTCGTTTGATGGGGGGCAATTGATGCCATTCTTGTGGTGCTACCACCAGACACGGCCGGCGCCACAGCCTCGTCGTCGTGTCGACCATTGCCGTCGACAAGATGGCTGGTGTTATTGCTGCTAATGTCGGCGGCAGCATTCGTGTCTGGACGCATGTAAAAGTCGACGTGTCGTTGCTGCGCTAGTTGCACCGCCGACGCTGCAAAACACCCGCCGCCGTCGCACTGGCATGTCCCGCCATACTCTATGGGCAAGTCGGCTGCGTCGATGCACGCCAGTAGCGCCGCAGGCACGTCCGCCTCGCTCAGGATGGACGTCTTGGCCCGCGTCGTTTCGTTCAAAAGCGGCTGGATGAGCTTCCAAATCATGCCAAACCACGATGGAACGTTCACGACAAAGATCTTGAGCGAGCGCTGCGGGTAATGCTTTTGCATGACACTGGTACATCCCCGCACAAACTCCAGCACGTCGCCGGCCAAATCTACAATATAGACGCACGATGATAGGCAATATATAATACAACAGCAGCATCATCCATTGGCGCAGTCAATCAAAAACCCTGTCGCACATGATAAACGACCGGAAAACCACGAAATAATCAACAAGTTACAAAGGTATTGGTCTGATTATTCAAAACTGGGGCGACGTGCCGAATGTATCGACGCAACTACATGGAGAAGAATTTAGCTACTCAGATCACCAGGAAACCATCAGCTGAACCAATCAAGAGCTAATTAGTGTGGGGCTGAAATTAGTGTGAGGAGCGTTTCCCCTATTCTTTTATGACGCACAAAATGCAGAGCAAAAAGTTGATCGATGGATTTGGCAAAGCAGCATAATAGTTTAAATTTTGGCTGAAAGGACAATATCCCTTTTTTTATTGCACCTCTCTCATGTCGATAGTGTCAAAGTTGGACTTTCCAAGTAGAATCGAATAAATCAGGCAAATATATTTGAGAATGTCCTAGCCAATCAAAAATAATACACTTTGTACATAATAGAACCAGTCAATACTTTGCTTTGGACCATGGGTTTGGCCTACCACAGTTACTGTATTTGTCCACAATACATTGGGAAAACACAGCAATATATCGGACATAAATCGCTCTCGAATCAACTGTCAAGTCCACATTTCAGCGACAAGGATATAATATATAAACCTTTTGACAACCACAAACGTTTTCCAATGCCCAAAAAGAAACATAGGACCATGTTCAATCGATTGTGAACAAATAAAAACACGCATACAACGGCCAATCAAACGTCAAATATCCACACATATATATATATAACCAATCAAAATCAACCATCCCAATAATAGACAGAGGGAGACTTGCGTACCTCGCATGCCAAGCCCCCTTGCGTCCAACACAATGCATAGTTTTTGTGTGTGGCTATCTTTGCACGATGCACAAGGACACGCGGTGGTCGCCACGCGGTTGAAAATGTACTCGACGTTGAATAAATAGTGCCCAAACAGATCCGACAGCGTCACACCGTGGGCCAGTAACCCCTTGAGGTCGATCCCGCCGAGTTTTTCAATGTACACTGGGTGGCCTTGCTTGTCTTGTTTGTGGATGCACTGCTTGTAAAACCTACCAATAAAATGAACATCAGTCTGCGACGACGTATATCACACATGTGACACCGTGTGTGCTTCCAATTGTTTGCATATAGAGTAGATGTGTAGTAGTATATCGAGCGATATTTAGTGTTTCTTCTAAACTGGAGCGAGTGACATGGAGAACGAATGATATCGACATCACCAAATAAACGGACAGATGAATCATCGGTCGAAGAATGTGAATTGAGTCAATCCAGATATTGTGCTTTTTAGTGAAATTTCATTCTGTTGTGACGTGGTTTCTCGTTGGAATTTAAACCGATTTGATTGGCTACCTCATATGAGCTCAACATTATTAGCGAATCCAAACCTTCTCAATGAAATCCAACAACCAATCAGATCGATTGTGGATCGATTTGGTCGGCGCGATTCGATTGCACCGCGTCCCCAAATTTGTATATATCAAATCGACAATATGAAACCATCGTCATCACCATATAATCAGTATGTGACTTCAAGTAGTGTGATTATAATCACCACAGGGCAACATGTTGCATACAAAATTCAGTACAAAGAATCGATCGATAGATTTGGCAAATTAGCAGCACAAAAGTCAACAAAATTTTGGGAAAAAGGGCCATGTGACATATATATATATACAAGTACCGTCGAATCGTGTGGTAGTGGACTTGGGGGGTTGTGAGCACGTCGTCCATTCGTTGCTCCTTCCGCCACGCCAACGTTTCATGGTATCTTGTCCTTGCCTTGGCCAGATTGCCCATCTCAGCCACGACAAAGCTACGAGGGACAACGACGACCCCCTCCCCGTTGTCGTCATCCAATGTCAGCACTTGGGAAAGCGGGGGTAGCGTCATGTCCTGCGGCAGGTCGCCGTCCCCCATCTCAGTCTGGTCCGTCACACAAGCTGAGCCGGGCGACGCAACGACAGACCATGACACGATCGTGAGCTGGACAGTTACGTCGTCAGTCTGATCGGCCTCGTTCTGGGTGGGCTGTTGTTTGGCGTGGAACCACCACGAGCTTGCAATCCACGCCAGTGGTAAAACTGGTTTGACCCACAGCAGCACCATGCCGTACATGTTGGACGCTGCGATTTCTCCTGTGATAACGGCCACCACATACAGCCCCACGAGCCCGAGCACCACGCCCTGCTGCAGAAGCATCATCCGGCTCTGCGATTCTGCGACAGCGTGACTCAACGAGCTCGTCTTATGAGCCACAACACTGGTGGCGGTGGTTTGCACATCCAGTCGGATCGGGCGACGACGTCGTCTGGGATGTGGTCGAGGGGTCGCGTTCGATAGAGAGACAACGTCCACTGTCCACGGATCGTGGCCGGCCTTGGCATGCAACCTACAAGTTTCTTTTTCAATCTCACTACTTACTAGTAATACTAGTGGATTGGTACGTATATATACTGCTACTAGTGCAGGACACGTACGTGGACAGTGGGAGCTCGAGCGACCCAAATGACTCGCCCAACGCCATGTGAAGGCGACTGTATCGCATAGAACCTGTGACAGTGACCACGACGCCGGCCATGTCGGTATGTTCAGGAACGTCCACCGCCGTCCGAGTGTCGTGGGGATTGCTAGGGGTAGGGTCTGACACGACCCACATCGATTGGATGGCGGGAGGTGGCGGCGGATGGATGGACACACGCAACGTCGTCCCGCGACCGTCGCAGCGGAGGTATGCGCCTGTGACACCGTGTTGACATGCGGTCAGGTGACACATCCAGGTACGGCCAGACAGACAGATTATATACATGGATAATATAATATGATGACGTCGATTCGAATAGGGAGTGCTGGGGTGCTCAATCGAATGAATAGCACCAAATCCGCAGAGAATCAAAGATCGACCAATCAAACGCCAGGACTCTGCCAAGTGGCCAATCAAACGTCTGCAACCATGGATGTAGTGTGTGACTGTTTGAAATAGTGTGTGAAGGGCTGGCTGGCTTTACAAATGTTTCGTACAAAACACAGTACAAAAAAATCACCGATGGATTTGATGAGAATCTGCACAAATATATGCAACATTTGGCTCCATTCACAGGATACAGTTTCATCGTCAGTGTATTGTTGTGTGTATTCGAAACTGGCGCGGCTATAGCCATATAATCTACATATGCCGACTAAAATTGAGCCAATCAGAGTACAGCAACGCATCCGATCACACAAAAATCAACAATGTATGGCTTGAATTCATATCATGGGTATCAATCACCATCCTATAAATCAGCACGAAAATCGATCGATCGATGAATTGGTCAAATCAGCACGAAAAGACCCCAACAAATACTGTATTGGGTAAAAAAGGATAGCTGTTGATCCACCACATATAAACATATACTACACACGGGATAGGATAGGGTTGTTTTACCGTGGACGATGGGGGTACTTTTCTTGCGAAATCGGGTAAGGATTTGATTGAAGCCGAGGCGAAGGCGGTTCGAGTCGACGACTTGCACCAGCACATTGGTATCGCCGAAACAGAGCACTTGGCTGGTGCTGGCGGTTGTTCCTGTGGGCTGATACTGGTCTGGCGTCTGTTGTTGGTGTGGTGGTTTAGCCGGTTCGCCATAGTACATGCCAGCGGTGGACTCGTGGAGCAGGTCCTCTGGGGAATGGGCAGACCCATCGGGGTCCATCTGCGACGCGGTCGTCGGCTTGACAAACGCGATCGTCATCTCACCCGGGCGGTTGAGTTTCTCAGTTGGGGCAAAGTGGCCGTTGAATTCAAACCCGATCTTGTTATTCCAGACTTTATCACAGACGTCCACGAGCACGACCACGTCGCCGTAGCTCACGGGGCTGCCGAGCTTGAGGTGCGCGTAGTAGCACTCGGGTAGGACGCGGAAGTAGGATGGCGTGAAGTGCGGCTCGGACGGAAGTGCCACGCACACCAACGCGCCGCATTTGTGGAGCGTCAAGTTGTTCGGGCGCACCGCGTCCACGTCGAACAAGCCCACGACCCCGAGGTTCTGCGACGTTGCGTTGTGGGCGAAGGATGGGGTACAAGTATTTTGGCTTGAACTGGTGTTGCTGCTACTGGTAGGAGGAGGGGGTGGTGGGTCTGTGATGACCGACCAGAGACAAATGACATCGCCGAACTTGACGGGGTGAGGCATCACGTCCAAGTCGGTGACGTGCGGATCGACCTAGACAGACCCGATTTAGATTGGACGTGTCGGTTTGTCTTGGGCGTACCAGGCGACGAGACGCCGCGGCCGAGGTGGACGGGGCTGGATTGCCTGGTAGGTCTGAACCCATCAACTGTGTTGGTATGTCTCCTTCCGAACGATGGTGGTGGAGCGTCGGCGTGGCTGTGTTCGCGGGAACGGGTCGTAGTGCAGATGCCATCGAGACGGATTGCTTGAGCGTCGGCTTTCTTTGCCGCCCCCGTCGCTTGAACAGCCCCGCCAACGCGACGTCCGTCCCATTTTGCGACATGCTTTGGGGGAGTGACGATTGCGAGGATGCTCTGCAAGGCAGTTGATATTACTGTATCATCGGTCACATAGTTGGTGTCGGAATTGAGCTAATTTGAACGAAATTTGTACTTCGAAGTACATCGTGTCTGTCTACTCATTTTTTAATATTTACTTCGAAGTAGAGTAAGCTAACTCGTTTTTTTATACGAAGTAGTATATATTACTACGAGTATGCAGTACAGTTCTGTATTTGCAATGTGTAATTGGTCCAGAGGCCTACTAGTAATTGGTCTAGAGGCCTATTATAGACAAGCAAGCATTACACCACCGTCACTCACCATTCAGCTCTACTGTACTTACATAAAGTACACTGTACTGTACGTACGGAAACTATGGGAAAACGTTCAAGAAATCTGGATAGTTTCCGTTCAACCAAGACTGAAAACCGTTCAAGCAAATTTACTTCCCGTAGCCCTCTAACACCGGGACTTCGTTCTACCCCCGTGTGCACATACTTTGAAGTATAATGCTTACAGATAACCCCTAGTAGGAGTTGTGGTCAGAGTACGAAACATATGCCTCACCTAACTAGAGTTTATTAGTTTGAACGGTTTTTAGTCTTGGTTGAACGGTATCCAGATTTATTGAACGTTTTTCTGGACTGGTATCGAAGGTAAGTTTTTACTTCGACGTAGTTCTGGACTACGGTAGTATTATACTGTACAGTGGAACAAATTGAATAATTCCCTCATTCACAAACCGTGAGACTACTACTGTAGTATTATATATCTGTTTCATTTTGACAACTGGAAACCTTCTCTAGCCGATGATGCCTCTATATCGTCGATACCGATCCCACCCTGCGTTAAATGCGTTTAACGTTAAGTGGTTTACGTATAGTTTACTGTGTATCCCTACCGGTAGTCAGTGTAGTGGTGAGGGTAACCATTTATTTCCCCATCTTCTATACCCTCAATGAACACGAATTTATGAGAAAAGAATAACGGCTCTACTAAGGGAATTAAACAATTTCGGGACCTGAGTACCACAGTTCCAGTACGACAGCAGTTATAAATAGCCTCCATTTCGGATGAAAATATTGTTATAACGTTACTTCAAGTTGTGTTCTCCAAACCACAAGTGAGTGGCACATTTCACTTTGTAGGCGACGACGTTACGAAATTTCTTGCCATCGACAAGCCATGAACACTTATAACAACAACGACGACGAAATGAGCAGCCAACCGCAGCAGCAGCGCCACCATCATGGCTATGCCGTGCCGCCCGGACCGTCGCCTGACAGCACGTATCCGCCACCTTGCATGATGCATGACCCCGACGAGTTGCTTCCTTCCCAGCACGTGTCGCTGCCACCGCCAATGGAACCATCTTCATCGCCTGGCTTTGACATGACGAGTGCAGCATTCTCACAGCCCATGTATCCGCATCACACGACATCGTCGATATTCCGTGATGTAGATCCGTTGACATCGTCATCGGCGGCGGGAGCCTCGTCGTATCTTCGTCATGACGTTGGATCGACTTTATCGCAGCCATCGCACCATCATCAGGTGGTTGACCATCATGACCTCCACTACCTTGGAGCCTCCTCTTCTTCGCTGTCGTCGTGGCAACCCCAGCATCTCAATACTTCATCTGTTCCAACTTCATCCCATCCTCCTCCTCTGTCGTATGAAGACCAACACCACCCCACGACCATCAGGTCCATGCACTCAACCTCGTTTCCACTATCGTCAAACCACTTTACTTCAGCTACTCGCATCGACACGACCCCCCTCGAGTCACTGCAGCCTGCCACGTACCCTGACCTACTTCACCAGTACCCAAACCAATCCATGGGGCAGCTCTTGCAGACCCCTCCCGTTGACCACCAGCTCCATTTTCCAGCTCCCCTTCGCTCGACCTTTCACCCGTCCACGGCAGACGACCCCCTCGACAACAAAAAGGAAAAACGAAAGTCCCAAGTACGAGATGCATCCCGCCGCCGCCGCGCCAAGCGCAAGGTACCATCTAATGTTTAACATATAAACGTCAAGTATGTACCTTTATCGCACGTTCTTGCCCGTGAATGTGGATTTTGGAGTGTTTGAATCATTACTTGGGTCCCATTGTACGACCAGGTGATGGCGGCAAGTTTATGGTTATGAATGTCGTCATACTTTTCATATCACATGATTTGCATGCCTGGTTTGAATTGTTTACGTCATGCATGTCAAGTACTGTACTGTATATGATCACATGTGATATGTAGCAAAAATTAAATGGAATATAGCATAAATTAACTGGTACTACGTGTTTGTCGTTCCTTTGCACCGTGTAATTAAATATGAACAATTCGTTTTGAAGTATTCCAATTCGACAATTGATGTGAGATTACACTAGTAGTTATAGTAGTTTTAGTACTTATATTGTCTTTCTTTTACCCAATATTTGGACTTTTGTGCTGATTCTTTGCCAAATCTATCGATCGATTCTTTGTGTTACTGACTTTTGCATGCAAAGATCGTCCTGTATCACACGAATTTCAATAGTCACACACTAATTCGATGTTGAATTATTCGAAGAGTGGATTTGATTGGCTAGTTGATTCATGTTTTGTGTTTTGATTGGTCGATCTTTGATTCTCTGCCGATTTGGTTATTCTACTCATTCGATTGAGCACCCAAACACTCCAATTTCGAATCGAATGAACAATATAAGTATATGCACGTTTTACATGTCATGGTGCAGATCCACGACAAATATGGTAGTACATATACGCGGATGTTGTAGTTGATCAATTATCTAGCAACACATTTCAAGTTCAGATTTTGTTTGCATCCGACGTGTAGGACGAAGAGACGCGATTGCGCGATCGCATTCAAGAACTGACCCATCACATTCAAATTATGGCTGGGTCATCGTCAAGTGGGGCGGACGTCCGGCGACCTTCAACGATAACCCCCGACGACAACAACGCAGCGCTAGAGGAGGCGTACCAGCAGCAGCTCCATATTGTGCACATATTGCAGCAAAAGAATTTTCAGTACAAGGAAAAACTCGCCCAGCACGAACAATTTGCCCGGCTCATTCAAACGGGCATTCAGCATTTATCTACGGTGCGAGCGAGTAACGCTCCTACGATCGATCATGACTATGGCCACGTTTGCTTTATTCGCAACAACGTTTTTCTATATATATGGTGGAGTCGCTATAAACTTTTAAAATTCGCGTAGTTTGTCGACTAAATCACGCTGGAAGTTTTTTCTGATTGGTTGAATATACTTGTCCTTTCTGTAAGAGCCAATCAAATCCTTCCAAAATTGGATTCATCAATAGCGTCGATGATTCGTGAATATTCGATTCGGCGGTGAGATTATTCGATTCGACGGGGTCTGGAAATTTGTACCGAACATCCACAAGATATATCGTTAAATTAAACGCGATCTCACTCGTGCTCGTCAGGACGACCCGCAGGCGGCGCCGCAGCAGCTGCAGATCCTACAACAACAACAACGACTGCAACTCGTGCCTGGAACGTCCAGCGTTCGCGTTGCTACCACAGCCCCAGGACCTACGACGAACTTGCTCGCAAACTCGACCACTCTGGCTGCGTTGACTGGTACCAACGTCGATGTGTTAACCCAATGGGCAAAGAATATAGCTGTGACATCGCACCGCGACCTCTTGGCGTCCGCCAGGGAGGTACATTCAATTGGTAAAAGGAACCCTCTTCACGGTAAGTTGGTTCTAAGAAGAAGATCAGTGTGACCCGGATGTTGGTGTAGTGACGACGAACATTGCGATGGGGTGGACAACGCAGCTGTGGATGTCTCAAGCTGGCAACGCCATTGAACCGTCGATCGTGCAAGTGCGGAGCCACAAGGATGTGCATCGACCCAAGTGTTGTGACTGTGTAGCCAAAACATGGGAAATCCTCACGAGTGTAGCCAACGGCCGTCGCGTGTACCCTGATTTATTAGCTGTCGAGGTACCAGGAGGAGATAGATACATATCAACGAATCCAAAAATTTGTCCAGAAATGAAAGTGATGATTTATCATGTAGGCGGGGATTTGTTTGATATTATGACAACCAGGATATATATATATATCTTATATTGTGCATTTCACCCAAAAATTTTGAACTTGTGAGTGATTTCGCCAGATAGCATTCGAATCCGTTGGATCTGATTTAAGTTTGCACAAACTATAGTATACAAAGATTAGGATAATATATGTAATTTTGTCCACTGCGGATGGGCTGGGCCCAATAAAATGATTTGATTGGCAGAAGCTTGAGAGGACGTGATTTGATTGGCTTAGGCGGTGCTTTAATCCATTATCTTAAGACAGTCGAGTCTGCTGAGAGCTCCACTTTCGAAGCGATTTGACAATACATCCGCATTTGTCATACGTTTGCACCATGTCATTCAATTTAGGTAAAAAATTCCACTTGTTGCATTGATTTCAGATTAAGTACACGTGAATCACTACCCACATTGTATATTTCATGGTGCAGATCAACGACAAACACATGAGACAACTATTTTTAAAACGAATGAACTTCCATGGCCAACTTTTTTCTACAATGGTGATGTTGGTGGTGGATATAAATACTCGGACTTTGTTGATGGATATTACTTGCTCGTACTCGGAAATATATATATCGGGTTCTTTGGATTAGTTGGAGTCGTACTATGTGATCGCGTGGCATGTTGGACGATGTAGGTGGTGAACCAAGTAACTCCAAACGAGTTGGTGGTGGTGGTATATCGGAAGAGCTCAGTCATGGGAGGTAGTAGTAGTGACCATCGCGATGTCGTGTCTGTCGTATACAAGGCCAAACCAGCAGCCGACACGTGTTTCATTGGTGTGGCTTCGTTTGACCACGCCGGTGTTGCCTTCTTGGGTAACTAACGTTCATGATATGTTGTATATAACGTTATAAGTATGTACCGATGATATCCTGATTCCAATAGCATCCATTCACAAAACATATATGTGTTGGACGTGGTACTTTTAACGGTGTCAACTGATTGTAGCTCGACCACATGGCCAAGAAACAGGCGTGGTAGACAACGGGATGGCATCTCAAGTGCCAGTGGAAAGTTATGGGTGGACATTTCACAAGGACAACTCGGTGCTGTTTCAAGGCACGTACGCCGTCTGTGCCAGCGACCCCCCAGAGCTCATCACGACGCAATACGCGAACGAGGCGATGTTTGCACTCGTGCGGTGGGAAAGCCAAGCCGTGGGACCTGTTTTCAGCATTGATCACGATAGCCACCAACTAAAGTAGTAAGTAGCGCATGTATTAACAACATCACTTTTGTCCCCTTCGTGTGCACTGTATTCGTTCACAAGGCGAACAGTCGCACATATGAAACCTAGTTTTAATAATGCTATAACTACTAAATTGAAGTCAGAAGATAACTATGAATATCAATCACATATATAATTGAATCTGTCAATTGATGTAACACTGGGATACGAGGCAACCACCAAACACTGCGAAACCCAAATAACTACTGCCAACCATGGAATACAGACGTACTGTCTATTATTAGCTGTGCGTTTCAAGGCTAATTTATCCATCCACGTCGTCGAGTTGAAGGTCATATATGTACGTACATCGATGTCTGGACAACTTCGATTCGACGGATGGTATGCCTGTTCGGAATCGACCTTTGATGCGTCCGTGAATCTTGTGGCCGAGTGCGGCAAGTACACACTGCCCCTGTGCCACCCTGGCGTTTGCAGCGACGACACCCGGCGCACCCTCGACGTGTTTGTTAAGCGCATCCGCGCCGTCAACTCGACCAATCCGAAAATTCTGTGGATGCTCCAAGGCGGCCCCGGCTACGCGTCAGCCGATCGTACGTTTGCTTTCGACATGTCCGCTGGCATCGATTGAGCGTCATGAACTGTATATGATGTAGTGGACTCGTGGCTCGCAGACATGTATACGCTTCAACGCGGCCAAGTGACAGTCATGACGATGGACCACCGAGGCGTCGGCCGGAGCTCGTACCTCTCGTGCCCTGCCGCCCAAGCCACCACGTCGGGCAGTCCAGGAGGTCGAGCGATTACCCCAGACGAACTGCCGGCATGTTTGGCCAATGTGCAACACATCTACGGTACTATACGACTGACCTCCTCCAGCATATGCATGGACTACACACTACCTACCATTGATATACTGTGGATATATACAACGTCGTGGCTTGTACTCTTGTTTTCAACTTGTACTTTCGACTAGGTGCAGCCAACGCGGCAGGCTTTTCCATCACCAGCGCCGCCACGGACCTCTTGACTATCATCTCAGCGACGTCGTCTCCCACCCAAGAGGTAAGAGTACATGTATCAACGACGACAACAGCAACGATCGATCGATTTAAATCCCCATCAAGATCGTCTTGCTGATATTTGTTTTTACTCTGTGCTATACCTAGGTGTACATGTACGGCGTGAGCTATGGCACGATTTGGGTGCAGCGAGCGATGTTGGTCCTGCCGCACCTATTTCCGTCCTTGCACAACATACGCGGGTTCGTTCTTGACGGCGTCGTGACCCACAGCGGACCGCACCGCACGGTGTTTTCCGACTGGGATGTCAATCACGGCATCGTGGCGACCAAGTACTTTGACTTGTGCCGGCAAAACGCGTTTTGTGCTTCCAAATTCCCCGATAGGACTCTGTACGATACAACGTTGCTGCTATACGTCAAGCTCAACGCCGCCAGCCACGCGTGCAAGTACGTCGAGCGATCGTGCTTTGGTTTACTACTTCAAAGTATATTGTGCAATTCACACCCAAATTTGGACTTTAAGACATTCGATTCTGCCGAGGACTCCACTTTCAAATCGATTTGGCAATATCCATGGACCAATATCCGTGGTATATTATTTTTATCGTACCCCCGTGGCTGCTGTTTCGTAGCGCGTTGGTTAAAACCAACTTTGGGGACGCAGATGGCCTCAAGATGCTCTTTAGCGAGTACTTGCAACACTCGACGTTGCGTGTGCTCATCCCTGTGCTCGTGTACCGCCTCCAACGGTGCCAGACCGCTGACATTGTCGTAAATATATATATTTATATTGCAGACTATGTACAGTACATGGGCAATGGTGTTGACTTGGGTTTGGGTGGCGGTAGGTGCTTCAAACCATGCTCAACTCGGTCCAAGATCTGATGGATGCGCCGCACATGGGCACGTCGTTCTACTCGGAGCTAGTGCGAAACGTGATAGGGTATTCCGATCTGTGGGAACTCCCTACACCCACGCAAGCAGTTTTGCAAGCGGTGCGTAGGATTTTGCCTGGTACTTATTCACAAGAGTGTGTGTTTTGCATAGAAATTCGACCAGAACGTCGTCGCAAGTGGCATGGTCAGCTCATTGACAGAGTATTGCATATATACTGGCGCCACCGATCCCGCTTGCGTTGCCACTGACGTATGTCAATATTATTTATGTCGGTGCACATATCTAAAAATGGATGGTTCGTAGAGCACATACCAGTACAATCACTCGATTTCGTTCACGTACCCACCCGATGCGTACTTTAATCAAACGGTAGAGTACTTCATTTCGTCGTAGTACTCTACCATGACGTGGCACACTCTGATAGGTCGTGGTGCCCCCCCAAGCGTCTGTCCTTCTCTTCAACGGTGGTCTGGACCCTCAAACTCCGCTCGGTGGCGCTCAAGACACTCGAAACCTGCTGCAAACAGCCCGGAAACTGCTGGTGGAATTCCCGTATTGCCCCCACGGCATCTTGGGTGTGTCCCTCACGACAAATGCTGTATGTACATATACATATATATATATATATATATTTCATGGTGCATATCTATATGTTATATTGGTGGAATTCCCGTATAACCCCCATGGTATCTTGGAGGTGTCCCTCACGACAAATGCTGCATGTATATACAGTATATGTTTTTTATATATAAATTCTTAAATGTCATGGCCCATATCAATGTACTAGTACAACTATTAAATATGTCAGTATTTTCATGTACACATACTGTACCGATTATGGCATATACCGAGTGCATCATGGTGCTGTTATCCATGTTACACTGTTGGTTGAAAGGAATGGCGTGGGCTGAGCATGTGATCTTATACATGTAGTCGGCACCGCCGTGTGGACAGACCATCTTGGCCTCGTACGTTGCCGAGAGTGGCAACCTTGGCGCCGTTGACACGACCTGTGTCCAAACCCTTCGACCGATGTCATTTCAATTGTCCACTGCCTTTGCGGATACACTTGTGCCTGGAATATCTTTGGGAGATTTGTACGATGGGACGTTACCTCCGTCGGCCACCGCTCCGCCATCGGCTCTCACGACGATCCGTCCCATGACTACCTCATCACCCAACATCACTACCGCTGCTAACACAGTGGACACGACGCCGCCGTATTTTGTCGAGTTTGCAATCGTCTCTGCGTTGGCTGTCGTGGCTTCGTTTGCCGTGGGGTTGCTTGTATGGGAAGTCCGACTTCGGGTCAACCGGCGGCGGTTGCAGCAGCACCAATGACCTGCCGAGCTAGAGCCATAACGATACCTAGGGCCTTCGACGAGGGATTCAAGTTAACGTTCTTACAATAAATACTAACGTTACCTCGAATTCCGTAAGTTACACTGGATGGACCTCGAGGTTCGGTTTGCGTTTGGTTTTGCCACTTCGTTGCACAAGGGGGTACATGCATAGACCTTGCTATAAAGGAGACACGCGACTCGGTACGGTCTCGTCTTGTGCACGCCATCGTCGATGGACTTACTTCCTGGCCGTTTCGCCAAACGTACAATGTGCAACATTTTCGACCTTTGAAACACAGAAATGGTACAATCATGTCGACTGGAAGAGTAACGTAGAATGCCAATTGTTGCAATACAGTCTGTACAACTTTTTTGTTTTTCGGAGAATGGCCATAATTCGTGATTGAGGCAGCATTCTTTTTGATTCCTGAAGTGCCCTAAATTGTAGACAATTTGCAGGGCAATCCACCAATTATCAACATGCAAAATGTATTTCACACAATTGAGCTGATACAGCTCGTCATATATGCGTTATCTCTATAAAGTGGCGGCTTGTAGCTGCTGATTGGACTCATGCATCGCCTCCACACAATAGCACAAACGTCCTCTAGTACTACGTCATGGCTGCAGTCCTGGTCTTGGTTGCATCCAAGGGTCTAACGCTCTGTCGTCATACAAACGTGTTCACATCTAGTTAGTATACGTAGAACCAGCCAGTCATGTATGGCGAACGCCGACTGCAACGATGGACTGTTCGACTATTCCCTGCAATGTGTTCTGTTGCCTACTTCCACCGTGGCGTCGGTGGGGCCTCAATGGAAGGACAGGGACATATTCGATCCGTTTACGAAGTGGGGGTTATCACTGCGCTCTTCGCCATCGTGAGCGCTGCCCTCGGGCGCATCTGCGGTCTCAGTGGCGGCGGGCTTCTCGTGCCTCCGTACATGGTCGTGCTAGGGCTGTCCCCCAAGTTTGCGATTCCTTTGACCAAGGTGACAATCGTTGGTGTCGCTGGCGACCTACTGGTCGAATCTTCGGGTGCAAACACCCGTGTACGATACACTGTCTCTTTAACTTTTGTTGATGTGAACTTATGATTTCAAGTAGACGCACCACACCGACCGCTGATCGACTGCCTTGTGGGAAACACTCATTAGAGAGAATTCGCTTCGCTCACATAGTGAAACGGGAGTAGAAGCGGTTAGTAGGGAAATATCACTCGGAGAAGAGTAGAAAGTGAAACGGGAGAAGTGCCCAGAATGGTGCTTACTCGATTAGAATAATACTACTCAATTAGAATAACGAGATGAAACGGGAATTTCAACCTCCGAATCTTGGAAATTGTAGCTGACTTGCTGGTTAATGTAGATGAGTCATGTGTCTTGAATTAATTTGTAGTACCTTACAAATATTTCAATACTACAGTATATGCATAACGTAAGAAATCAATTTACTGTTAAGTAAATTGATTTCTTACGTTATGCATATAAATTAATTTTTAATTGCCGGATAATCCATAGGGACTTCCCGGTGTGATTTACGGAGTGTATTTTAACGTTTAACCTTACTTGTATTGCGCAAGTTGCACATGTGAATGCTAGCCAATGAAACATGTCCAAATTGCAATCAGCACCTTGAATACTAAACCCAAGTGTAGTTCGAAGCGTCGTTATTACCTTGGGAGTTTATTCCAGATGGGACAATCCTGCATGTTCCGAGGTCGACGGTCCGTTTGGTCACTTCCTCCACCTCTCGTTCCCAACTTCTTCCATCAAGCCGCGGCGCCTTCGCCTCCACATGCGCGTCAACAAAGCTATTAGGGCATGCTTGCTTCTCTTCGTGGTGGCATCGACGTGTGAAGCCCGTGCCCAAGTCAACGGCGTCGTGGGTGTGTCATGCACCAAACGCTCCGACTGCGGCTTGGTCCCGAGTCTTGGATGCCGTCAAGGGTACCCCATTCCGTCATACCTCCCTTTTGTCTTTGATTCCAAGCTTGGTCCCTAGCGCATGCAATGTATGTGTCACCGACGACGACTGCGGCGGCGACGCATTCAGCTACTACCGCTGCGTTGCAAGTCCTGCCGGTCCCGCCGCATGCCTCAACAAGAACGTGTTCTCGCCATTTACAGGAGCCGACGTCCTGGCCGCCTTCCTCGCCGCCTTCAGCACCGCGCTCGGCGCCGCGTGCGGTCTCGGCGGCGGCGGGCTCTTGGTGCCACTGTACATTGTCGTCGTGGGGCTAACCCCCAAGTTTGCGATCCCGTTGTCGAAAGCCACGATTCTCGGCGGCGCCTTGGCCACGTACTGGTCCAACTACCACTCCAAGCATCCATGTAGGTCGTTCCACCATCGATCGAATGAGATGCGACTCGTAAGTAGATGCATCGCGGAGGCCCATTATCGACTACGCATTGGCTGGCTTGATGGAACCTCCGACTCTCGTCGGCACGATCGCGGGGGTGATGGCCAACGGCATATTCCCATCGTGGCTGATCCTGGCGTTGCTCATTTTGCTGCTGGCGTTCGTCACGTATCGGGTCACGACCAAAGCCAATGCAGTAAGAACCGACACAGTTTTTTAGAAAAACCACTGTACTTACTATTTATTTTTCTACCGCATTTGTAGATGTATGCTAGGGAAAATGCCGAATTTGCAGCCGCCACGACGACCGCCGACTCGCTCAACCCACCAAACCATGTCGCAGTGGAAACAACAGGGCTGCATGTTAACCCCCCTTCGACGCCCCTCGTGGAAAAAGATGAAGCGAATGCTGCCGATCAAGGGGAAGGCCGCGTGGACACCGACTTTGTGCGCTTTCGACCGGAACAGGGTACGGCAGCTCACGTCCTATGTTTTTTAGCTGGCCTCGTACTGTATCTCAGTTCCATCCTTGTTATGCTCTCATGTGGTTCATGTGTGGGCCTTGTACATTATTTAGGTAAAAGCATATGCGTTATGGTGGGTGGTCTATTTGCTGAAATTTGGAGGCCAAACTGTGTGGATGATCTCCGATTGGTTGAAATGTGTATTTAGAGATGTTTGATTGGCTAGGGCATTCTAAATTCCATGTGGCAAATCTATTCGATTGTCCAATATGGAACGGATTTGACAATACAATCGTTCATGGTTTGATCGTGTGTGCCAACGTATGCCAGTGGTAATTCATACAGTTGTGTCAAGTCTTTCCATGGAAACTACGTTATATGACTGTAGTTATTGTGCATTTCACCCAATTTGGACGACTCTTGAGTCATGTTGCCAAATAGCATTTGTACAAACTATACTATACAAAGATCAATATATATATGTGGTTTTGCCCACTGCGGAGGGGTCAAACGTTTGTATTGGCAGAAATTCGACAAGGCGTGATTTGTGCATTTCGCCCAAATTTGGAGTCATGTTGCCAAATAACATTTGTACAAACTATACTTTACAAAGTTCAACATATATGTGGTTTTGCCCAATGCGGAGGGGTCAAACGTTTGGATTGGCAGAAATTCGACAGATCGTGATTTGATTGGCTTAGGCGGTTCTTTAATCCGTATTCTCGCAGGACATTCGATTCTGCCGAGGGCTCCAAGTTTCGAATCGATTTGACAATATTCTTTACAGCATATGTCCAATCATGTCCATGTAGAGATAGCGGTACAGTCGTCCAGAACTATGAGACCGACTACGAGCCAAGAGACTCAACTGGCCGTCTGCCACATGCAAGAAACCAACACGTTTCCGTTTCGCCAGTGCATCCTTCCCCTTGTCGTGTGCATTGCGGCCATTCTCGCCCAGTCGTTGCTTCGAGGGGGTCACGGCGCGCCTAGCTTGGGTAAAATATCCCACCCTATCTCTACGGAATACTCCCCGTGATTTGTAATTTGGGTGTGATTCGTAATCCCAGTGGGCGTCGCCTGTGGATCGACCATGTACTGGCTATTGATCATTCCCCCCACGGTCGTTTTGGGGATCGTGACCTACTTCATGGGTCGCCTGCTTCTAAACCGCACCCGGCTATACGCGGCATGCGGAGAGGACACTGTCAAGGGCGATGTCACATGGACCAAGTACAAGGCATTCGTTGTGTTTCCAGCGCAGTGCGTTGTCGCAGGCTTTGCGTCAGCCTTGCTTGGGATCGGAGGTACAACGACTACTAGTACTAGTAGTAGTACTAGTGTCCACGGGGTCGTGTAGGTGGCATCGTCCAGGGACCCGTGATGTTGGAGCACGGAGTGACTCCACTGGTCCAAAGCGCCACTGCGTCGTACATGATTCTCTTTACCTCGACATCCACGACCATTCAGTACACGATTGCCGGTCAATTCCCCGGTGAACTGCAATATGGTAAAAATTGTCCTTTTACTTATGATGTGGAGTGTTTTGGGTTGATTCGCGAAATCTAACGATCGATTATTCGTTGTACTGTGAATAGTAGTTTGTTTTGCTGCCAAACAATATGGGATGTTTGTGCTGCTTTACCAACTCCATGATCGATATCTTGTTACTGAATGAACTTTGTGTGAAAACACAGTGTCGCCGCCCTGTACATGAATATCAGTCATACACTAATTCGATGTGGGGAACGGTTGAAGCGAGAATTTGATTGGCTACTTGATTCGTGTGTTTTGATTGGTCGATCGATTGTCGGCCGATTTGGGGCTGGTCATTCAATTGAGCACACCCACCCCACTCCATGTTTGAATAAATCGGCTTGACAATACTGTATATCACATCATAATCAAACTCATTGATGTCACACACTAATTACATGTTGAAGATGGTGGTTTCCTGCAATCTGTTTGGCTATTTCATTCTTCTGCCGATTCTTTAGCCTATTTGGTAGTGTCGATTCATTTGGCATGGAGCTCCCAGTTTTAGAATCAACTCAACAATACAAATCTCTCGCAAATGTATAGTGTGAAGGTGATGAAACTCAATCGATATATTATGGATTCGATACGAATTTCCAGATTTCGTTGAATCGAATATCTCGCCGCCGAATCGAATCACGAATCGACGCGATTGGCTGATCCATTTTTGAGTGGATTTGATTGGCTCGAAAGGACTGGTATATTCAACCAATCAGAACTCGAGCGTGATAGTCAATTTTGATTCGATAAACCAGGCGAATTTTGGAAATTTAAAGCGAATTCACAATATGGCTGTGTAGATTACGTGTGTTGGTACGTGGCGCTGGGGTTCCTCGGCGGTCTCTTTGGAAAAAAGGTAGCGATGTGAATTGAGGTTGGTATTAGTATTGAAATGTTTCTAGGTGGTGGAGCTGTTGATTCGAAAAAGCGGCCGCATGTCATACTTTTTGTACTTTTTGGCGGCGAATTCCGCCGTCCAGGCCGTGGCCATGGGGTACATTGGCATCCGCAACGTCGTCCACGACATAAACACGGGCGACAACCTCGGGCTTTCCAGTCTCTGCCATGGCTAAGTCGAATAAAAATACACCTGTGGAAGTATGGAGATTTTTGACGCATCGGGCGTCCGTTCATTGGAATGGATAAGAAGCTAATACTGTACTACCGTTGGATGGATATAATATATATATATCTTAGAGAATATGAATGTGGGTCTAATAATGAATGAATCATAGGAAAACGCATGTAGACAAGTATCCAAATATCTGCAAGAATCGAACACGTTCGGGACGTTTCGTACAGCGTAGATTTATTCTGTTCACAATCAGTTGAATATTTCAACTATTAATACTCCGTAGTACTATTAATAGTACTATGGCAGTAGTAAGGAAATGAAGTACTGGAGCTTGCTTATTTATTACTAGTACTAGTATACTACGTAGTACAAGCGAAAGTACTGAAACTAGCATGCGAGGTGGGTACAGTATGTGCACAGTATCAAGCACATGGAGTCGCCGCAGCAAGCCGAGAGCGAACGGCGATGTGAATTGATCCTCACGAATGCCAAACAAAAGTACATTTGGGGTAATTTTCAATGCTCGCGCAGCAGTACTCGAGAGGTTTATTGCAACTATACAATTAGGTACCCCCATATGGTCACTATGTAGTGAGCTGACAAGTGATGACAACTTTGCTGTAACGTACCAGGACCATCTGACCGAGTTTTGCGACTTCCTGTTAGGTTATGTACCCCACCAGCAATTGCAAGTACTTGAAGTTTATCAACAACCCATGGCCGCATTGTGATTTTCTACGTAGTTTTTGCTAGCTCTCGTACTGACGACACACTAACAATCGCAGCGACAGCAGTATTACATTTGGAACCGTCGAATGCGAGCAATAGTAGCAACGATAGATGTCCTATCAACGTGTTCCCTCTATATGTAGGGAAGGACTTTTACCGTTGGCGCAACCAACCCACTGGCAACAACTTTGAATTGACATGAGGACCGCTCAGTAGAGTCGACTTCACATCGGTGTATTCTAACAAGTACTACTTGACAAGGTCGTAGTGTGCTGCACCAACGCTGTGACAGCGTCGAGGGACGGCAGGGTCGCGCAGGCGCCGACCACTCGGACACAGTGCGCCCCCACTGCGCACCCCCACTTTAAACCTTCCATCACGTCCTTGGACTGGACCCACGCATGCAGAAACCCAGCGTTGAACGCGTCGCCCGCCCCCGTCGCGTCTTCCACCTTGGTCACGGGGAACCCCCCAAAGGACGCGCGAAAAAATTGGCCGCAGGACGCGCGCACGCCGTCACTGCCGACCTTGAGCACCGTGAGCATGTCCGGCGCGACAGCTCCAAAGTACATCAGCGCGTCATCCAATGAATCGCACTTAGAAATGCGCCGCGCTTCCACTTCATTGGGTAAAAACACATCCAAAAGCGGCAGGATGTCGTCCAAGCCGGCCCACGCCTCGGTTCCGTCGTAGTTGGTGTCGAGCGACAGCGTGATGCCGCGCGCTTTGGCGGTTCGCAAGAGATCCGCGAGGCCCGGTATGAGTCCTGTGACGCTGTAGAAACCTACAGAACATGAGCCATGAAGATGGCGATGGGGTCGATGGAGGAGGAGGGGGGCGATTGTACCGCCTATGTGGATGTGCGCCGCTTGAAACAAGGCATCCGTGTTGATGTGCGGCACGGCAAACACCCGCGCGGCGCCGTAGTGTGTGGCGAACGCGCGATCTCCTTGGCCTGTCAGCACAATGCACACCCCGGTTGGAATATGTGCCGATAGCTGTGGCGCATGTAGTTCCACGCTGCTCTTCACTAGATGGTTCTTGAGCATGTCGCCAAAGGCATCGCCCCCCACAGCCGTGAACAACGCGACGCCGCCGCCGTTGAGGTTGGCCAGCTGGGTCGCTGTGTTGAGCGCAGATCCGCCAGGCTGCATCTGAATGGGCTCTTTGCACGGAGAGTCTTGGCCCCACGCAGGCAGCGTCTGGACACCGGCCAACACATCCACAAACGAGTCCCCAATCACCGCAATCATGATTTTTGCCGCTTCAACGAAAGCCAAAGTTTAAAATACAAAGTTGCGTTATCGCCCTCCGCGGCCTTTCTATTTATAGTATTTGATCGATTATTATAATATTAGCTCAATTTAAATACTCCATGGTGCATTTTGGGCCCTTAAGTCATTTCGCCAAGTGCCCAACAGAGTCGAGTCAAACGTTTGCATTGGCAGAAACGAACAAGACGTGATTTGATTGGCACATTCGATTCTTTTGCTTTGACAGACAATAAGAAAGTCTTGATTTGTCGATTAATCCTACTACTACTATTAAATAAATTATCAATAATACTAGTATTACTGATACGTATTACTGTATTATAGTAATATTATCGCTGTACTATGATGCTCCTACATTAATTGTACGTTAAATAATAAAACCTCCACACTTCGATTTGGCCAGTTGGAAGTTTTTAGATGACGTGCATCATAGTACTGCGTAGTACTACTACTTGAGGTACCCTACGTGGTATTGAGATGACAGCAAGCCTTGGGTGAAACCACGCCCTTGTGTTGATATATTAATATTATTAATAGTACCTACTAGTACTGTACTAGTAAATCTCATTTTCAGAGTTTTCGTTTTACAGGATATTTTTGAAAAACGATATTTTTGGCTTTTATCCGGAATTGTTTAAAACACTGGCAATATATCATCAATCCAGAAGGGGCGCAAGAATCGCAAGTTCCGCCATTATCGACGGAAATGGCTGCGACGACGTACTTTCCTGCAGTGTTCATTCATGGTACGACTCCGAAGACATCGGTTCCCTGCGGAGGATCACATGCATGTGTTTGTCCGTAGGCACTTTGGGCTGGGGTCGACGGACTCCGTTCTTCAACCTTGCCCCCAACTACTGGCCGTTGAAGCAGCTCGATGATGTGAACCCGAACCACATTGTCGTGGAAGTGGGCATCGCGTCCTCGGACCATGACCGAGCATGTGAGACGTTCTATCAACTCATCGGCGGTCGCGTGGACTACGGGGAGGCCCATGCCGCCGAAAAAGGTACGACTCCATCAACCACCGTCGCGACCGCCGTCATGGTTGTCCACTAGGTCATTTGCGTTACGGCGCTACCTTTGATACGGCCTTGCATCCGACGTGGAGCGAGGTATGTGTATCATCTTGCTCGTTCGATCCGTGCACATCGTTCTTTTGTTCAGGACAACCCCGTGCATCTCGTTGGACATAGTTATGGCGCCACCACTGGTACATATAGACATTGTCACATCTGACCTGGGGGTGTTGATATTCTCGCGCACATTAGCGCTTGAACTATATCAACTGCTCTGCGTCGACTTCTTCGGCATCGGAAGCAACTACAAATGGGTCAAAAGCATCGTGTCCATCTCGGGCACGCTCTCCGGCACCACCATGGGTATGTACCATCATGCAATACATGATGATGATGGTTGCATCTCATACATGCATCGCCATGTCGTCCGCTGGCTAGGATCTATGTTTGGTTCGACCCTGGGCAATCCGTCGCCGTACGGCAGCATCAGTTATCTCATCGCGTGTGGGTTTGCCACGTTGCACAAGCTGCAGCAACATGTCCCATGGCTGTCAAACTTGTACGACCTCCGCATGCCGCAGTGGGCGCACGCGTCGTCGTCGTCGTGGCGGACGCTGTACGATCCAGCCCACAAACCGCTCAACACGGACGACAACGGTACGCCATGCGTCGTCGTCATTATGAGTTGCTCTGTTGGCGAGCCCAATTGTACTCGCTCTCTCTCTCTCTCGATGATGCTGATGCTGCTGAGGATGATGTGTCTAATATTGAGAGGATGATGTAGTGTTTACGTGTTTGCTGCCCCAGCATCGGCTGGCCAAGAACGAACGCCTCGTACACATGGACAAGATCCACCTGTTTAGCATCGTATCGCAAACCACCAATGTCCTCACGTACCCCCCCGTGGTGGAATTCGCCACCATCGCTGCGATTTGTACCATGTGGAAGCTCCAAAAGGTACACGAGTCTCTCAATTTTATAGTCATATTATATTAGTCCTCTGTCGTGTGACGACAGATTATATTTGCCACATGGGACAACCCGACCAAACAATCTTAAAGTCAGAGTGTTGGAACGATATTCGACATTGGTTGAACCCGCTTAGCTTGGGCGACCAGTGGAAATATATACAAATTGTTGATCTATGGACACAATATATGTCCAGATTTTGGACTTACTGATTTGTGGGTAGCCCAAGCTCTGGATTGGGTTGTTGTCGTTGTGGCTGTGTCGACGGCTGACGAGAGTGGACTGGTCAAAGCCGTCACTGTTCCTGGGGTACCTCATGAAACGGCATGCAGAAAAGGCCGATGCGTTCTACGAAGGTACATTCTATTATCTTTGTTTTACCCAACATGTGGACTTTGGTGAATCGCCCAAAATCTATCGATCGATCGATCGATTCGTTGTACTGAATTTTGTATGTACAAATATGTCGAGTGGTGATTGGTATCACACTAATTGAAATCACACACTAATTAAACGATGGTGATGGTTTCCTGCAATCTCATTGGCTAAATCCTTCTGCCGATTTGGTTGTGTCCATTTGGTTGTGTCGATCGATACATCTCCATGTCACTCCAGTTTAGAATATAAACACAGTACAATATGTAACGTTGATGCTGTAGGATACGACAAGGACGACTGGCAGCATTCCGACGGCGTCGTGAATTCGTACTCGATGATTCGACCTCGATTGAGCTTTGCCCCCCCTCCCCCCATGGAGGTACATACTGTAATTTGTTTGCATGTTTGTTATCATAGTAGATCAGTCATGACTTTTGAGTGCCAGGAACCCTCCGAGGAGGGGACCCCCGCCGTGATGGTGCGTGTGCCTTCGCACGTCTCTATCGACATGGGCTTGCCCGACGAATCGAACGCGGTGATGATTTCTACGGTAACTATACTCGCATCAACACATTAGAGACCTGATGATGTGTGTGGGCGCAGGGTCAGTGGCATGTCTACCGCGTGAACAAGAACCACCTGTGCGGCACTCGCGGCGACGGCGATGCCCGGGAGCTGTACACCCGACTCTTTCGCCTCCTCAACCAAATCAGCGGCACATCCCCTTGTGACACGATCCTGCCGTTGCCGCCGACACAGTTGGAGCTGGATTTCTTGACGACTTAATATTCCATGAAAATGATAGTTATATTTTGTGACATGGATCATGATGGGCCTTGCTTTGACGCAACAAGGTTGTGTGTTATGGAGCGACCGAGCCTTAGACCTAGTACCCTTACCTGATGGTACTACTAGCTAGATATTGAAACGTACAACTATGTGGTTGAAAATAATTTAAAACTAAAAGAAAAGTAAAGGTGACGAATCCTACTATTTGAATTCGAAAACGTGGAGTTCTCAATATGTTTTATAACAACCCAAAACACGTTTAATTATTCCCAATCCAAAATTTAATATATACATATTTCATTGAAAACCTTGTAAATTACAACGTGAATGCTTAGGCTACTGATGGAGGGGACGATATGATAATATACTGTTTTCGATGGAATCTAGGATAGGTTGCTGCTGCTGCCAAGAAGGTGACTGCCAAGCATGTGGATAGATAGATAGACCCAACATGTGGAAAGTATTAGTGGTGACGATGATATTCTGGGGAGCCTGGTTGGGTTCTGCTTGGTGGCGTACAGTAGCCTGGCAAATGGCACGTACAGTTTGTTGTCTACATTGCGTGTATACTGACTGTTATATGACAGTACTCTATCAACACACATTACGGCACCACTCCCATACGAGTACTACTAGTTACAATCTGTACTAGGTAGCACAAGTAGTAGTAGTACTACTACTACTATCTGCGACAGAGTTGTTTTGCGCGACCCACTTGTTGAGGAGTTTGAACACATGTGCGTACAAGTGGTGCGCTTCCTTGTCCCAGTGGGTACCGCACAGGTGATTCTTGCCCATGCGATGGGTATGCCACGTGCCTTTGATCAGCGCCGTCGTGTGGCTGTCGTTCTCGACTTCCAAGTCGATTGACATGTGCGACTCGGAGCGCGGACGTCGGGGCTCCACGGCGGCGGCGGCGGCGCCTTGTTCCACGCGGGGATACACTTGCGAATATGTGTTGACAATGCCATCGTTGTGCACCCAGTGCGCGCTGTCAAACCCTACACCCACATGAGGGCAATTGAAATTTTATAAACTTCATTATTTTGATATGAAATATAATTTTAAAAATAATGTTTTTCTTTTTTTAGAAATATATATCATTACACCATGTCACCATCGGCATGGTTGCCATACTATTTTGTAGTCAGCAACAAGAGAAATTATAACGAAATAATCTCATCAACCAACACGACCACATACACATGTATCTAATCTACGTACACCATGATCTCACACCTGTGAAACTATCAAGGACAATGATATATCATCAAATATGGACAAACCATCAATCATCACGTGCACTGTCTCAAGGACAATGATATCATAAAATGAACACAGCATATTTATTATCACGTAAACTCATATACCCCGGATTTGTCGTACCTTTGCACCATGTAAAATTCAATATGAACAATTTATTATATAAAGATTCCATTTATGGAATTGATTTGAGATTACATACATACCATTGAGCAATATCATATATATTATTATATTCAGGTTTTACATTTATATTCATGGTGCAGATCAACGACAACTACGGTAGTCTAATGTACAGTACACCTTTATCACGTGAACTATCCAGTAAAGTAATATAATAGAATGTAACACCATTATCACGTGAATGATCAAATACAATAATATAATAGAACGTACAAAGTGAACGCTCAAGAACAATGATACAATATAATAGACACCTCAAATCATCACGTGAACTATCGAGGGCCATAATATGCCTGCATAGTACACTGGGGCAAAGACTCGAGTCGCCAAGACATGCACAATATATTCAACCCTCCATGGCTATGATCACGATCGCAATACAAACGTCAAGCCAAAACAACATATACCCATGTCGTTGCATTAGCAGACGTCTGATATCCCAAGCACCAACCCCAGCAGAATCACAAGTATGTGTTTGTCAATATAATAATCTAGTTGTTACCATCGTACAGCGGGTCGCGCTTGTGCATGGAGCTCGTGTACGACCGAATGACCCAAATAAGTCCCCAGAGGCTGGACCGGACCTTGGAGTAGTCGACTTTGCCCAGCTTGCGCCACGTCATGGCAATCAATGTGAGACAGAGCGCGCATCGGAGCGACCGCGTCGGCCACAGCCGTTTGCGTCGAAACAGCAGCCACACCACGCCAAACGTCATGACCCATTCGCGAATCTATATCCAATGACTGTGTAAAAGGAATAGATATATATATATATATACTGGAATGTGGTGCTGGTCAGTAGCGGTAGTAACCACACTCAACAAGTGGACTTTGTCCATTTCCACGAGCTGGCTATTCCGCTGCACACGTCGCGCGGGCAATAAATCGTACAGCGCTACAACCAAACATTAGGATTAAAAAACGAAATAAAAAAAATCGCGATCCAGTCATTTCAACTGCGTGTCAAAGGTGTACAGAGAGCGACGGAATTTAAGAAGTTTCAATCATATGGAAGCGGCCTTTGTCCAATTAAAAACAGATATTCGATATAAGGACATTATAAGCAGTTTTGATTGGCCATAACACTAATTCTCGTCAAAATTGCACCGAATTTCGAAGATCTTGTCCAATCATATATCAATTTCGTAAATAAGGCGAAGCACATGTGCTTCTTAAATTCCGTCGTCGTCTATAATAACTACTAAATTCATGTCGTTTGAAGTTAGGGTAGTTGATACTGTACGCCCCTCGTTTTTTCTTCTAACAATGAACAAACACTACTCTAATGAAGGAGCCACGTCTAGTTAGTTATACAACATACGATCATCATGTGTAGTAGTTTCATATATATAACCCTAACATTTCACGCATGTTTGCAACACAATGGACAAGACCCATCCTCCCAATTAAATGCTTAGAAACGTGACTCACACAAAAATGTCGTCCATAGATCGATGAGCCCACTGGAATCGAACGACATGTTTCCTTTACAAGAAAGTAATTGTCCAGTCGATTCGAAGTGGGAGGTGGGATGCTTGCACCTATACTGAATGAGCAGCCCCAAAGCAACAGGCAAATCGATTATCGACCAATCAAAACCACCCAAAACTCAATCCAAGTGGCCAATCAAATCCACCCTTCCACCATTTCAAAATCGAATTAGTGTGTGAATGAAATTAGTGTGACATCGGACGCTTTTTTCATACAAAAGTCAAAGAATCGGTCGACGGATTTGGCGAATATCAGCACAAAAGGTCCACATTTTGGGTAAAAGGGCAAACAAACAATCGATCGGTGGATGGATCACCCGAAAACACTCTAACAATTGCCTAGGAAGGCCAAACCATACCTAAATCTCGGCTCGTGTGCACGGCGCTCCGGGTAGAGTAGAACATTTCCCACGTCGTGTTGTTCATCCAATGGCCCAAATCCAAGTCATAAACATGTTTGAGCCACGGAAAGTAAAAGTTTTGCAGTTTCCACAGCAAGCCAATGCCTGCCACGGCAATATGGCCAGGCCCGAGCACTGGCAAATCGTCTTTCAAGCTCGCGCCTATCGCGTTGCACAGCGTGGACCTATACATACATTGTTGTCTCATGGGTTAGCAACTGGCTAACAACTCTCTCGCAAAACGAGTCGTAACAGCACTCAAACAAGCAAAATAAATAGCTACCCTGTCAACGGCCCCGAGATGCACACAATGCTTTTGACCCAAGCGTGTGTAGAGCCAACTTGAAAGAAATCCGCGCACAGCAACTGGTACAACTCGATAGCTACCATACTATGAGCAGTTGCGTGGATAACAGCAGTACAACCTACCTGTGGTGGCGCCGTAGCTATGGCCAAGTAAATGTACAGGATGTTCCTACGACAATAATAACATGGTACGTACGAATGGAACAAGAGTATCGCATCGGGGGGATGAATGCAAAGGCAGGCGCATTACGACATGTCGCGAGTGTGTTGATAGATAGTTACAAGACTGACGTACAGCACTCCACCGAGTATGCTTGGCTGTGTCTGTGGGATACGTGGCACCAAAACGCAAGTGGCCTACGGGCATAAAAGACTTGATGATCAAGAAATCTCCAGGTATAGAAAGGGTCGTAGTGGCGACTGTAGTTACCGTTTTGAGCCGAGTGGGCTTCACCATAGTCGACTTGTCCGCCGTACAACTGATAGAAGGCCTCACATGCCCTGTCGTGGTCTGAAGACACCTTTCCGACGTCCACGATGATGTGGTTTGGGTTGATGCGGTTGAGTTCCGCTACCGGCCAGTAGTTGGGCAAGAGGTTGAACAGCGGCGACTTGTTGCCCCAGCCAAACACGCCTACGAAGTGTCACATTACTATCCTCTCTTTCACGGTAGCGCCAGCCTTTCTACGCACCATGGATCAACACCACTGGGTCCGCCGTCGCCTCCATCATGACGCGATAAACTGCAAGTGGCATGCGTTTCACATTGTCCTGGTTTCAAATACAGTAGCCATATATTCATTCAAGTGACCCAGAATATGTTCCGGATATCTCAACCGGAATACGTCGAACGCAACTTCTTCACACATGCTATTTGAAATCGGTCCACTCAGGGGCTAGAAACAGTGCTGTGTATCGTGGTGGAAGTGTATATTCAGCCATTATCCGCCATCTTGCTCCTTCGCGCTAACCTCCAATATCGCATAGAGTTGATTTAGAGTTGTTGAAGCAATTATTTTGTGTCACTTGAACGGATCGCTACATTTAGGATATGTCCTGAACTAAGAGGTTTACGCGACAGAATGCATGTCCAGATCATCCGTACTGATTTTATCCGGACTGGTATCATTCCGACTCGAATCATGGCGGCGGCAGCATGGCCATCCGAGCTTGTCTTCACGCCACTGAACCTGCCGCGAAAAGAGTTTATCTTGATCAATGACGTCGTCGAAGCATCCGGTTCCTTCTTCATGCACCACATCACGTCCATGTTCTTGAAAGCAGGTAGGATGTACATTACTGCTGTCACAAAACGTGCTCAAGCACCGATCATATCAGATCAACGTGTGTGCGTTGTTGCATTGGCCGATAGTTTGGATCATTTCGCTGCCGTCGGTCGCAAGCTGGTACGCCCCTCGTATATTCCTCACCATGGTCTTGGCGTCGTCGTCGTCATGCATGATGGTTAGGGTGCGAATGTCGTCAAAGCGCAACACGCCAGCCCTCCGTCGTGGCTTCACATTGACGGGTTCTCGCACCCCGCAGACTGGTGCAAGCCACAGCATCTTCAAGAAGACGCCCCATCAACCCCTTCCTCTGTCCATGCGACGTTCTCCCCAGCCTCCGACGACGCCGCATCCCTCTGCGCGCTGTTTTGTCAAGTTCGCGACTTTGTAGGCACTCAAAGCAGCCCGGTTTGCATTGCAGTCGACGACACGTCGGCCCTTGTGGATATGTTTGGTGTTCGAAACACATTGACGTTCCTTCGCTACTGCCGCCACTTGGCGTTGTCGACGGCGGTACTTCCATTGCCCGTGTGTCCTTCTGCCACGTCATAACCTTGTCGTTTGTATAGTCGGTGTTGGTGGTGGTCAATCACACGGACGTGGAAGCCGACGGCATGTATTTTGTACGTGACTCGTTGGTTTAGTTGGTCTAGTTGATGAGTATGTAGTAAGTACCCTGTACGAATTAGACAGCCGCGTTGACCGACTTGGCTACGTTTGAATACTCGGTCCGAGGACTGGACAGCGGGTATTGCAAGGACATCCACGGCGCTGTACGTATGTTGATGTGATCTGACTGCTAATAATGACTTAAGTTCCTTCTACTAATGTATTCATAGGTGACAATGCGGCGACCCGTGCTGTTGGCAGTAGACAAACCACTAGACACCGAACGAGGTGTGACTGTCCAGTACAAGCTCGTGGAGAATGGCATTCGCGTGTTTCCATAAAATTCCGTACTACAAAGTACTGTTACCGTGAAATACCAAGACTCACATATATATATATAATATATCAGGACCCCGGGTCGAAGATACACAGTGTTTGGTCGACTCTACAAGCAATCGAGAATTTCAACTCGAATTCCTTGGTGATGGTGCAATACTAGTATTATAGTATGGTTGGTGCGCCACATCCCTAAGTGTATGGTGAATGAAAAGTCGAGGCATTCCCCAGTAACAACGTTAGCAGATACTAGTAATACTCACCTCGCCTATGTCGTGTACCTCCATTGAACAATGGACGCCAGCTACTGTACTACTAAATACACTCGTACAGTTAGTTGTTCAATTTCGTCCAAAACAACTGACGTTTACTATGGCGTATACAAAAATCAAATGGAAAAAAGACGCAATCGAGGAGGAATCGAACCCCTGCCACGCTAATGGCCCACGGTTTTGAAGACCGTACTCAGCACCAGCCAAGTTCACGTTTGCAAAGTGGTCACCGGAATAATAATACCGTTTGGTTGTACATCCGGATACGGATAAGAGTGGTAGCCAGGAGAAATTGAATTTTTGAATTCTGGTTGTGCATCATTGGGGATCAAGCAACGAGGCTGTACCATTGTTAGGGTTTGTTTGTCACCTCAAGGAACCATAAAACTCTACTCCAGAGTCCATGAAGCAGATGCCGCCGCCCCCGCAGTAGGAAACATCAAAGTCAGTGTCGATATATACAAAGGATTCTGTGGGATTCGTTTAACGTGACGTTGAATACTATGGATTGGATATAAAGGCAGTGCCTGAATAAAACGTGATTGACAGTGAATAATAATTTTGAGTTAAAGATCACCCTTCGTTAGCACGCACAAGCGTTGCCATGGAAGTACGATACGAGGAACGAGTGTGTACATGCATATCACGGGCATGGATCCATGCATGCTCACCTGATTTGTAGAGGGACAATGGTATCGGCAGCTCCCGTGCGTCACAGCAATGGCTGGCGTCGTTGAGTCAGCCGCCGCCGTCGACGACGACAGCTGCATCGTCTCAGCGAGACGAGAACCCTACCTGGTTGCGCGAACCTCCATCTCATCTAGGTAGAACGTGTTACATGTCTTCCCACGTCATCACGTTGTCTTTTTCCTAGCCCCGGCTCCTTTGGCGTTGACTGCCTCGTCCACTGTCGTCCTTGTCCCCAATCCCAAGCAACACGCCCTGCCCGAACAACAAACACACATCCTACCCGACGCTTCGCAAGTGGTTGGCTCCCACACATGGAAAGTGGCCGCGTACAAGGACGCGTTGACCCGCAAGCTGCCGCTGGTCGGTCGCTGCAGCTTCATCCAGCACGGGCTGTGTCACGTGTGCACAGCCACGGCCACGACCAACACGAACCCCGCGCTCGTGCTCAACGTATGTCCGCACTTTGACTTCGGGCATTCGGTCTGTGTCGTGCACTTTGAGCAGTTGACACGCACGTTGGTGTCCAGCATGCTGGAACAAGGGGGCGGCGGCGGCGTCCCGGCGTGTCCCGTCTGTCTGCATGGATGCATATGCGCCGTGTGCACCCGCGTCTTAACCACACAAATCGAGCTATACGACGCATACCGAGCATCGACGTCTACCTCAAGAGGTCCGTCAGAGTATCAAGGAGACGTCGCCGCCAACAGTCTATCACCACCCTGGCTACACCCGAACGCGACGAGTAGTGGCGACGTTTCAGTCCGCCAAGCATCCATCACAACCTCCGCGACTCGAGAGCGAACCACGTCCACACGACCAACACCCCCATCATATCATGGCTTGATCGACGCCGACAACCTCTCGGATGCTGCGAGCGCACAACTTTGGCGGCGCAAGCCGTCGTCGTTGTTGCCGCCGATGATGCAAGCCGACGCCAAACAAGCCACGGACGAGTTGGTGCGGCGCGTTGGACCGGACAGTGTCACAGGGTTTTCCCCGTCGTCGAAGGCCACCCACCATCCCACCACTCGAGCCGGCGAGCATCCGGATGGTACGGGTGTCGTGCCGTCGTATCCGGACGTGGGGCCCGCTCAGAGAAGATGGGAAAGCCACCCAGCTCACGACGAAGCCAAACATACCCAAGATGACGACAATCATGTTTCAAGGGATAGTGGTCTTATTGATGGAGCTGCTGTTACTGCAGACGAAAAGAAATCACCGGCGGCGGCGATGCTGCCCCTTCAATCGTTCAAGGAAACCCAGCGAAAGCAGCAAGCCGGCATTGTCCAGCAGCCCAAAGCTGCATCCAAAGCGATCGCCCCGACCACGACATTAACAGCCCACGGGGGGAAGCAAGGGGGGGGGGGCATGGCAGCCGAGCCAAAGGGGGGCCTTGCGATCGCCCCCAAACAAGCATCGAAAGACATTGGGGGGACGACTAGTCATACTGCACTCAAACGAAGTGCCGCAAAAGCACACGAACGTGGCGCGTTACCGGCCACGAAAGAAAATGGAAGGCCCACAAGTACGGCTAAACCTTGGACAAATCACGTGAATGCAATGCCGACGACTCGTACAACGACGACGACGACTGGGGGGGATGAACGAGTATCCAAGGCGGGTGTCCCCACCACCATACAAAGTATCGATCGTCATGCTGTTGACAATAGCCTGAGGGGCAGCAGCAGCACTACTACTACTCTGGACCAAGCTATTTGTTCCAAGCAAACCCCTCGGCTGAACCCTGCCAGTACAACAACTACAACCACAGAACAAGCTGGCGGTAGTAATGTGTGGGGTATTGCGGCGGCAATCCCATCGAAATCACAGGAAACACCACCGCCACTCCAGGCCAAACACATGACGGAACCTCGTCGCAAGACGCCAGTCCCATCGTCACAGATCAGTACAACCAACGTGCAACCATCGGCAAAGACTACTACGCAGCCCGTGATAAACGCGTCAGCCGTTGAAAGAACGCGCACGGTGAACCCTAAACCATCTACCCCCCTATTGGGTCACAACAAGACTACATTGGACGACCCACGGGTGGACAAGCCAAACAGCGCGCAGACCACGATTCTTCAACCAACAGAGCAACCGCCGGCCAAAACCCCAGCAGAACTAGGCACACGACTAGTAGTTGTCCATGAAGCCGCCATCCAACACGTCGTGGACAGCCCGTCGCCTAGTATTCCTACTAGTAGTAGTACTAATCCGACGCCACGACCACCACCACTGGGTCAGAGCTCGTCGATCGCGTTCTTGCGGGAATCGGCAGCCACCGGCACCACCAAGGCGTGGACCATCGATCGAGCCAAAGAGCTGGCGGCAGAAGTCCAAGCTAGCCTAGTTAACACTGACAACCTGGTTAAGCAGTGGATGTCGGACAAGAAAAAGCAGGCGGGCGCGGGGACTAGTAGTTCCGCACCAAACCCACTCCAAGTAGTGCCACCACGCCATGACAAAGCAACCAGTCAACCAAGCAAAAGAAACGCGAGCGATCCAGTCAGCACCACCACTGGATCGACAAGCAAAAAAGCCACAAGTACACCCCCATTGACAACAGCAACAACCGCCAAGCCAGACCTCACCGCGACCTCGGTCGTGTACAAGCGCCGGCCACGGACCGTCGCAAGCAGCATTGGTAGTACTACTAGTAGTAGTAGTAGTAGGGCCACAACGAACGAGAACGCAGACACGTCTTCTGGGCTGTTGTCGTCCAAGGACGTACCGGCGATGGCGAAAAGTGCGACGCTGAACGGAAGCGGTGACGTTGTCGCGTCGACACGGGGCAACCTCGTCGGACGACCATCACTCGCCAAACGTGATGAGAATGATGATAATGGAGCCTCGCAGCAGCAGCCCCCGCCGCCTGTGAAGCGACTCAAACGAACGGACGACGACGGCGCTGCGGTTTCCGCAACACGTGATCGGGCCGTTCGAACGCGCCGAACGGCCGCCCCTGCGCTCCTCAATGCACACGACGGCACCAACGACCCAGGAATCGCCCAGACAAGCACAACAATGTTAGCCAGTAGTAGTCCCAGTGGTGCTGCTGCTGCCGCTGGTTCAGGTAGTACCACCACCAAAACCATCGGCAATGCAATGTCGTTGGAAGGAGGTCCGCCGTCCAGTGTCACAGAGTCCAACAACCCTCGCAAACGTCCTGCTAGCGAGACTTGTGAAACGACCAAGCGTGGCCGGCCTCGTCGAGGCGACCAAACAGCAGCAGCAGCAGCAGCCGTAGCTGTAGCTGTAGCCATCGCGGCTTCTACTACTGCATCATCATCTTCGTCGTCAATGCGAAAAGGAGTCGACACGCATGATGGCGTGGCAGAGCTAGTGGCTAGCGCCACCACACCAACTAGTCGACGTCCTGCGAGTAGCAAGAAAAAGGCCAAGCGGAGCCACGACGACGATGAGGACGACGAAGCCACGTCACCATCAGCTCCAGGCAAACGAGTCACAATCAAGCGGGAAACCCCCGTGGACGACGATGTGAAAATTGAAAGCGACGACGACGACGATGTCGACACCAACTTGGACTTTTGCAGCATCTGCAAGCAAGACGGCGACTTGGTCTGCTGCGACGTGTGTCCGCGGTCGTTCCATTTGACTTGCTTGAACAAACGAGAAGACCAACTGCCCCTCGACACGTGGCAGTGCCACGAGTGCCAACACAATCTGTCCGACACGCACGTTCAAAAAGTATGCCGTGACCTGACCAAGCTGCGCAACAAGGTATCGAACGAAGAACGATCATGTTTGGATACATCTCTCAAGAGTATATATATATGATATACATCAAACTATTATATCGTCTGTTCAGTAAACTTTGGAATTTTGTGTGCTGATTCACCAAATGTATGGATAAATTGTTTGTACTGAATTTTGTATGTAGCGTACCTTGTTCAATTGCACACACTGATATACTGGTTGACAGGAGAGTTTGATTGGTTACTTGATTCGTGTTCTTGGTTTTGATTGGTCGATCGATTGACTTGTCGATTTGGGGCTGCTCTCATTCGATTGACCATCACCACTACCATTTCGAATATAGTTATATTGACAATATAGCATATATATATATATCGTCGACCAACATGTCCAGTGTATTATATATATATATTTATGTAGGTCATCTCACCACGTGTGTCATATACATATATCTATCTATATATTCTTGACGTTGGAATTGTGTCTTGTTGCTGTCTGTAGGCATTGACGATGCGCAGCATTCTCACGGGTATTTGCAGCCATCCGTTTGCGAAACCGTTTTTGGCACCCGTGGCCGACGTCGAGTACTACGATGACGTGGTGGAGTATCGCATGGACTTGAGCGAAGTGTCGAGTCGGCTAGATCGACACGAATATGACGGCGATGACCTCGTGTCGAATGCGTTTGTGAGGGATGTTCAGCTGGTGTGGGACAACTGCCGCCTCTTTAACGACGACAACTCGGGGCTGGCCAGAGCTGCCAACACCCTGGACGCCGACTTTCACAAAATGCTCCAAGCGGCGGCGGCCACCAAAAACAGTCGAGGCGCCATCCGAACCAAAAAGCAATAGTATATTATATATATAAGGCTCAGAATACAAAGTTATGCTCGAAGCGATCCATATTGGATTCGTACAACTACTACTAGTAGCAAATAGCAGAATTGTACACGTTTGTCCTCCTGGGTTCTAAAACGAGGGACAAAATCCTCCCAAACTCGACAGGTGTTCGAAGCTTGGTCAGCACAAACTGCCACCTTGTTGACATATTACTCTTCCACGTTCATGTTGATCTCATATACGTGGCAATGTAGAATGAGCCAAGGTGGTCAAACCACAAGTTACTCTGAAATTGAAGCCCCATGTATCAGTGGTGCATACTAGTGTAATAACGTACTACTACTGTACAGTTGATTGAAGCCCTTAAATTGATTGTTTACGTAAATACAGTTGTTTCTATGTTGAATAGATAGCCAGCCAATACATGCGAAACGGACAATTACTATATAACTGGAGCTCATTTCTTGTAACCAACTGATTCTCCGATTTCAATTTTCACTCAAGATCATTTATTGCCTGCTCTAGTATCTACAGTCATCCTCTGAGGTTCTATGCGACTTTTGATATACTACTAGGATGAAGCAACGGAATGTAGTCACGTGTCCTAGTAGGTACTACTAGTGTACACTAGTATAAGGTAACGAGATTGGGACTACGTACTACTCGACTTAGTCGTAGCTCGTACGTACACCCACGAATCCCACACACACACAGACAGCAACACCAACAGTTCCTACTGTACTTGAATCATGATCAAGTCTAGCATGACTGTACTACTGTACTTGGGTCTATTTCACCGTCGATATCTATTTATGTACCAACGAGATTGTGATTGATACAGAAAACAACCTTGTACCCTTGAATCCACACACTATATTATATATGGCGTCTCTTAATGGCGCCAGCTACAACAGAAAGAATATCCCAATTCCAGTTAGTACGTACCCTAACACTCTCTTGTCATATCGTACGTACATTTTGATCGTTCGATCTTTGCTGCCAGACGCGACCTTTTGGCCGTTGGGGCTCCAGTCCAGCGCGTACACTTCGTCGGCATGCCCCGAGAGGGTTTCCTTGGCATTTTTCAAGTTGGCGAGTTCCCACACTTTGATGGTCGAATCTTTGCTCGCCGACACAATCATGCGGCTATCGCTGGACCAGCACACCTGGTACACGGCGCCCACGTGCCCGTTGAGCGTCGCAACGAACTTGCCATCCTTGCCGTTCCAGATCTTGACCTTCTTGTCGAACGATGCGCTGGCAAAGTACCGCCCGTCGGGTGAAAAGCTCAGGTCGTTCACGGGCTGCTGGTGCCCCGTCAGCCGTTCAATTGGTTTCTTGCTTTCCTACCAACCATCACACACAGATGTAACAGATTAGTTAGTCCAAGAACGCAGTATTCACTATATATATACGAGGTTATCAACGAAAAAAATATCAACCATCAGAACCCAGCGCCGATGAAAGGAGGCAGTCGACAAGTTCACGTACACATTCCCGACCACTCCTTAATATATTTATATATGTGCTTCAGGTAACCAAATATGAAAAGGTAACATAGGCACTTTTACTGCAAAAGAAAAAAAAAAAAAAAAAAAAAAAAAACCTATATGTATTATATAACTAAACAAAAGATATATAAGGATATATGAGGGGGGCCCACCAACGTCCAAAAACGTCATCAACACTTTCAACGACGCATTACCATGAAACCGTGGACTTTGATAAATATAACACATTACACGGAATAATAATATACCTAAGAAATATTAATATATATATTACATGGAAATGAAAAACATACCATATAGAAACATCAACATATATATATACTCCTCATAAAAACAAAGTTGTTCAAGACCAATTTCCAACTCAACAACTGGGGAGAGAGAAACCAAGAGAATTTGAGTGAGTTCATACCGCAGGTTCCCACAAGAACAAGGTAAAGTCGTCCGAGCCAGACACGAGCCGTTCTGGCTGGCCGCGACGAATGGCGTCGTACCGGGCTTGCGCAGCTTGCTGCATTTCTTCACGCGTTTCAAATGTCTTAAACGTGTGGTCATAAGGGCCCGTGCGACACACATAGTCGACGTTCAACGCCAGCGTGTTGATGCGATGGGCATGGCCAACCAGCGTCCGCACCAGTTTGCCCACTTGGTCGCCTTCCACGGCCCATACTTTGATCGTGCGGTCGCGAGATGCGCTGTACAGCAAGCCTTCGCCGCCCCACTTGAGGCACTCGACCGAGTCTGTGTGGCTCTATATTCGTGGACGTTATGGTTTTCATAGTGTTTATTGTCGTAATAACTGGAGCGACACAACTAAAGGGGCACACGAATTCGAAGAAGAATGAATGAATGCTGAGTCAATCAGATGGATTTTGTAGTTGAAAGCATCGTCCACATTGAATTCGTGTAGGACGACTTTAAGAGTGTATATGGCATCCCCACAGGACAAGTATTCGTCGACACAAAATGCAGATATTGTCAAAATCGATTCGAAATCGGAGGGCAATCGAATGAGAAAGCAGCCAGACAATCAAAGATCGACTAATCAAAACCCAGAACACGAATTTCAAGTAGCCAATCAAACCCGTTCTTCGACAATTCAACATTGAATTAGTATGTTGTGACTTCAATTAGTGTGAGACTGGACAATTTTCACATACAAAAAGTCAGAGAATTCATCGATAGATTTGGCAAAGAATCCGCACAAAAGTCATCCAAATTTTGGGTAAAAGGACTATACGATTTGGTGAATCCACAGCACAAAAGTCGTCTAAATGGATTTGGATAAATGGACAATACGGATCGTCGTTCAAGTGACAGTGGAAGGACACAAAGGTAAAAAATATTTTTTTATAAGCTAAAATAATATTTTTTTTTAAGGCAAACATACCGACAACGACGCGACCTGGCGCCCCGTGCGCGCGTTCCAGATCTTGATCGATCCATCCTTGGACGAACTGGCAAATCGTTCGCATGCCGAGTTGCTACACACAGTTCACGCATTGTTTAGCAACTAGAGACCATAAATATATATATCAAGGCCATCCATGCAATCCTATCAAAAAGGGTAGAGTGTTTGCGTCGACTAGACGAGTCGAGAATTACTACTAGACAAATGATATATGTGTAGGGTGGGTCATTCACGAACCGATGGAAAGGTTCCCAGGTCAAGGATGTGACCCATTGGCGGTGGCCTTTCATGGGTTCGCCGACTTGTTTACCCGTGGAAGGATCCCACAATCTAAAGCCACAATGATTTAAAACCATGGTGACGAGGAGGAGGACAATAATAATAATGTGCAAGAACCAAAAAGTTCGTGTAGAGATCAAAACATACCGAATTTCGCCGGTCTTGTCGGCCGATGCAAATCGACTGCCGTCGGGACTCCATGCTGTGCACAGCACATGATGCTTGTGTCCACGACCTGTGAACTGAGGCATGCAAGTGTTGGTGTCCCAGAAGCGGACGGTGGCGTCGCCGCCGCCACTCGCGAGCTTTTTGCCGTCCGGGCTGAAGCGAACATGCAAGATCGCTTCGGAATGGCCTTGGAGCGTGTCTGTGCACCGCGTTACGGGACGGACACGGAACACGGCCAGTGGTTGGAACGTGATTGTCAGCGCCGCTTCCGTCGACGCGTTCTACACACATGTAGGGTCGGTCAGACGGGAGAGAATGCAAACGTGCGAGGTTCGTTCTTCGTACCTGGTCCCGAACACTGGTGGCCAACGTGTCTGTGATCTCCGTGTCGTTCAGGTAGAACGAATACGGCACCTTTTGCTTGCCGTTGTCCAACAACTGGTTCACAAGCTCCTCCATTTGCAGGACTGTGGACGCGACGGGGATGTCGAGCTGCGGTCCGACGCTCTCCCCCTGTTCGTTCTTGAACTGAGCGATCACGGACGCCACTTGCACGTCGTCATGGTCTTCGTTCTCGCTGTCGGAGCCAGCATTCTCCGCCTCCACCTTTTGCTTCTTGGCCGCGCGATCCACGGTGCTCATCGTTGTTTGAAGTTGTGCTTTTGTGATGGATGATGCTCTGCGTGGCATTGGTTGGTCACAGCGACATTGCATGGACCAATCAGAGCACAGAAAGGAAAATAGTGTAAATATTCCTCAAAAGATACAATAATGGAAATAGTGTTAGCCTTATGGAATTAAATAGTGTAGAATTGGTGGGTTGTATTTAGTGTGAGCCGAGTTCCCAATTGCCGCCAAAACGAAATCGGATGAAACGAGGATGCCATGACTTGTGCACGGGAACAGCGACGTCCAAGCGACGTAGAGACGTAAAGTACCCGGCGGGTACGTCGATGTTGTCATGCTGATCGTGTTGAGGCTTGAGTTGTGGGACTGAGTTGTGCGTCGTGGAGCAGATGCCATCAGTCGGTTGATGTGGGCGGGGCGATCGATATGGAAAAACTCATTAACGACCGATGCACGAAACAACGTCGCACAGACAACAACAACGATCAAGTGTTCGCACTGCGAACGATCCATTCGACCCGGCAGGGAAATGCAATGTGTGGAATGCCTGAACACGTACTGCGACGAGTGCGCCACCATCAAGTACGTTCGTTGGCCCCGCTCGTTGGCAACCGTATTTTTCATCATGCAAGTCAATTGAACTCATTGTGTCGTAACCTGTGTAGTTATTCTATGCCGCACGACCGCATCTTCTGCCTTGGATGCAACCACCATGCCACAACGTAGTTCGAAACCTTCTTGGGCATCCTTGTTTTTACTGTTAATTGTGAATAAATAGGTTGATTTATTTCATCGACAGGCTGAAACATACATACCATATTCATTCGCTCTACCGATAACGTCATGCCCCGTCTCGCTTTCGAACATCGACGCCTTCGTTGTGTTACATTCTGCTACAACCATGCAGACCCAAGGCACCATGCTTTGGATCATGATAACTGCAGACGACATCCTCCTTTGCCATTAGAGGGCCGCAGTAATTGCATCCGCCTAAGTATATCCCATCCAATGCGCCTTCCAGCTTATTCATGGATAACTACAGCTAAGCCCTGATTTAAACCCGATTGAGAATCTTTGGAGGGTCCTAGCGCGCAAAGTGTATGCAAGGCCCACTTGAAGGCCCAGATCCTCCAATCAAGGGAGGAAATTGATCAAAACTACCTATCGCACTTGATAGATGGTATGCCAACTAGAATGGCCCAAATTATCCTTCGTCGTGGACAATGTATCGATCGATAAATGAGCCAATATACAAAGTGTGTCTATAGTTTTGTTACACGCAAAATTTCGATATTTGGATTTTTCTCTGGATCCACAAATATACGAGTAAAACCTTCTGTAGGGTACCTGGAAGTGCGGTTTAAAGGCTTTGGTCATTGATGGTTTTGGATAAAACTATGAAATTCATGACAAACTAAAAATAAATAAAATAAATTGGGGCTCATCTATTGTAATAGATGATGATCTCGTTCATTTGAAATAAGATCAGGCAATTGGCTAATGCAACACATGACGCACGTTGATTGGCCATATTTTAAAGATCCTGGCAAAAGTGCGCGAAAAGGCATCACTTTCAAACTTCCTTCAACACGCGCGGATGACGACGTCGATACAAGCACTCCTGGGAAAGGACATCGGCGCATGCTACTCGTACAGCACGATGAACCGAGTGCAAGAGCGTGTGCTACCTGCTGCTTTCAAGAACGGCGGAAACCTCGTGGTGAGCAGCCCGACAGGGTCAGGCAAGACGAGTGTGTTCGAGGTCGCGTTTCTTCGCCATTGGAGCAAGCAGCGGCAGCACGGATGCGAGGCCAAATCTGGATTGGTGTTGTATCTTGCTCCACTCAAAGCATTGCTCCACGAAAGGTTCGTACACATATGTCGTCAAAGGTGCATATCCGTTACAATGCTAACGTTATGTTGTAGATTGGTCGATTGGAGCAAACGATTCAAATCCTTGGGCTTGACTTTTCTTGAACTTACCGACATGACCTTTGACGATGCTCAAAGCATAATGAGCCATGATATTCTTCTCAGCACACCAGAAAAGGTACGTTTGATAGTATATATGTCTGTCGAGTCTGAATTGCATCTAGTGGGACGTCTTAACTCGAAGCTCGATGGTACCTCAAGGCGAGTTCCTTTACTCTCATATCCATGCACCGTAGGAGATACTAGGTGGTGTAGGCTTGCTCCTGGTAGATGAAGTTCACCACATTGGGGACGGCGTACGCGGAGCAACATTAGAAGCCGTCATGACGCGTATGAAGTACTGCAGCACATTCACCTTCAGCCAAAACGAAGGGGTGCTGCTTTCGTCGCTGTACGTACGGACGCTACTCTCCATACACGCATTCAATCAACTGTTGAAGACGAATCGTTGCTGCGTCGGCTACGTTTCCAAATGTCAAGGACATTGGTGCATGGCTTGGCTGCAGTGCAGATATGGTTTTCGAGGTATGGATAGCTTGTCATACGTTCTACTAGAATTAACAAAGTGTGTACAACTTTGTAGTTTGGTCCACAATATCGTCCAGGTAACATATGATCACAACGCGAATTTCATCATTTGGAAATGGTACCTTGTAGTTCCCTTGGAGCTGCATGTCCTTGGCTTCAAGTCGTTTGGCAACGATTTTCTGTTTGAAAAGTAACTACACTATTGATGTATATCATCGAATCGCAAGTTTACTGTGGCTATAGAAACTTGGATCAAAAAGTCCCTGATGTGTTACACAAGTACTCCAAAGGAAAACCATCGCTCATCTTTTGCTCGTCGCGCAAGGCATCAGTTGGACTTGCAATGTACTTTACAGTAGCAGTAGCTAGTTCATGAACATCGCTCGTTTCGTCCTACTGTTTTATAGCATGCTGGCCAAAACTCATGTGTGCCCTGTTTCACCGAGTCAACACAAGGTTGGATAGCAACACATATGACGTGGCACTGACTTCGTTGAGTAGAAATTGGCCGAGGCAGCAACTCAAGTGTGTCCATCATTTCAATACGCGAACTAGCTCTCATCAATTGTACAGATTCACAACACGTCACTGAAAATGGTGTTCCAAGCTGGAATTGGAATTCATCATGCCGGATTACAAGAAAACGACAAGTACTGGATTTGTATGTGTTCGGTTCAACGATGGGTTGTGTACTAGGCAGCTTGTACAAGATTTATTTGCGCAAGGATTCCTCCACATATTGTGGTAATTTTTTCTTTCCATATCACTCTAACGGTAACGCTAGTACTGACCATAATATTACCATTAGCTGCACCAGCTCGTTAGCAGTCGGCGTCAATTTGGTTCGAGAGTGTGGTCTATGTTGATTCGACCATTTTATTGTAGCCAGCACACCTCGTCGTGATCAAGTCGACACAGCACTACCAAGGTCAATCAGGGTTTACAGAATACACCCCGATGAGCGTGTTGCAAATGATTGGACGAGCGGGACGTCCAGGGTTTGACAAGTACACTCGCATTCTCGCCAATATGTGAGTATATGCTGTACATATAATTGTATGTTTAGGTGTGGGGCTGCTGTTATTATGACGGAAGCATGCAAAGAAAGCCTCTACGCGAATATCGCCACGTGACCGCGTCCCAATCCTTTGCTGATACTAACTCACATGTGGTTAGCACCCCCAAAATTGCACCGATTGAAAGCGAGTTGCAGTTGGCTGCAATCGAAGCAATCAACGCGGAAATCTCCCTGGGGACGATTCATGACATTTCGCAAGTGATTTCATGGATGCAGGTTATGTTGGCCGGTCTCGACACCGATCTGACCAGTGGCCTTTTGTATAGTTGACATACATGCACTTTCGACACCAAAATAGTTCCCGTGAATGTTCTGGCTCACGACAAAGCGACGTGGCGACGTCGATTGCAACGACGACCATCCACCACTTGAGTGACTCTGCGCTTCTGCGTTTCACCGACGACGATCGGTATTGCTTTGACGTTACGCCTAGTGGTCGGATCATGAGCCAGAATTGCATCAAGTACGACGACATGGTAGCCATTATTGACCTAGTTCAATCGAAACGACACGCGTCCATGGAAACGCTGTTGGACGTGACGGCAGGTCGGATTTGTGGCCACGTTCCTTTGCGCAGAAACGACAAGGCCGCCTTGAACATATTGAACCAAACCAAGGTGCAATATCGAGTCAAAGGGGTGGCGGCGGGGAAATACTTGGTCCAAACCGACAGAATGAAAGCCAATGTACTGCTGCAAGCAGCGTTAGGTCGTGTCCATCTGGACGACGATTCTCTTGCTTTTGAAATGGACACGTGCGTTGAAATGGCGCTGCGAATCGTTCGAGCGCTGATGGAGTATTGCATGGAGAGTGACGCTGGGGCTTTGGGACTGATGGCGTTCCGATTTGGGCGGTCGTTGGCGTTGAAAGCGTGGGAAAGTTCGCCAGCCCCAACGAAATTGCAACTCCTCGAAGGCGTGGATTCGGACCTGGCCCAAAAGCTGGATTCTCATGGCGTTCACAGTATTCGTCAACTCCGCGACATGGATCCAACTCAATTGGGTCGATATTTAAACACTGGGGATTGCGAGCATCTGCTCGCGGAAGCCAAAACCGTGTTGGATTTTCACCTTCAAGTTCAGCCACAAGTCATCACGAATCGAATCGAGATTATAGTGCAGAATGCCCAGCCACGACAGGTCCATCGTATCACGGAACGTGCTGCTCCAAGCGGCTACATCCTGCTCGTCTTCACAAAAGGTCGTATATTGCTGCTGCGGCGGGATATTACGACAACCCCAACGACATTTATGGTACCCATGTCTGGCATGAGCTCCATTTCAATCCACTTTCTGCACACTGCCCAACTGGGAATGGACGAAGAACTGGAAGTTCAAGCCACGGCCACCGCCTGCACCGTCCAAAAGGTCACCAAACAATCGTTGCATCAATGTACGATCCCTGAAGCGTTCAAACACGGTCGCCATGACGAAGTTCAACGGACCAAACGTTCGGCTAAAGAGGAGGATACGTCCAAGAAGGCGTTCCATCACCACCAAACCATGTTGGAGCCAGCGACCGTCATACCACGGGATGATCCGTCTACCACGAAGCGAGCTAAATTATCCACGCCGTCGCTGGTAGAATTCAAGCAATTTAAATGGTGTGGAAGCCCCGAAGTTGCGGCTGTTGGCAAGTCAACCAAGTCCCGACGGCATCATGTGATTCCGGACTTTGAAGAACCCTCCAAGGTGCTACTAAGCAACGGATTGACAAACCATCCGCCCTATCAACGTCGAGAAGGTTCATCCAGCAATATCAATATCCAGCATGTGGATACGGAGAGACAGCAAGGGCTCTCCTGTGCAAGCAGTTCCAAGAATGCTAACGACGTCAAGAACGATGGGGCTGACGTGCACACGATTCCCATGATCGACGACTACGAGGAATTGACCCTGGAGCAAGAGTTTATGAAGTACATCTTCTAATGACCACTGATTCATGGCTTTTCGTAGACACCTCGTCGTTCATCTCCATGGACACATTCGTCATGGCGATAGCAAATCACCATCTTTTAGGTGGATGTCTGCAGATGACGTACAGTACGCCACGTAGGATGGCATGTATACCTCCATGCCTCAGTATTGTCATGTGCTTCTTCATGAAGGAGGAAGAAGCCTCCTCGATTCCTTAGTATTGCCATGTCGACTGTCAAATGTTGTTTCAGTGTGTCGAGAGGAGCATTCATGGGATTTGCCGCCAAAATCGAGAGTGACGGTCTATCGTCGTTGAGGTGTTGATTGACTTATTTATGGAATTCGTGGGGAGATTGCCTACGATTTCATATTTGACCAATGAAAACACACCTGTACAATGATCCATCCTCATCACGAAACACTATTATTGACGATAGTCTTTGGCAATGCAGGCTGCATGATACAATTATGGAATACTAGTACCATAACGTTAGTCATGTACTACAATAGTATTTTCGACATCAATGTTGACTGTAAGCACCCATGCCGTCACCACGACCTTGCCCGCTTGAAAGGCATCAGCTATCGTCGGACCATGACG